AATTCAATCAACGGGTGATTGATGGTTAGGGGGGGTGATGTAACGGGGTAGCCCGTTAAATGTCTGTGACGCCAAACGGTGTCAATAGGAATATTGTCTAGCATGACAGTATTCTACCAATATTATCCGGGATGGATAATATTGAAGGAATATTATCTCCTTCTGGATAATATTTATGCGCTTATCCAAGATTGGTTGATAAGACATATCAACCATAGATTTCCACCATATGCTGCTAGACGCGCGCAATGAGTGGTGGGAAGGTTGTCGTCATACGACGACGTAGTTTAGTATAGTTCGATAAAGATTAAAGTTACATTGATAGCTTAACTATATTAAACACAGTTCTCTTTTTACCTTTACTTAAAGGAGTCGTTCAAGTAGATTGGCTTGCTCTGCACGTACTAGTGTACGTAAAGTTTCGCGGAACCTCGAACAAAGTGTGCCCGTTACAAAGGTGATCACCATCCGCAGCAACGTACTCACTGAAATATTCTTCAGCGTCTTTCAACATTGTAACGTCATTTAACCAGTGTCGACTTGATCTGCTATCGAGTATCCAAATTCCCCCTATACAACTTATTCGCCTTTGACCAGGACGAAGTTAATATCCCCGTCGCCCTTGGCCCAGAGCTGCCCTCGGGGCACACTATCTTTGCACGTCCTGGCTCCCTACATTCGTATTACGTGCGTATATCTCAACGTCCATTGCGATTATCTGTAGGTTTCAGTGATGAGCTCTGTGCCCAATGTCAATGGTGTCAACCCCTTCCTAAACGACATTCTTCCCGCGCAGTTCATCTCAGTCGATTGCGCAAAATGCCCGATCTCTTCCAACTGCCGCAGATAGTCAATGCGCGTGAGGTTTAAACCTCGCCAACATCGACACGGCTCATACCAGGGTCAGCGTAATGCACAATGTTGCCTTGAACTAGGTAGCTAGCACCTCCATACGCTTCACTTACCGCCACCAAATACAGGTAATGCTCCGTCCACTTTCGCTTATAGCTCTTTGGAGCTGTAAAAATCTTCATGCTTTGCACGGGGGTGATCTTCGTTGCAAACGTACAGATAAGACGCTGCATCGCATGCTCAAGCGTCGGTTTCTCTTATCACCACCACTAGACCTGCGGATTATAATATCACTCCGCCATTACGGTCAAGTGATAATATGGTATGTCCACCTTGACGTCCTCACTCCAATGGAGATCATTCACATGCTCCGCAGACATGATCTGCCTTAAGATCTCTTGTTTCACGATAGAAAACCACTTACTAGTCCTTGATACAATTCTTTGCCATCATAGGTCGGATGTTCAGCTACCTCTGTAGCGTATTTGGCACGCGGTCGTGTTGAAGGCTTGGTGCCATGCGTGGTCAAGGAGCCGGCTGGTACATAATTGGTGGAATGCAATGCTGCTGCAGCACTGGATGTGCCGCCTACGCAATCTCAACGTTCAATGCTGCACCAGTATATCCAGGCTGTTTTGCGTTTAAGTACGTTGATGGTGATATTCCGGGCGACACAGGCCTTGGTGGCGTCACGTCCAAAGCCTCTCTGATCATGGCCTTGCCCTGTCCCAACATCGAACCAAAAACGCCAGCCTTATGGTCTTTCAAATGATTTTTCTCCTTCCCTCGCCCTTACGGCAAATCCATGCGCTTTGTCCATAAGGCCCGAGATAAGATCCAGTGGCTTGATCTGCGTGTCCTATAGAACTACCAAAACCTCTTTTTTCTCCTCCGGAGCGCCGGTCCTTTCGCGACCGGCATCTGCCCTCCACTGCTGACGACATTCGTCCGCAGCAAATCTTCGCCATTTGGGCTCATGACCTCTTAGACTTTACAAGCTGAGAGGATGCTGTGAAATTTAAAGTGATATTGCTTTAAATGACCTACAAACAATGTTTCTTACCTCATCTACTATCTAATCGTTGTATAATGTCCGCGCCTGCACCTACCTGCCGAGAATGGTCGGCCAAATTTCAATACACGCTCACCATCTTGCATTACTTCCATTTAATAACGCTACGCAATCCATCAGGTACCTGTAAGGAAGCGGTTTTACCGTGTCTTCTCGTGTGCAGCAAAGTTTGTGTGGGCGTCTGACAACTGCCTTACCGATAGATGAAGGCTCGTGACTCATTGTATATCGTACGCGGTTCCTCCGACACACACGTGACAAGTGGGTTTGAAATAAAAGATTAATTTCTTATGTATTAATCAAAGAGGATTTTAGGTGGCTACCAGCTAAAAAAGACAAAAGATAAGACGTGCGCTCCTAGAGACGTGGTCTGTACAGCACGCTTAAACTAAATATAAGCATATTTACGATGTGTTTCAATGACGTTATGCACTGATGTCAAGCAGTGACGTTACCCGTTTGTGGCATACACTATGTGATAGGCGTGCAATTGCGCTACCTAAACCGCATGAAGGGTCGAAGCGCGTACCCCACTATAAACCTTTAACAGAATTTTTCCGCGTACACATTGTAACAGACCACCCTTTGTATGGGGTTCCGCGAAACTTTACGTACACTAGTACGTGCAGAGCAAGCCAATCTACTTGAACGACTCCTTTAAGTAAAGGTAAAAAGAGAACTGTGTTTAATATAGTTAAGCTATCAATGTAACTTTAATCTTTATCGAACTATACTAAACTACGTCGTCGTATGACGACAACCTTCCCACCACTCATTGCGCGCGTCTAGCAGCATATGGTGGAAATCTATGGTTGATATGTCTTATCAACCAATCTTGGATAAGCGCATGAATATTATCCAGAAGGAGATAATATTCCTTCAATATTATCCATCCCGGATAATATTGGTAGAATACTGTCATGCTAGACAATATTTCTATTGACACCGTTTGGCGTCACAGACATTTAACGGGCTACCCCGTTACATCACCCCCCCCCCTAACCATCAATCACCCGTTGATTAAATTAGAATTGATTGGGACAGGGTGACCACCGTTGGATCACTCTGGAAAAATGGGCACTGACTGGTCAAATTCCATTCATTTCCCAATCCAACGTATAATTTCGAAAACCACGCGAGCTGCTACTGCAGCCGCCAGAAGGGCGACTGCACGCAAGCGTGCGGCCGCGGAAACTGCCCATCACACCTTAGCAACAGGCGATTCGTCGCCTGTTGTCGTGAATCCTCCACGTGGTGAGTCACCACGTGCGACAGATACATGCGCTGCGTCTGCAGCGGGTACTTCGAGTCGTAATCAAGACGAGTCTAAAATTGAGCTCATCTATTCTGGCGAGACAGATGTATCATCTGACTCGAAGGCAGCGCCTCTTACCTCGCGAAAATCCAGGACGGACACTGTTAGAGCCCGATTGAATGGCTCTGGGGGAACGTGGCGGCATCATGTCCAAAATCTTTGTACCGAGAGATTCGTCTTACGAATCCTCGTCTCACGCAAGCTTTTCTGACAACAGGATGCGCGGTGATGGTGGTGACGCACCTATACGTCACTACGAGAGAGCAAACTCAAGAGATCGAGCTACTGGTGTCAGTGCTTATGATGACACCACACAAGATACCAGTACCGCAATGTACTGCTCCATGCTCCTCAAGTGGGGTCTCATTGGACGCCATCATCCAATGAGATAGACCAGTTGGCCGGTATGACCACCGAACGGGATCGAATCCCGATTTTCGATTGTAGGAGGATCTGTCCTCCTAATTCCAACACTAAAACTACCCGTGCTGAGTAAGAGTTCTACACCAATGTGTTCTTTAAACATCAAGGTACAATGGCAACCGTGGCCAAGACGGTAAGACTTTGGACCAGAAAAGTAATGCCTGCATCCATATATCAAGTGTATTGGCCGTGAGGACTGGCTCGCCAAAATTGATGCAGCTCGCATCAGGTTTGAGAAGCGCAACCCAGCTGGTGTACGATACAAGTTGCACTGACTGTCAAGAAAGGCAGGGTTATTCTGCCTCTCGTGGGTTTATTTGTGTTTAAGTTGTCTGGAAAATGCTAATCGTGATCCTGTGGAGGCCTCCTTCCTATGATCCGTACTGGAGGGCGCTCATCTCTTCCGAGATGGCCGAAGGGATTGACACCTTGCAATTCCTGTACTCGCGTTCGGGGAGGTCGTTTTCCGACGACCCTTCTTCAAACGCAGCGGGTGGGTCTTATCGTAGTGGTCGACGGTACCGAGGACATCAACAATCAGCTGTGCACAAGGCCGTCAGCTGTACCACGCCGGTGGATTGCCACGCCAGCGGACGAGGTAACTCGTCCGGACGCCATTCACATCGCTGTGGTTCAAGATACGCTCCACTAGAAAGAGTTGACCACCGCCAGAGTCCACCGAATGATGTGGTGCGGGCAGAAATACCTGAGCCGGCTCGAGGTTCGGATCAGCTTGATATTCAGGAACTGAACCGTGTAGCGGAACAGTTATATGATGAATTGGCTCATGAACGGACTAGACTTTATGAGCTCCATGACCTTGTAAAAGATAATTAAGATTCTTTAGCGCACGATCTTTCGAAAGATCGTGCCGCGTTTGCGTTTGCGCAACTCGAGAACGGACGTTCGATTCGTTCTCTTCGTGACGAGCTGACTGCAGCTCGTCAGGACATCGCTCAACTGCGTGAGATAGTCGCTTCGCTAGTCGACCAGACTGGATCATTAAACGGAACCACTCGGAGGTGGTCTCGGCTCTCGACCGTGGAGGTGTTCTTCGCATCTCGAAACGGGCTGGACCGATGGACGAAATGAACCGATGTACCTGGGCAGTAATTTACTGCTGCCCACGTTTGTCACTGCGTGTTTCGGTAAGTTTATTGTAAAACTAGGTCTCCTTCATCAAATGAAAGAACATTTGCTCTTCATGTTTGTATGGGTTTCTCTTTTGTCTGTCTAGTGCATCTGCAATAGAGTCTTGAACTAAGCGTACAACCGCTTCGCGAGTCAGCAGAAATTCCTCTGATGATTCATCCTTGTCAACAGCAGTGCGCTTCGTGTTCACTGCTGGAAAAAGTTGTCTTCATCAGTGAGGGTGTCATCGTCCTCACTGTGGCAGTCATTGGCGATGCTGAAGATACCAGCATCATCGTCATTATCATCATCGATATCGATCGCATCGACATCGGCATCCATCACGTCGAAACCATTGTCGACGGGTGATGAGCAAGAACCAGATCGGTTTTTGTTCGAGCGAGTCCACCCCCCCTTTAAACTAGAGTCACACTCTAAGAAGACGGGCAAACGTGGATGGCGTAGGCCATTCACGAAGAACGGTGTATGCGTAGTCGACGCATGCACCGAGTTGTTGATGGCGAGTTTCGCCATTGGCAAGAACTCACTCCAACTCGTAAACGAGTGGACATTTCCTTAAAGTATCTCTTCGAAGACGGGCAAACGTGGATGGCGTAGGCCATTTACGAAGAACGGTGTATGCGTAGTCGACGCATGCACCGAGTTCTTGATGGAAAATTCGCCATTGGCAAGAACTCACTCCAGCTCGTAAACGAGTGGACATACCCTTAAAGTATCTCTTCGAAGACGCGGTTGACGCGTTCCGTCTGCCCATCTGTTTCTGGATGGTCAGAAGTTGACATCATCAAACGTGTTCCAAGTGAACGGAACACGGATTGCCAGAACTCCGCTGTGAAGCGGGGGTCCCTATCGGACACGAGTTCACGGGGTAAGCCGTGAAGTCGGAAGATAGTATCGATGAAGACACGCGCACAGCCCTGGGCTGCGATTGACTCCGGTACAGCAACAAGATGCACCATCTTGCTGAACCGATCAACAAACACAAGAATACCCGTATTCTTGTGAACGTCTTTGGGAAACCCGAAGACGAAGTAAATTGATACGGACTGCCAACACTCTGCCGGAATCGAAAGATGCTGCAAGGGTGCGCGGGATGAACGGCTGGGCTTCACCTGTTGACAAACTTCGCAAGCGCGAATGGAATTGCGCACTAACTCATACTGGCAGGGCCAGTAGAAGTCACGACTTACCGTGAGGTAAGTCTTTTCTCTACCGCGATGCCTACTTGATGGGGCATCGTGACACTCATACATGATGCGCAATCGCAAATCATCATGAGCCGGAACGACGACACGAGGTGTGTCGCCGTTGAATACTGTATAGTACAGCAGTCCATCGCGAACAGAATACCGTTCGGTCGAAGAGCGGTGTTGAGACGACAAGCTTTTAAAAGCTTGACTGCATGGATTAGACACGTAATCCATCAATCGCAGAGACACTCATCTTCTGCGTATGCTATTCGCACGTCGTCGAGCAGATTCGACGACGGAACACTCACTGTTAGAGTCGCTAAAGTGGGATCACCCCTACTGTTAGGTTGAGCAGTCGGCTCCAAATCAGGCCGACGCGAAAGAGCATCAGCGACGACATTAAGTCATCCTGGTTTATACTCGACGGAGAAGATGTACTCCGCGAAGAAAGACAACCGCCTCGCCATTCATTGCGAGAGGTGTGAACTGTTTACGGCCGTGCGTAAGGACGCATGCTCGGTATAAACGATGAAAGACTTATCTCCTGAGAGATATACCCGAAACTTAGCCAGTGCATGTTTCATGTCAAGTAGTTCCTTGTCATGCACTGAGTAGCTACTCTCATCTGCTTGCAGCTGACGCGATTAGTAAGAGACGACGCGCTCAAAGCCGTCTGAGTCGTACTGCATCAACGCGCAGCCGATTGCAAAATTGCTGGCATCACAGACCACATGTGACAGTCTGTCCTGGTCTGCAATTGCCAACACAGGCGATTGTATCAAGCTTTTCTTGATGCCTTCGAAGGAGTGCTGACACTCATCACCCCATTACCACCTCTCGTTTGCTTTAACAGACAGTCCCTTGACGTCGACTAGCACAGGCCAGTCGCTAATCGCCTTGATCTTTTCCGGATCAGGGCGTACACCGTTTTTACCCACGATGCAGCAAAGGAGTGGTATTTCAGTCGCTGCGAATATACACTTCTTGATATTCGCGAACAACTTGTGTTCTCGCATTAAAGAAAGAACATTCCGGAAGTGGATTCTATGAATCTCCACGTCTGTCTTTCCATCCATAGCCAGGCTATGGACGAAGACATCGTCAAAGTAACTCGGTGCAAAGTCTCGCACCGATTGCAACAGATTCGCAACACATCTGGTGAAAGTTGCAGGAGAGCTACTTAGCCCCTGTGGCATCACCAGCCGCTCCCAGAGCATGCCACTGGGGGTGCTCAATGCTGCGTAAGGGATATCCCGTTCACGCATAAGGATCTGATAGAATCCATCTATCAAATCCATGGACGAAAAGATGGTACTCTTTGCCATACCATCAATGATGACATCCTTTCTTGGGATCGACGTTCGAGCCGGTACCGTTGCAGCGTTCATTTTGTTAGACGCTGCACTATCCGCCACCCTCCGGTGGCTTTTCGCACACAGAAGTTTGGAGCGATGTGTAGGGATGTTGATCCCCTCGAATGACCAGCCGCTAGACGATCGGAAAAGAATTCGTCGATCGCTGTTACCTGTTCACGAGGCAGTGGCCACTGCTTCATGACACATTATTTCGAACCAGGTTCCAGTTCGATCTCAGCCGAGTGCCTTTGTCCTTTGGCAGCTCGCATGGCACGGTTCCGGAAAAATATCTCTGAATCCATCCAAATCCTTATAGAAAGGATTTGCAATCAAATACTCCCAAGATTGAGACGTGTATCGCTCAATCCGAGTCTTCTCATCGAGGACACTCTCGTCCATGGATGAGCTACAGAGAACCCGTTCGTTATCAGCAAACACTTGTGCCGACCGAATATCGGTGACGTACTCGTCCTCTGTGACGAGAACGCAGATCTCGCAAGAATCTTTTAAATTTAAGCGTTGGCAATGTGGCAAAGCGGTCAAAAGGAGATTTCGATTGGGACTTGGATTGGCGATCGCACGGATCGCACGCCCCAGTTCATTCAAGAATGCTATGATTGGTGGATACAGGCCTGGACGGGTGGCTGGCAATAGCGTACCTAAAACCCCAAGTGGACAGGATCATACAGCCTGGGACGAGGCTATAGGGTGGTCACACCCGTTTGGATTACGCAATCCGTCATGAGATTACACCTCCAAATGTTAAAAAAAAAAAGTCCAAGATGTGGCAAGACAAGATCCTCGATCTCACTGGAAGACCGCGATCCTAACCCAGGATCGCAAGTCCGACCTCAGCTGCGATCCGCTAATAGGATTACGATCCGCTAGTAGGATCACGATCCACGAGTAGGATCACGATCCGCTAGTAGGATCACGATCCACAAGTAGGATCATGGGGATATCTTGGGTGGGCCACAAGAAGATACAACGGTTGATATACTGAGTGTGGACCACACAAATGCGAGGAAAAAATCTTCCTGGAAAGGCGACGCGTGGCATCTGGTTAGGATATACGGATAGCCATAGGGGTGAGGTTTAAATTGGTTGGTTAACATTAAATAGAGTCCAGCTTACTTCACAAGGCACACGTTATCTCTTCAGGGTAGGATATTTGGCCCCCCGTCGAATAAATAGTCGCGCCACACGTCTACGCAAGTATCACACCTGTATTGTTTTGGCCAGGTGTGTTCAAGAACTCTCAAGCAACATCAACTGCGATCGGACGCAGCAAAACACGTAAAGGCAAGGTGCAAGATCGCGAGACGGCTCAAGTAGTCAGAAGGCTCGCGGATCAAGCAACCACGTATTGGACAAGGTGATCTCGTTGAGATCAGGGTAACTTATATCAGTACCCACAAGTACCCCGTGATCGCGTGAAGATTTCCGCACGATCACAACCCCATCCCCAACACGGTCAAGTTTTCCTTCGACACGAGTCCACCTGGAAGAGTGCAACCCGCCCTACCGACGGTTACACAAGGTGAAGAAGGCAACACACACGGAATCGGAGTAGCCCCTCCGTTAGTCGGTCGTCCGGGCGCCAGTGGAGAGTTGGGATCGACTCTTAAAATGAGCGATCGCCACTCCACCACAATTGTGCGCGTGCCCGGACCTTCTTGTCACTCGGGACTTCACCGTGAGTCTTTAAGTGAAGAGGAGAAAGTCAAGACTGAACCTGGGATGGAAGCGTTAGAAAAAAGGGATCGCATCCGACGCGTGATTTTAAAGAATCTCCGGATCATCAGAGTTTTGGGAGGGGATCTGATGACAAGAAAAGAAAAGGGAGATCGTTCAATCGATCTGGAAGATAGACCCCAAACCCCTCCTGAGGTCCCTTCGGGGACCACCGCGGATCGTGCTACAAAACACGATCCGCTGGGTGAAGACCCTTCAGCGAAAACTGAACAAAAACTACACAAGACCACTCAGGCAATGTCATGGAAGAAGACGTTAAAGACAGATCGAGTGAAGAAAAAAGAGTCCATATCGGATTGACACGATCGCAGCAAATAATAGATCCTGAGACCGATCATGTTCGTGGACCAGGCTCTGGATATGAAGATGGAAGGCTGGCAGCTGGATCAACTGGCGCAAGGGTTCCGTTGGAAGGCTCTCAAGAATTTGCTATCGAGCGACCCCGTGCTACGGATACTGAAGCCCAAGCTGATCGGAAAAACTCAAGTCCCGAAATCTCTACCGAAGGCGGCAACTAATCCGATGGAAGGGATGAGCTCGACCTACCAGAAACTACAAGATGCTGGATACGTAGCTGGGCATTCGATGCGAACAAATTGCTGGAATGCGATCAGGATCAGGTAATCCATGCGTGTCGATCGCTGTGTGACAAACTAATTCCTCTGACGGGGAAGCGCTAATCCGCGGATCAAGCGGTTGACACAATCGCCGATGTCCCAAGGGGGTATCATACCGGATCGTCAAGATATGCCTCGGCGGAATCAGAGATGAATTTGGACGATTCCGTCGGCATCCAGCGAATGTCTCTAGGCCCAAGTGGTGCAACACATTTATGCGATCGAGTCGAGTCGTTAAAGCTGAACTTGCGATCGAGGGCCACAGGCGCTAAAGAGCAGTTGACGACTACTACGCAAGGACTCCTGCAGACATACCTCGATGAGGCCATGGAACGTTTTCGTTAAGATCAACGGGAACGAGCGTATCAAGCGATCTACCCTAGCCAAAGGATCAAACCTGCTAGATCCCGTGAAAGAAATACCCCCGATGTGAATATAGAATCGGTGCAGTCGCGCATCAGTCAACCGGAGGTTTTCGACCCTGAAGACATCGATCCCGATGATTCGGGAATAGAAGGTCGTAGACACGCTATGGTATCTACGACCGAGACGTTGCAAGATGGTGGTAGCATACCTCAACGCATTCGAGTGTCGGCGATGACAGAGCTAAAATAATTCAGTGGAAAGGATCGAGATGAAGATCGGGCCAGAAGCTTGATCAGCAAGGTCAAATCGGCCATCTTGCGCGATCAAGCACCCGATGAGGAGAGTGTTTTGTGTTCGGAGATCTACTGACAGGACCCACTCGAAACTGGTATAATCAATTAGGTCGATCCACTCGAAAGAAGTGGAAGAGATTGCTGGATGAGTTTATGGTACAGTATGGAGGGCAAGGTGCGTCTCTGGCCCGACAATACTATCTCGCACGGAAACGATCGAATCAAAATCCACTGCAATATCTACAACGCCCAAATGTCGCGGCTAAGCACGCCAAAATCGCGATCAGAGACGAGAGGATGGCCACATCAGACACACGTCGTGAACATGTGTTACATTTCATTGCCACGTTGGACGATCGCGATCTGGCCAAAAAGCTGACCCTAGTACGATGTTCCAATGTCAATGAGTTGGATAAGACGTTACGTGCATGCCAAAGATTGGAGAGTCGTCAGTTGAAGACGTCGACAGGATCGAACAAGTTCCACCAGCGAGCGAATGACTCCCCAAATCCTACGTCATCCAAATCTGCTCGGGCGGTGAGGGCAATCCGTGAGCGGATCGAGAGTAGCGGATCGGAATTGGACTCGATTGGATTGGATGAAGGCAAGGATCGCCGCCGAGTTTGTGTGACCACTACATCTGGTCAAGAGCGATCGGATCAATATCATCGTATCTGGCAGAAGAATACAGGTGAAGAAGATGGACGTGATCGAGGTGGAAATCCGAAGGTATGCACCCACTGCGGATCGACGCGACATGATGATCGTGGATGCTGGCAGATCCTAACGTGCCAGAAGTGCGGTCGCACAGGGTATCCTTCAAACAAGTGTTTCTACGTGTGTGCAGCATGTGGAGAGGTACATGAGAATGGCAAATGCCCCATGGAAGAGTTTTTTACTTAATCCGCCAGTGGTATGTGCCTACTAAGCATGCGGGTATGTTTTCTCAGAAGGTTGAGGAATTGTTAAACTAGAACGCTCGCCAGGTTAGAATCTGGCGCGAGCCGAACGTTCTGGGATATGCATATATACATTTGTTGAGAAGAAGTCGGATGACCAAGGAGCTAAGGATCGGCGCGATTCGATCTCTAATATATGTGATCGTTTAAAACGAACCTCTTTAATAACACTTGTGAAGCGAGTGGACTAATATGCCCGATGTCCGGTGGAGATGGAGCTCGATCTCACCCCAGGTGAGTCGAGGAGATACTGGAAGTATCATACTCCGGGAAAATGGTTCAAACAAGCAAAAAAAAGTGGGCAAGATTATTAAGGAGAAGGCCACTTTTCTGTTTGACTCTGGTGCGGAGATCTTGATCATCGACACTACCTTTGCTCGTAAGGTAGGGTGTGTGATAGAAGAGAACCAAACACAAGAATGTGCTGAGATCGGAGAGAGTGCTTATATGACGGTAGGACGGACCAAGATCGTGATCACACTGAACGGAACACTAGTGTATTATTTTGATGTCAGGGTTGGGGATCAAGTCGGTCAAGAAGCTATACTAGGCATAAACTTCATGGTTCTTGCAGGTATCCGTTTGGATTTGGCCGACGGAACTCTTTGCCTTCTTGATGAAGTTCGAATCTGTCTGGCTGGACAAAGACCACCGTACTGATCGAATATATCGGCGGTCAACGTTGACGATCAACATAGAGCCATTGCGGCCGGCAAATCGGCAGAAGTCAGGATCGGCGTCAACACTCCTAAATCTAAGCTTTGGGTGCGACTGGATGTGGCGAGGATTCCTACCGTGACGAATGGTCCCGGAAGGATTAAGTTCCTACAGCTTATAAATGTAAGCGATCGTGACTTGATCTTAAACTGCGGGGCTTCTTCAGCGCTGTGGATGGCAGAAGACATGATCCCGCGATCTAAAGGATATTTATCTGTAGGATCGCGGCGGTACATGCAATGGCAGACATTGGCTTTTGAATCCACTACAGATCGAGATGAAGAAGAAGCATAAGTCTGCACGGGCCCGTTAGTAGATCATCCTACGTATGAGAAACCTACCCGAATTTTGACACGCTCAAAACGAAATTAGACGACATCAAGGTTTCTTCAGAGATCGCCTCACTATCCGACTCTAATGGTGACTCTAATGAGGAGCTGCAGGAAGAATGTACGAGCGGGAAGAATAACGATGACAAGGATGATATTTCGACAATGATATCATGTGCGGTCAACGCAGTGCGAAAGACGCCAGAACATTCGGGTGAAGAGGACATGGTTGCAGAAGAGGGTATGATACCGAAAGACAACCATGAGGCAATTGATCCGCTACAAGTACAGTCCGAATGTCACCCAGACGGGATCAAGGTTAAAGATCGATAAGTGTATGGCCAGTCTACACGACTGGATGATGACGTGAAAGCTGTTACGATCGAAGGCGAAGTGATGAAAAATGATGTACCGGATGAATCGACATACTACACGAGGGAGTTGAACCGTTCGCAGAAGATGTGGAACAACACATGGCTGTACTGCCGGAGGTAACCATATCCACGACCGAGATAACAATAGACGATGTCCAGGTTGGCGATCCTGGAATACTATTGACAGAGGATCAAAAGGATTTGCGACGACTGATATGGAAGAGTCATCACCTGTTGATCGGGAGAAGAAATGCATTACCCCCTGCAGCACGCGGGGCCATTTACGATATTGATGTGGGAGAGGCGAGGCCTATCGCTCAGAGTGTACGACCTGTTGCGCCAAAGTTTCGTGAGAAGTTGGCCGATCTGATAAAAGGACTGTTGTCAGCTAAGATTATCCAATCCTCGGCATCGCCGTGGGCATCACCAATAGTCGTAATTATTAATAAGAACGGAGAAATTATCCGACTGAGTATAGACTATCGACGAGTTAATCACTTGACACATTGATGGTGTACCCTATGCCACTTATCAAAAAAAATAGTTCCGGACAAGGAAAAGAAATTAGGTATTCTTCGCTGGACATGGCGAGTGGATTTTGGGTGGTAGAGATGACTGAACGAGCAAGATCGATCTCTGCGTTTATCACGCCGTCAGGGTTGTTTGAATGGTTGCGGATGGAGTTTGAACTAAGAACGTCCCACAGATTTATCAGCGTTTGATTGATAATGCTCTATATGGTTATCTCAAGATCGGTACAAATAAGGATGTGAACGCAACGGATCATCCTAAGTTCACTGATGTGTTTACTGTGGGAGAGCCGGACACGAATCAAGCGCCGTCAGTGATAGGTAAATGATCTTATATTGACGATATATTGATCCCGGCTACGTCATTGACATCTTTGTACGACAAGGTCTAAAGATTATTGACAGCATGCGATTGATGGAATTTGTCGATTAGTCTGACCAAGAGTTTTTGGGGACGGCGTGAGGTACATTACTTAGATCACCAGGTATCTTAGGCTGGGTTGGGTTGGAGGCCAATCCTAAAGATCTAGGATTGCTGGTTGACATTTCTTTTTCTCACAACTTTGCAATCCATGCATTCGTTCCTAAATAGCTTGAACTATTGCAGTTGTTTTATAAAAGATTTTGCAGTATATGCATCGGTGTTGTACGAGTACGAGAGGCGGATTTTTTCGAGATGAGCCATATGGGAGGTCGTGATGCGATGTCGGGAAGTTGCGATAACACATTACAAGGGGGTGAGCATGGTCTAAATGCTCAATCTCGGTGGGATAGGGCCGCCATTGCATTCACTTTGCTGAAGGACAAGATCGCTACAACCCCGATCCTCAAACATTTCGATCCAGATCGACTTCCAGTGATCATGGTACATGCTAGTAAATGGGCAGTATCGGCACCTCTGTTGCAAGAATATGACGGCGTGTACTGGCCGGTGACATTTACGAGTCTCACAGTGAAGCCTAATGAAGTCAATTATGGTATGGTGGATAAAGAAGTTTTAGCCCTACTTCTAATCTTGGAAGTGTGCTACACCATGCTTGTATCCCGGGAGATCATGGTAATCACTCGATATTCGACATTTTCTTAGTTAGTTTATTCTTCTGGCCTTATTGGGAGACTGGGAAGATGGGCTGCGCTGCTATCGAATTGGACACTGGAAGTCAAGAGATGAAAGAAAGGAGAGGATGGAAAACTAGACGCTCTCGCAGCTAGCATAACTCCGCGAGATGATGTAGACGGTGTGTTGATTTCGATCGCTCCACAGAAGAAACCTAAACAGTCGGTATCTATGCTACCCCCTACGGTAGGTACGGATGAAGGCCTGTTGGAGGTCAGTTCCGACGTATCGGCACGGACTAAAAGGAAGAGCGGGGCATATAGTGCGATCGTGTGGAAGCTACCAGAATCTCCATCGTCTTAGCCACTTTGGAATATGTGGCAGGTCTGACGGTGAATGCAGCAGAATATTAATGCATGTTGTTTGGTCTCGATCTGCTGGACAACTAAACTAGGGGACGAGTCATTATATGTGGTGACTCGAACCTAGTGATTAGGCAAATGCGGGGAGAGATAAATTGTTAGGCGCCCGGGCTACAGTTATTGCGTCATAAAGCAATGCAGAAACTTCGATCTTGGCCAAAACACGAGTTCCTACACATGAAGAGGGAGTGGAACTACAGCGTGGATCGACTAGCAGTGCAGCTTTGCAGCAAGAGGAAGGTGTCATTTAAACTCAAATCAAGAATTGCAAGATTTGATATCACTCAACAAGCTGCACGGGTTGCTTCTGCCGGAAGGGACGGATCGCGTGGTGAAAACGATAGCGATCACACGATCCGCGCGGCGAAGGCGTCAACAACCCGACGTTTTACAAGAAGAAAAAGTGCAGCGTATGAGGATCGAGCAGATAAAACAAGCGCAAGAGGAAGAGAGCTGGATCGTCAACCTGAAGGAATATCTTGTGGGCGACCTGACCCAGTTAAACGCAGAAGATGCAAAATTATGCGCTCGGATCGCTCCAGACTACGAAGTGGACGAAAATGGAATGCTGTTCTTCAGCCCCCGATCCACTAAGTAATCGGACGATCGTATAGAGATGGTCCGTCTGGTTGTACCGGAATTGTTGCAGCAAGACTTTATGGACAATTACCACACAAGCTTAGAGGGTGGTCACCAAGGGGCCGGGAGACCTTATCAGTGGATCAGATTTAGTTTACACTAGAGAGGATTGTATCGGAGAATACAACGTTATGTTGGCGAATGCGTGGACTGTACAACCGGAAAGGGTCTACCCGCGATACGCGGCGGATCCCCGGGAAACATACAGGCTACATACCCATTTCAGGTGATCGCGATGGATCACATCCCATCATTGCCGCGGTCAATTAAAGGAAACACAGAACTGCTGCTGTAGGTAGATCTTTTCTCAGGATATGTGATCGCGAGAGAAAGATCGTCGAGGACCGCGCAAACGATCGCTGAAGGATATGAAGAATGTGTGTTTCGAAGATTTGGAGCCAGTGAAGTTATACGTCACGACCGGGAGCCTAGATTTATGTCCAATTTCTTTCGAGCATTTAATCGGATCGCAGGGCAAAAGCAACGTGCGACCATGGCGTACCGACCGCAAGCGAACGGAACTGCGGAGCGTATGGTACAGACGTTGACTCGGTCGATTAAGATGTACGTCACGGAAGTAGAACAGAAAGACTGGGATGATTATGCAGAAAGATTGACGTTCGATATGAATACGGCACAAGATCAGATCTGTGGAGACACTCCGTTCTATTTGATCCATGGCTGAGATCCAAGATCGACATTGGAAGCAACATTACCGTTAAGGAGCACTACAAACGAAATGCTGACCCTAGAAGGTGGCGATACAACGTCCAACGTCACTATTAGAGGGCATGAGCAGTGGTAAACGAACGTCTCAAGATCGCGATCCAAGATCGAGCGGATCGACACAATGACATTAATGAAGTGTGGAATATCAAGTGCGGATCGCAAGTTTGGCTTTACTTGGACCGAGTCAAAGATGGATATGCTCGAAAGTTAGCACATATGTGGCACGGACCGTTCCGAGTGGCAGAGTTATGTGGGGAGCATGCTGTTCGGGTGGAGATTATAGGAACTCCATACCGATTGTTCCCGATAGTGCACGTCTCCAAGTTAAAGCCAGTGGTACAATTTTCCGATCGCCCAGACAGTGTGCTAGTGACTAACTGTGAGGATCGTGTGGAATTCGATGAGTCGTTGTTGCCGAAAGATAGTTGGGAAAACGAGTTGGCTGCCGGCGAATACGAACTGGAGAAAATGTTGGATGTACGATCAGGACGTAAAACTCGTTATGGCCGAGTGCATCGACAATTTTTGGTTCAATGGAAGCAACAAGACAACCCGACCTGGATAGACATCAACTGCGGCGTGTTTTTGCAAAATTTTGAGCGCAACCGTGCGAGTCAAAAACGGTTTAAAGTTATGCAGTTCTATAAGAAGGAAATTGAAGCTTCACGGGTAATTGAAGCAATGAGCGGTTGGCGCATGCTAAAAGGTGAACGTGTAGTGGGAGATGGGCATACGTACAAGGAGGTTGTATGAGATGATGGATCGGGGCTATATGTAAAATGAGTGGCGATAGCGGATCGAAGGGGTCCGATCGCGATTGAAAAGCCGAAGAAAAGAAGTCGATCTCAAGATGAAGAGCAAGATGAAGGATCAAGAGAGATGATATTGAATTATGGAACTATCTGAATCAAATTCTAGTGATCAAGCAGGAAAAACTTACCTGGCAATCGTACGATCGATGATCCGGGGTGGTCAGCGATAGAGGATCGATACTGAGAGCACCAAGGTTTAGCGGCATCCAGTAAGGGGAGAGCAGCGATCAAATTGGAGATGCCCTTCGGTTAGCATCCCGAGCCAGGACACCAAGGGGAAACCACTTTGAAATAAGGGAAATGCAGAAAGAAGGAATTCAACAGAATGACCAGGTCACAATGACCTGCGATCATACCTTGCAAGATGAATCGAAGGATCGCCTTCCACTCAGGCCCAGCTTACGACCGACGCTGCTTCCGCTGTTTCCAGAACTGGTCCGGTTCAGGATCGCTGACCCGCAGTTCACTAGAAAGGAAGATTGCGTGCGTCGACTCCCACAAAGCCTGTCGGTTTCGATCCTCGGACTCCAAGTATAGAGAGGCGAGCTGGTCGAACCAGCCGGTACGAGGGAAGGAGATCGGCGCAATCCGACGTGTGGCTGTCTCCCAAGGCTCTTGAGCGTATAAGGCCGCGATCTGGGCCGAACACGCCAGCAGGGGTGTCCACTCAGATGTGGGAGGAGGACACTTGGGCGCCATAACCGTCGGGAAGATATAGCCTTTGGGACGGGATAAGTGGCGGTACAGGAAGTCAATGTCTATCTCCGCGACGCTCGTCCAACTGACCTTGCGTGCCGACCAGGGAGAAACCTGAGTGTACGATCGCGGTACGCGATCTCGATATCCAGGGATCCACTGGTTGCGAGAGACCTTGATAGGGGGCAAGCTATCATAATCCGTCAGGGATAACATTGGATTGACGTGATCACGAGGCGAATTAAAGAGGCTGATGGCACCATCCGAGTCGCTGGACGCTTCTCCGAAAAGGTCTGCGCGAGAAACCTTGGTCACGGTAGGAATAAAAGGACCAACCGGAGGTGGAGGATTGCGCGAAGGGCTCGGCGTGTCTATGACGATCGGATCCGGAGAAGGCCCAGCCGGAGGTTGTGCCGCCGGATTGGACGCTCGACGACGACTGGAGGGCCGCGAACCAGATAAAGCCGCTAAAGTCTCATTCTCACCTACCGATGTATCCTCCTCCTCAGACGAGGTTGAGCTCGGACCACGGAGTTTCTGCTTGCCCAGTTTCGGGGTTGCTGCAGGCTTCGCTGGATCATGGCGATTCTTGAGATCGCGACGACCCTTAGCATCGCGAGTTTCCTTAGGAGCGGACGAAGGCTTGAAATCGCAGACTGGAGACGTCTTGGCTCTAGCAGTAGCGGATCGTGCCACCTTGGGATCGCGAAATGGGGACGGCTTGGCTTTTGACGCAGCGGATCGTGCCACCTTGGGAGCGCAAACTGGGGACGGCTTGGCTTTGGACGCAGCGGATCGAGTCACTTCCTTTAAAGACGGCAAGTTGACGATGGTAGGGAATCGCCAGATCGCTTGCGACTCGATCCTGAAATGTTCGGCATCGGCTGAGGAGTCGCGGAAATGGGCGTGTGGGTAGAAGATTCCACCTTCGTAGGTGTGGATGAAGTATCCCCGGACACCAGCGAGGCCATACGATCCCGAAAAGTCGTGTAATCTTGTATTGCGCGATCCCGTTCGGCAGCCACGTCCGCGAGCTGAACTCACATCTAGTCCAACGTAACGTTACGATCCGATACGATGCGACGCAATTGATCACAATCAGCGTATCGGGGGAATTTAGAATCCTGCGCCTCGCCCAGTTCGGCTTGAAGCCCCGATACCTGCTTGAGCACGCGACACGGCTTTTCCTGGTCGGCCCTGGAGCCCCGCTACTTGTTTGAGTGCACGACGCAGCTTCTCTTGGAGTTGGAGGCCGGTTTTTTGTACCTCAAATTCTTGCTGTTGGCCTTGTCCAGGCTGTGGGACAACTTGCCGCATTCAGCCACCAACCGTTCTCCCGCCTCGTCCATCTTATTGTGTATCCCGGCGATCTCACGATCGGATTTCTCCTGTGCGCCATGACGTGCTCGCACAGTCCGGGGAATTTCAGATATCAATTGTTCGATCGAGACGGTCTGGTCGATCCGGTCGGTCAACGCCTCCCGAAAGGCTTTGGACCGCTTGATCTAGTCTTCATATCGAACGCAAACGCGGTCGTACTTCGATTGGACGAACTGAACGAAAGGGGACGCGGAGGTGCGGAGCTCCTGAAGTTCCTCATTCAGCTGGCTATTCTGGATCATCTGCTGCTCCAAGGCAGCCTCCATACTCTGGTACCGATCCACGACAGTCTGTTAGAGGTTCAGGCGAAGTTAAAGCGAATAAATTGCTGCGTTTAGCGCGGCTCGATCGAACGAACCCGAGGCTTCGACCCGAGTACTTGGGAGCAAGATGGGCTCACTCGGATCCGGAGTTGGGACGTTTGGCCGGCGGAGGTCCTGTCCGGAGCGGGGATCGAAGAGGATTGCGACAGAGGGATCGCGATCGAAACCAAATTAGATCCTTCCCCCATCTGGGCCGGCGATACCACAGACGAGCGATCACACTCGGTCACCGGCACGGTGGAGACGTCTGAGATTGCAGGACTGGTAGGCGTCGAGGTTTCGACATCTGAGGTTGGGATCGTAGAGGGCGATCCGAGAGGCATCAGGAGGGCTTACCTGATACGGGTGGGCTGGATCGGACATCGTGTCAGAAGATGAGAAAGTGCGTGAGAAGGAATGAAGCACACAAGGTTGCACAGCCAGATCAACACCTTATGATGACTGACGGTGTAGGGGACGGTTGTGGCAAAGCGGTCACAAGATAAATTTCTATCGGGACTTGGATTGGCGATCGCACGGATCGCACGCCCCAGTTCATTCAAGAATGCTATGATTGGTGGATACAGGCCGGGACGGGTGGCTGGCAATAGCGTACCTAAAACCCCAAGTGGACAGGATCATACAGCCTGGGACGAGGCTATAGGGTGGTCACACCCGTTTGGATTACGCAATCCGTCATGAGATGTGGCAAGACAAGATCCTCGATCTCACTGGAAGACCGCGATCCTAACCCAGGATCGCAAGTCCGACCTCAGCTGCGATCCGCTAATAGGATTACGATCCGCTAGTAGGATCACGATCCACGAGTAGGATCACGATCCGCTAGTAGGATCACGATCCACAAGTAGGATCATGGGGATATCTTGGGTGGGCCACAAGAAGATACAACGGTTGATATACTGAGTGTGGACCACACAAATGCGAGGAAAAAATCTTCCTGGAAAGGCGACGCGTGGCATCTGGTTAGGATATACGGATAGCCATAGGGGTGAGGTTTAAATTGGTTGGTTAACATTAAATAGAGTACAGCTTACTTCACAAGGCACACGTTATCTCTTCAGGGTAGGATATTTGGCCCCCCGTTGAATAAATAGTCGCGCCACACGTCTACGCAAGTATCACACCTGTATTGTTTTGGCCAGGTGTGTTCAAGAACTCTCAAGCAACATCAACTGCGATCGGACGCAGCAAAACACGTAAAGGCAAGGTGCAAGATCGCGAGACGGCTCAAGTAGTCAGAAGGCTCGCGGATCAAGCAACCACGTATTGGACAAGGTGATCTCGTTGAGATCAGGGTAACTTATATCAGTACCCACAAGTACCCCGTGATCGCGTGAAGATTTCCGCACGATCACAACCCCATCCCCAACACGGTCAAGTTTTCCTTCGACACGAGTCCACCTGGAAGAGTGCAACCCGCCCTACCGACGGTTACACAAGGTGAAGAAGGCAACACACACGGGATCGGAGTAGCCCCTCCGTTAGTCGGTCGTCCGGGCGCCAGTGGAGAGTTGGGATCGTCTCATAAAATGAGCATTCGCCACTCCACCACATCAACTTGACCACCTCCGATGCTGACTTCGGGGGCGTCACCAGATCAATTGTGTAAGCGCTTACACTTTGCCCGTCATTCACCAAGACATTCACCGTCTCCGTGCTTTCCTGGGAAATTACATCCGCAGGTGGTTGGGGATCCACGCCCTCAACATGACTCTCTCGGGAGTTATTGCTCTCAGGATCGCTGGATTCTGTTCCATTTGGTGTATTGTCACGGTCGCGTCCTCTTCGATCGACTCCATTTCAGTCGATCGGGCTTGCTCTAAAATCGACTCTCTGTTAGTCGATCTCGATTCAATGTGTTATTCATCTTGAGCAACACTAATCTCCCTTCTTGGATGCACCCTTCTTGGTGTGCATCCGTGTTCCAGTCCACTCGATCTTTTAGAGTGGTGAACCTTCGGCGCAGCCTGTGTCTCTACACAGGTACCGGAAGCTGGTTCCACAGTGTAGTGGCCTTCTACACTGTGATTTTGTGCAGTCGTACTAACGACCGTACTACAAGTGAGGCCATCGCACTCACTCGTAGTGCATCCACACGCTTCTGGACGATCCAAGACGTTCATCAAATAGCCATCTGATGAACAAATGGCAGGCATCTTCACGGATCGATGCTGCCAGCTGATCAATGGCCGGTATTTTCTAAGCCATGGCAGACCGAGGATGACATCAAACTTGTCATCCAAATCCAGTACGATGTAGTCGTCGTTGTACTGCTTTCCTTCTAGCGTGTAGTGGATTCCCACTGCACGTTTATTCACTGTTACAGATGCGCCTGTAGCAAGGCACACCGTCATCCTCGTTGGATGGAACTCTCGCTCCACATAGATGAGTCTACTATCCCTTAGCGACTGGCGTCGAAAAAAACTGTATGAGGCCCCACAGTCAACTAGGGCGCGAAGTGACATTCCACTTGTCACTTCGATCTTCAAAGTGATGAGAGACTCCTCATCACTAGGGGCAGTGCCACACAGAGACTGTGTGTTGGGAGCAATCTTCGTCAAGAGTCGTGCAAATTCTCTTGACGTTGCTGGATCAGCAGGGTGCTCCGCCCAAACTGACCCTGACCGTTTTTTGGCGGTCCGAATTGTTGTCGCGGCTTAGCGACATGGTCGGACTCGCGCCTTGGACCATTCCTTGGCCAACGGCGGTCAACACGTCCTGTCTTTGGACGTGATGCGGTGCTTGTGGTGAATTGGGGTTCGCTTTTTTTTAGGCGATCCCGACTCTCCACTGGCGCCCAGACGACCGACTAACGGACGGGGTTATCCGATTCTGCTTGCACTTGTTTCCTCCTCACCTTGTATACCCGTCAGCAGGGCGGGTTGCACTCTTCTAGGTGGGCTCAACGCGATGCTAAACTTGACCGTTGTAGAGATCGGTGCTGATCGAGTGGAAAATCCTCACCCGATCGCGTGTTCTGGGTTGGCGCTCTCCTAGAGTCGCCGTGATCTGCCCTGATCACCTTGTGCAAAATGTGTACTTGAGTCGCGAGACTCTCTGGCCACTTGAGCCGTCTCGCGATCTTGTACTTCAACCGATACGGTTGGCTGCGTCCGATCGCAGTAGGAGTGTGTTGAGAGTCCTAGCACTCCTGGCCAAAAAGCTCCAGGAGTGATCGTTCTATCCTTCATGTCGAGATTCTCAGACGTCGGGAGACCAAAATATCCAACCCGGGAGAAGATCGACACGAATGTGTTTAGAAGCAAATTGAATTCTCTTTAATGTTAACCAATCATACCCTCACACCTTACCCCTATAACCCAAAGATCAGATGCCACGCGTCGCCTCTACAGATCGCCCCTTGTACCTATGTAGCACAGACCTGACACACCAACCGTCTGATCGCATCAGGGCATGGTCCACGCCAGATCGCGGTCCCTTGATCGAGGCCCCTGATCGCGGTCCCCTGATCGCGGTACTTTTTGCCGTTCTGAACCGTTCTGAATTGTTCTGACCGGATGAGATACTTCCGTAAATTAATTCTAACAATGCCATCCATATGATTGGTCTTCGTCCCACGATCGTTCCGCCGGTTCCCACTCCGTACTTAAACAAACGTTTGAGGTTTTAAAACACCGATCTTGATTGACTTTACCGCAACTTTACCACAGTTGAGACAATCCACTCATGATCGTATTGTCCGATCTTCTGACAGCGTTGGCATCTTGCCGTTCGCTTGTGACATAGAGAGCGAGATATCTCGCTCTCGATTTAACAGAGGTCCATCGGTTCGGTACCTCCGGTTTCCTGTCGTCCTGTCGGGCGATAGTTTGACAAGTTAGCCTGAGACTGTCTCAGGCTAAATTTTTCCTGTTCCGCATACGCTATCGCCTTTTCCAGCGTATGAAGTCCTCTCGGAACATGTAGGTCTACACCGGCCCATCTACAAGGCGGTAGGTGATCACATTCATAAGCGTGTTCTCATCAACAGGGTTTTCCATAACGCTACTCGCAAGGCAGCGCAGGTGCTGTGCGTAAGCGTGCACGTCACGCTTACCTTACTTTAGCATCAAGAATGCAGAGCGTGCTCTGAACTCGGCTCTCGGTGGCTCGAACGTTTCCTTAAGCCGAGACTTGAAGATCTCTAACGACTCAAACACGTTTGGTTCGTGAAGCTTGAGCCCTAAGGCCCAAGTCTTTGCTCGTCATGTCGAATCTGATAGGGCGAAGGCGACTTGCATCTCGTCACCCTCGATGTGGCGGGCCCTGAAGGCATCGTCTACCTCGACGAACCATCTCAAAAGGGATTCTTTGTTGGTTTCCTTGTACATTGAGATATCAATCTTCAAGGTTTCGAGTTGACGCATGTGCGTCGGCCCACTTCATCGACTGATGAGAGCCTTGCTGCTGTAGCAAGGCTATCTTCTGCGTTCGACAGCAAGTTCCCCTTGTAGAAACTTGTTGATAGCAGCATGTTGCTGGTCTCTGTTTAGAGACTCCAACATACCACTGATGTCGGGTTCGCCCATGAGCACACTCATGCGGCCGACTACCCATCACTCTGAGTCACTCAGATAAGAATATGCCTTTACGTGTGACGTGAAAGCTGTCGTTTTCTACGTCCAAGATGTTCATGTTGGACGAACACTAAGTAGTCGTTGGAAGGACTACAAAGTGCCACCAGGTGTAACGGGGCACCTTTTGTCTGGGTGCCACGAAACTTCACGTACACTACTAGTACGTGCAGAGGAAGCTAATCTACTTGAACAACTCGTTCAAGTAAAGGTAAAAAGAGAACTGTAATTGTATAGTTAAGCTATCAATATGACTTTAATCTTTATCTAACTATGTTAAACTACGTCGTCGTATGACGACAACCTGCTCACCACTCATTGCGCGCGTCTAGCAGCGATTGGCGGCAACCTTGGTTGATATGTCTTATATCAACCAATCGTGGAGCAGCGCATGAATATTATCCATCCCGGATAATATTGGTAGAATGATGTCATGCTAGACAATATTCCTATTGACACCGTTCGGTGTCAATTTCATGTAACGGGCTACCCCGTTACACACACGGAAAGTCTCGCGAAAGGGTTTGACCCCGTTACAGATTAGATCATCGCAACTGTACGTGTTATTGATGTCTACCTCCATGCCTGTAGCTACCTTCGAAAATTATGAAGATCTCTAGATGGCCGCTGTATACCCTGATTTTATGGAGATGACGAGTTGTTTCACGAGCAGCACCTGTTGCTCAGTTTCTTAAAATAGACACGATTTTCCCACGGCTTATGTAGGTAAGGTTGAATAGAACTAGAGAATGTGCCGTGATTGTTAGAGTGCAGTCGTGGATACTGCTGTGGATGGAGCAAACACTGTAGTAAATCTATCAGAGACTTTCGCTTTTTTATACCAAAGTCAAACTCTCATTTTCACGCTCAAAATTCACCGTAATTTTTTCCCATCTTCAACTTTATGTCTGGCAACCCCTCGTTTTAGTGGCGTGCCAGTAATTTGGCAAACTGGATAGTGCCACACCGTCTTCAGCCTTTCTCCACGACGCCATTTTGTGTCCGCCCGATCTTTCCATTTCCAGTTTTCCTCTCGTCGAGTACAACGCAAGCGAGCGCGGGCCGCAATGACCGTATGGCGCTCCCCAGTCTTTCTGGGTCTCTTTGGCGACCCGTATCTACGGAACACTCCATACGAGTCCGGAGGCGACCCGCAGGCGCTCATGAGCGTCCTGGAAAGCATGACGCAGCTGCTGCAGCCGCCGCAGGATCAACACGAGCAGGCCTCAACCCGAGACAAAGCAAGCGAGACTCCACTGACGTTTCCACTTACAGTCGACCAGCAGCGCGTACTGCAGACGTTGGTGCTCCCTCAGCTGGTATTCTGCAGCCAATGGGTGGAGAAGGGCGCCAAAGTGGACGACGCTGCCCAGTTCCAGACCTTTTTGACTGAATGGAAAGCGGAACTTGCCAAACTTCAAGTCGGAAAGCCTATCCTGGTGCCTGGAGGGTACGTTGGAACGCTGACGAGCCATTCCATTATTTACGTGGTCGAGAAGACGAGCAATGCACCAGAGGAGTATTCGTTTATAGTGTGCAATAAAGGTCCTGGAGCCGAGATGTACCATCCATGCAAGGTCAGAGACGGCGCCGACAAGATACGTGTCCAGTCGTGCATTCAAATTAGTAACATCTCGGTACGTCGGTTCTTGGATATGGCCTTCTGGTCATTGCTGTTCTCGCTGTGGGTGCGCAAGCCCGCGTCGGAGTACCATCGAGTGGAGACTATCTACGATGTCCTGCTACCTTGGCTTGCAGACGATCAATTGCTTCCATTGGCCTACGAGAAGTCATCGCAAGACGCACCTACTGATTGGACGAGTGCAGCTTTTGGAGGTGCACACACTGCGCAACGCAGCCAATTGGGCTTTTGTAAGAGCGTCATTGAAGCAGTGCGCTGTTTGAGCCTACGCGACGAAGCTTTTACGAGCGAGGAAGTAAAGTATACCATTTTATACCAAATGCGCTATCGTTTATGTCTGCGAATGGTAAAAGGATTGGAAATTGCGGAAAATCCAGCAAAGGCGATCCCTGATAGCGCGCTGGCTAGTGCACTGCAAACGCTGTCTACTATTTCACTGCAAGATTCACTTCAGGGGACCCACACCGTGGCAGAGGTGGATCCTGAAGCTGTCGTTGGTATTTATTTCACATTGGCAACGTCTGCGGCCTGTCGTAAGCTGACACATGCACTGTCTGTATTCAGCGAAAGTTTACACGCTGCAAACAAGAAGTTTGTCGTAATTGTAGTGTCCGTTGATCAAGAGCAGGCAGATTACGCAGCATTTGTAGCGAGCTTACCGCTGCACACATGGCTCATCGTGCCTTTCTCAGAAAAAGAGGCTCGAGAGAAGCTGGTGCAGACGTTTGCCATTACGAAGGTGCCGCAGCTTATTTTGCGAGGGTCGAATGGAGCCATCTTGACGCCGCTGGGAAAGGAGCTTATAATGTCTGACCCGACGGGTGCTTTTTATCCATGGACTAGCGAGCAGTTTGAGCTGCCAAAGATGCATCTTTCCGTTTCCGAAGCGACATGCATTGCCATAGGTGTGAAGCAGATTGGATTAAAAACGCTCAAGCAATATGATCGTCGAAATATAGAAGCCCAAGGTCTTGGTCACGTCAACAAACTTATGATCGAAACAGAGCGGCTGGTAGAGTCGGTGGAGATGATCGTTAGCTCCGAAGGCAACAGTAAGTGCGGCGTGGCTTCCCTGAAAGATGTATTCATGTTCATCCCCCATTTTAATATGGAGCTGCTGCAGCTGCAAGAACACGCCAGTGTGTACGCGGGTAACACATATGAGCTTGATGCTCCTGTTCTTAGCAACTTTTTGGATGTGCCCGAACGTATTACATCGATTGCGCTAGCAGTCGCAGCATTTGTTAGGTGCACGGCTTTGTGCGAGTCCCTGCTGAAGCGAGCCGCCGAAGGATCGACATCTTCGAGACTATCTCTACATCACAAAGTCCTTCAACTTATCACAAGCGTTCTGGTGGAAGTGTTGCCAGTGCCCGAGCATATTGGTGCCGACGGAACTGTGTCATCCACTTGTATATGGAGGCATCCTGTTGCAAAGAACTTGCAGCTTCGATGTCTGAAATACATACATTCTCTCCTTATGATTCTGGGATCAGTATGGCAGTCGATGGAGCAGCCAAGTCGTCAATTCGATTCAGAGCGCGCACTTGCGGCATTGTGTGCCTTGTGCATTTTTGACGCTGTAGTTCGCACCCCAGCAGCCGATGAACCACTGGAGATTTCTCTCCTGATGGAAGAAGGAGATGGGTATGTTTTGGCTCACACGTTCTGCAAGGCTAATATCTCAATCAAGAAGCTGGCTTCGACGACGGAGTTTGCGCGCCCAAACTTTTGTGTTGTCCGAGGTCAGGTGCTTGCTTACCTCCACAGCCAGGATGTCAAAGGAAAACAACAGCTTTTTGATTATCACATGCCAGACGACAAAGTTGAAATCAGGCGATATTCGACGACGATTCACTTCTTTCGTAGACTAATGGAGCGGTATCACTACCAACTCATCGATCCCGACAACCAGGCACCACCAACTGAGATGGAAGCGCTTATGGAGTGGTTTTGTAGCGACACGACTCCTATGGCCGAGGATCATCCTGAAGTTGGTATGGCCCGTGATCTAGTCATGATGGTTAAGTTCTTAGCTACAATGGAAACGAAGGAAGTCGAGCTCATGAAGCACCGAACTGCTAACGAACACTGGCAGATGTGGCAGCTATCGTTTGACGACTCAGCAGCAACCCATCGACGGAATTTTTTTGGTGTTCGCGGACTCAATCAAGTACTTCACGGCACATTGAAATGGGAGGTCGTTAACTTCCGCGGAAGCGACCAAGACGTCGCAGACGTGGAGGTGAAGGGGTTCATGGACAGGAAAGTATATTTTGGCGAAGGTCCGGTTGTGACAAGTCCTGCAAACCTAAGTGCACTTCTTGTTAAATGTTCAAGCAACACGTCGGCTGGTAGTCTCTCTACAGTAATTACTGAAGACGATATCATGCATCTCACCGACCTGCCTACTTACAAAGGAACTCTGTCAACGGAGGAGTCAGAATATCTCATGAGCTACTTGACGGTGCCATACACGCGCATTCCGCTTGTAGCTTCATTCTTTTCCTCGCAGGATCGCGCTACGTATTTGTTTAATCCGATGCTGCAACGTCTATTTCGTGCTATTTTGTTTGAGGGTGGAGATTGGGTGGCCGGTGACAAAGCTGAACAAATCACCCGTATTCCATTAAGAAAGTCAAACTTCGTGATGCACGAGGAAGCCGTCGAACAGACATGTGATGCCCGAGTTCGTTACCAGAAGTGTGAAGACCATCTGGGCACAACAAATGGGCTTCTCTTGAACGAGCTGACCCACGCCCCGAAAGCGATTGTATTGCCTCTACTGAAAATGCTAAATGCGATTAAGGAGCTTGGAGAAGTATCCGTTCACTCTGCGGACGCTCGATTTATTCTTTTCATGATCAAGTTGAGTGTGGATTTCTTGCGGTACGTAACGTTTGCGATCGACCAATGTAGTACCAGTGACGACCAAACGCGAGTTGCTAAGCTTGAGGGATATCGGTCTCAATTCATGACGTACGTATTCGGGTTCGCTCACAAAATCCTGGATAAATGGAGACACGAAGCTGAAGAAGCGAACAACCTCCAGACGGAGTGCGTGATCCATTCATATCTGGCCATTCTACATGTGAGCTTGCGCTGTTCTGAGTACGACGCACAGACAATCTCCGGTCTGCTAGGCTCCGTTGCTTACGTTCACAATTGGCATTGCTTCGGGATGAAAGTATCCACTGACGGTGATGTTGAGAAATGTGGTCTCACGGCGGCAGAGCGACTGCTGCGCTGGCTTCAAGCCCAAGGAATCAATACAGTCGATAGCGACAACACGTCCTTAGATAAGTACTTGGAGGGCCGACCTCTATACTTAAAAGTTGGGATGCAAACCATCCAAGCGCCGAGCCTTGTTGCGCTGCGCGATAAGAGCAATAGAAAAGAGACACTGCTACCACCTGGTGACGTGCTTGAAGTAGAGGTATTTGAAACTATCCAGTTACACCGACGTTCAATCGTGCAATGGCTAGCAAGTCTGCCGAAGGCAAATCGTAACAAGGTTTTAGGAAGGATTGTACAAATTGCTCTTCGTTCTACCGAGCAAACTGACGCGTGGGAGTGGATCGAAGAATCTCATGCCAGGGGTGCGGGAAAATACAGCTGCAGCGAACAAGAATTGAAGCTGGATACCCAGACAGGAGAGATTTTGTGGCGGAATGACGAATTGAAGCCTGTTCCGGACTCAATGACCCAGTTCGCAGACTTTATGGCCGTATTTGGGAATAAGGCGCTCCACTGCGGTCTTATCGCCCGCCAAGAGCATCGCTTATGGATTAGTATTGTTGGTACGGATTATCAGCTGGTTGAATGGGACGACCCGATCCATGAAATTGATCAGGGTGTAGGCGCTCCTCTGGTTTTCGAGCCTGGGAGTATAGATGGACCCGATGGTCTTAGCAAGGATTCTGGAGAACATAAAATGTACTGGGAGTGTCCGGCCTGCACATGTGCGAACTTCAATGGTGACAATCCTAACGCTACCTGTGAGGTATGTGGTACCCCTAGAATTGCTAACGTGCTTCACCACGCTTCGCAGAAAGAAGGAGAAAAAAAAGCCAAGCAACTGGGCGATGATGGATTCCACTACCTTGGCAAAACATTTTCGCGTCCATTTGATATTTATGCTGAGAAGGAGCACTCTTTTGTTGATGAATACTGGTTTGTCGATTTAATCGGCGATGCACTACGTGTGGTGTATCCTCCAGAACCGGACAATAAGAAATTACCTTACACGCTGTTTCTTCCGAATGAGCCATATCCAGCTAATGCTACCCGTGCGAACTTGATTGGCTTGGACCGAGGCTCTGATGACAAGGATAAGGAAAAACTTGCGACATTCAAGGAAATCGTGGCGTATCGAAGGATGAAGGTGGTGCACATATTTGCCTTGGTGTCGCACGGCCGTAGACTCTATCGCAAACTTATTTTCACGTCGAACTCGCGTCTTAGTCTTCACAATTTCCCTCCAACTATATTGCCTGATCAAGGGCCTGTTGATGCAGCATTGTTGTGGGCAAGCGGTGAGCCGTCCGAACGCCAGACTGCCGGGGGATCGCTCGTAGTGTTACGCAAGAACTATTTGCTGAAAGGAACCGAGCAGTTTGCCCCGTCGCGTCTTCTGCAGGGAGTCGTTCCAAGTTGTTTGCTGGAGAACTTCCGTTTTTGGATAGGAGAAGACGGACGTCTACGGGGTGATTCCGTGGACTCTAAGTCACAATGGTTTCGATATCGAGTAGAGATCGAGCTGAAGGAGTCTGGTCAAGCCTTCATCAGCCGAAAATCGATCACGTTACCATATACAAAAATTAAAAATGCCAAAATCGGCACCTTCTGCTCATCGAGTTGCAGTTCTATAAGATCTTCGCCAAGTCCGATTCACGTGCCAAGTAATGAAGCCAGTGCAGGCCACCACCCAGTATCTTCTGACTCGTTTAAAGCTAGCGATGACGATATCGTTCAGCTTATGGGCATGGGTTTTTCGTATGCTGGGTGTGGTCTGGCGTTACGCAAAAGTTGTAACAACGTGGACCTGGCAGCCCAATTCTTATTGGATGAAAGCAATCAGATGCAGATTCTTGCTGCAGAAGAAGCGGCGGCAGCTGGTGATTTTACCCTCAGCTCCGAGGAGCAGCATGAGCAAGATGTCGGGTTACTCATGAGTATAGAAGCTTCTTCTTCCAGAGCCGTAGCTGAATATGCGTTGGGTCTCTTCGCCGGAGATCGAGAGCTTGCGAAAGTTTGGCTGTTGGACCCCGCCAATCGTGCAGAAATTCAACGAGTAGATGTTGCTAAATGCGGCAAATTTCCGACGTCTGCGGTCGTCGAGGGAGACTTTGTTTCGTGTACGGAGATTGATGACGAGAAAAAGATGCCGATAGCAATGCCGAGGTTGAAGAACAAATCGAAGAAGCGGTTGGAGAATCTCTTTATCTGCTAAATATGCTCGAGGCCAGTTCAGCACGCGAAAATGACGAGGTTCTGGCATTGTCTGTATTGCTCTGTCGGATCGAGGATCTTTCACACATACTAGTCTGGTGTACCCACAAGGAAAGTCAAAACTCGCCATGTCAAATGTCCTCTATCGCTTTCATCGAGCTACCACGATTAAGGTTGAAGCTGCAGCCAAAGAAAGATATCGTTTCGGGGCATGTTCGCCTTCACGTCATGGATCAAACTTGCTGGTATGTGAGTGACCTGTCTCTCAAAGTGCCGAAAGATACGCCCACATATCTCCGTAACGTTCTTGAGATAGCGCCTGACTGCCTTGTCCTGGAGTCGGACACCACAGATCTACAGTTACTTTGTCCTAACCACGACTTACATCGTCCAGCGATTCGCGGGCATCCATTCTCTTCGTTACTCGTTAGCGACCGTGGGTCTGTGGACTGGCAACGAGCAATGAAGACAAGATTTTACAGCTATCCCGTCCATTCGAGCAACACGTTCTTACTGCCTCCTTCTCTTAGCTCCACGCTGTATCTGATACTCTTAAGCCTACTCACGCGCAAATATGCGACAACGACGGAGTTAATCATGGTGTGCAATGTAGATGTGAAATTCACTGACGAGGAAAAGCACGTTTTCGACCAGTTGTCCAAGACGCTTGATGACCGTCACCCAGATGCTTGTGCATGCCGCATCCGTTTGTCGCTATGTATTACCTACAGCGACAACATGGCTCCTTGGGAAATGAGTGGAGAACTACACGACTACCTCACGACGAGTGAGCACGTTGAGGTTTCTTGCAAACTTACACTAGAAGAAGAAAAGGAAGCTTTGGCGCAATGTCATCAGCAATCTCGTCTATTACTACTGCGGAAGAAATTTTGTGATCACGCTCAACCAAACACCACAGCAAATATTGACTTCAAGCTGACAAGATCGCGAGTTGGTGGTCAGCCGTGGATGAAGCTTAGCTTATATAGCAAAAACTATCTCATGGCACACGGCAAAAAGCTATCAACTGTGCGTTATAATCGACCGAAGCATAGGATCGGGATAAGCAACAAGTTCTTGATTGATGACGAGGAGGCGGGGAAACTTTTGTGGAACTGCGCGGTCGTTGGTGACGAAGTGAGTGGAACGAATCGAGGTCTTGGTTTCCTTTTCTTGTACGAATGTCTAAACCAGCAACTTGTCATCCGAATGGGTGGCGAAGACTGCACTCGGTCATTTGGTGACTTGTCCGCTCGTTTCCTGCACTTAAAATTGTCGAGATGGGGTCGTGAAACCGTGGATGATGGTGAAGAAGATTGCGTACCGTCGTACGCAATGGCGCAGTTGGCGATGATGATCGCTCGTCCTGGTGTTAAATGGCCTGTATCGCCCTGTGATCAAGAAAGCGTGGCTATACTCTCACGTGGTGCAAACTTGTACTCAAAACTGACAGTTGGAACAAATATTAAACACTTCTTTGACATACGTGAGATGGAATTCCAAAACATGCTTGAATCTGGAGACCACGAGTCTCTAGTTGTCGTGCCTAAAAAGAATCAATTCAGTCAGCTTCAGCGTACCGCCGAACGCATTTATGATATACGCATTACGCTATCAGATATCAAGGTGTGCTGTGACGTGTCGAATACGTCATGTGGCGAGCGCCACTTCACAGGAGCTGGAGAGTGCCACATATATCCCGAATTCCCATTGGAGGCGATAAACGTGAAGCATTTTGTCACCTTTTGCGACCCAGAAGCTGAAGTTGGAACAGCCTTACCGTTCGACCTCTCAAAGCACCCTGCAGCTCAATCCGCGGCTGCGCAAGATCTACTAAAACGACTTAGTGATGACATCGCTATCAATGCACAAGCAGCGAGTGGAAGCAAAGATGCATTTTTTACGGGTGTGACTCCATTAGATTTGTTATTGCCCGATAGCTTGATCTCGGCTGTTGAAAACATTCAAGAGCTGATTGACACTTGCGAGAATATGAGATTGCACGACCGCAAATTGGTCGAAGAAGGCATCACAATGCTTGAAAAGCTGACAAACGAGATCCATGTCGGCGATCACGAAAATCAGAAACAGATCGTCGCTGCTGATCGCTTTAGGATGCAGCGGCACGTTGGTATATACCCTCGAGTAACTTTTGACTTTCTCACATCGCTTTTGGCTTCGAATTCGTTTGAATCTGATTTGAAAGGTCGTAATCCGTTTGTGGTAAACGTAAGTGCGGATCTGGAGCAGAGGATATTGCGGGTGCTCTTCTTATGCAGTCGTATCGTGCACATAAATCGAGTCTTGCGATCCGGTCGCGCTCTTATTGTACTTCTGTACGGCATTTCAGCTCCTCACGATGGATACACACTGTCTGACACAATAAAGATGACTCGTCAAGCTTCTCGTGATTTGGCTGATATGTTATTATCAAAGCGACATTACCTCCACGGCCCTGTAGCAGGAGCATCGTCGGGATGGCGTTTCGATCCACGGTTTTTGATATTCGAATACGTTTTCGACATTTTGCTACGCAGTAGACAGGTTCAGATGATTCGTAGCTTTTTGATGAGTCTGGCAAAAGGCGATTCTCGTGTGCAACAAATGATAATGGGGGCTGGGAAGACGACAGTAGTGGGGCCTTTATTGACCTACATCCTTGCTGACAAAAGCCATCTTGTGACGCATGTAATGCCAACGGCCCTTTTGGAGCAGTCTCGACAAGTGTTGCGAAGCCGTTTTAGTAATCGCATACTACGTAAGCGTATTTTTACGTTCGAGTTTGATCGCGCAATAAGTGATAATCCAGCTACCGCATTGCAGATGTTTACGAAACTGGATCGTGCCCGGCGCCATGGAGATGTAGTGTGTGCTTCGCCAGAGTCAATTAAATCGATGATGCTAAAGCTTGTTGAGCTCTTGAACTCTCTCGACGAATCTGCAGACATCATTGAATTACCGCTTGCATCTGCATCACGAAACAGTAGGCGCATGAGGCGTGTACTAGAAGACCGTTCGGAAATGGCGGATGAGCTTTACAAGACGCTGAGGCTCTGGCAAAGCGGCACTTTAGTCATGGATGAGGTGGATGTATTGTTACACCCGTTGCGATCAGAACTCAACTTTCCCATTGGAAACAAGTTCCCGATTGATCTTGCAGCCAACAGATGGGAGCTACCCATTTATTTGATCGATGCTGTACTAGCATCTCGCGACACTACCACGCGTGAGTCTGGCTTGATCTCGCGGTTGCATGCTGTACTGAATGAAGGCTATACTGCCCACACACTACAGCGCTTTCCCCACCTTGTGCTTCTGGACATGGAATTTTACGAAGCTCACATGCTACCGCTGCTTTCAGATATTGCGATAACATGGTTGCTAAGGCTCTTTCGCATGGGCAAAATGCAGGTTCCTGTCGAGCAAATCAAGTACTATTTGGAGTGTCCCAGCTCCGATCTTTATACCAACGCTGCTCTTCGCGCTGATATTGCGAACGGTCTTTCCGAATCGTCAATCAAGCTACTTAATCTAGCACGCGACTGGTTGCGTACAATTCTACCGCATGTACTCTCTAAGATCAACCGAGTTTCTTATGGTCTATTGAGGGAAGAGCATCAAACGGCTGCTACGCCAAAACGAAATGGCGGGAACGCACATTCGCGGTTGATGCTAGCGGTTCCATTCATCGGAAAAGATGTACCGAGCCATTCGTCAGAATTTGCGCATCCTGACGTGCTCATAGGGTTGACGATTTTGTCGTATCGCTATGAAGGTATCCGCATACCCGATCTTCTGCGGATGGTCTCGCAACTAAAACAGGACTGTAGCCGTCAGCTAGGACCGCGAGAACAGCGCCCATCCTGTGCTTTGTTTCGTGGGTGGGTTCGTACCGGTCTAGCTGCACTTTCGTCAGAAGAACGAGAAGTGTCCAGCGGCATTCTTCCCTTACCACTATTTCAGCTTCATGACACAGTGCAGGTGACACGGCTGCACTTTTTGGTTGCGAAGCTTGCAGCAGTAGTATATTACTACGTCCGGCAACACGTTTTTCCATCGTGCATGAACTTCCAAAGGGTTAAGATTTCGGCTTGTGGTCACGAACTTGGCAGCGATTCTCTCTTTGCGAAGCGTATTGGTTTCTCGGGAACGCCGTCGAATCTGTTACCAATGGACTTAGGCGAGTGCTACTACGAGCCCTGCAGCGACGGTGGCATTTTTGAGGCTCTAACTAACAAGCGCATCGTATCAATTGAGCGTAAAGTGGAATGGACAGCAAGGAGCTTATTGTTGGATATCGCTCATGCGGAGCCATTAGTACATGCGCTCATTGACACGGGCGCCTTGATCACTGGGTTTGATAACTTGGAAGTAGCCGCTTTTCTTTTGGCTGAACTCCCTGCCAAAATGGAAGGAATTGTGTATATGGACAAAGATGACCGACAGATGATTCTGCTCCGCGATCATAACGCACCAATACCACTGCTGCAATGCGGATTATGCCCGAGCAAGAGATTCACATTCTACGATCAAGTGCACACGACAGGCATGGACATCAAGCAGTGTGTCAATGCCCGTGCTGTTGTCACACTGGGTAAGGATATGACCTTCCGCGATTACGCCCAGGGGGCTTACCGTATGCGCGGCATTGCCGCAGGACAGTCGATTTGTCTCTTCCTCATTCCCGAAGTCGAGAATCGCATAAACCACGAAATGAAACTTGCAAAAGTCGAGCTGACTTCACAGGGCTCTGCGCAGCAGCGACTAGATGCGTTTCTCCTGCTAGTGCCAGCATGGCTCCTCACGAATTCGATGCGCATGGAATCAATGCAGTTCGTGCAGCTGTCACTTCAAGAACTACACAACACTTGGCGCAAGCGAGCTCTTTACACTCTACTAGATGAAATCGATGGGGCTGTGGCGAAGAAGGCCTCGCTAGTCTCACGATTACGTCGATTCATTAGACGTGATGATGATAACGGGAAAGTTTGGCTACGTGATTGCATTGCATTGTTCCGCGTGGAAGTCTCGTACACCGTGGATGCTGCTGTACCAACAAAAAATCAGCTTTCAGATGTTGTTAGAGATCTGATTGAGGCTCACAAGAGCTTCTTAACAACAGACAAGGAGATGGAACGTGTCACCAGCGTAAAGGGGCGTCTATTGTGTTCAAGAGCGGGTCAGCAGCAAATGTGTGCAGAGGACACGTCAGAGCAGTGCGACATGCGCCTAACTGCGGAAGTTGTGCATGAGAACGAGGCCGAAGCCGAAGAAGAGGCGGAGGAGGAGGCAGAGCATGAGGAGCAAAAGATGAGTGCTTTCACACGTGATGACGAGCACCCTGTTTCATGGAGCGCCTATGTTCTTGCACAGCAACCTGCTATTGCTCCTTTATCGAAGAGAGACGACGAAACGAAGATGGAAGTGAATCAGCACCAAGAAGAGGCTTCTGTATTCTACCCTTTCTCACAGTTCCAAGCCCACGCACAGTGTCCGAAGGTTGATTTCCCATCAGAGCTACTGATGTCTGACAATTTTTTTCGACGTCGATGGGTGGGGCTTGGCGAGCGTCGTGTTAAGAACGTCGGCCTTATTCTCGAGTGGTCACCACTTCTCCACCAGACAGCGATGAAGACTGTCGTACAGCAGCTCTTTATGGAATATATGACCACGGATGCATCTACTAAGAATGCGAATGAAATCGCGGTGAAGGCTTTACAATCGGCCGCTGAAATGGCCAACATGAGTCCAGACGTGATTCCTGCTGCAATAACACGTGCCGTCAATTCCGTGATGACTCACTCTCCTGTATATCTGGTAACTCTGTCGCTTGCGGAGGGTGAGACGATTCGACGCATGATTCATGACAAGCACCCCGTGTTCCAGATAAGCCAGGTGCAGTTGCGCACAAGCGATGGCGAGCTTATCGAGAGCTCTTCATTTTTCTCGGCGTGGGCGCCAAAACCTGCGGCAACGATTTCTAACGTGATGCCGCTTCACGAAAAGACGATTGCTGCAGCAGTGCAATGCCTGCGGTTTTTTAACAACGAGATGTATTACTCCCCTGAGGAGGTAGACATGCTACTAGATGGACTAGCAGCTGTCCCCATAATGCTACGTCACGAATTCTTCAACTGCCTCCTTCGCTTGCGACGCCGCGAGCGTCACTTGTGGGAAGACACACCGCTGGCAAAAATGTTTACTGCTCAAAGCGAATGGCATCTGTTGACCGCACGAGCTCGTTTGCAACAATTCCAGCAGAGTTTGCTGCGCAAGCAGCGGCAGTACAAGAAGAAGGCGGGTACGAGTCGAAATCCAGTGCACGCGATGGCTACCTCCCACTTGGCTGTTGCTCTTCGACAATTCGATGACGACGAAGATGGTCGACTAAGCGCGGAAGAAATCTACAAGTGCTTGGAGAGTTTCCACTTGGGGTTCTCGTCAAATGAGCTGAACGAGATTATCAGCCTCATTGTCGACGTTCAGTTCACAGACGGCGCGGAAAACACTTCACAGGAGCTAAAGATTCCGCTTGCTGCAATTTGTGCATCATTTGGTATCTCCAGCGAGGAAGTGAAGACCGTCTTGATTCAAGAGGACCAGAAAGGTGCTGCTTGCGAAGCGACCAGTCCCATCCACGACGAGCCTTCGTGGAGCTGTCTCGTGTGCACGTACTTGAATGAAGGCGCGGCCGACACATGCGAAGCTTGCAGCGAGGCCAACCCTCAACACCACGAAGCTCTGCAGCCGCAACAACAAGAATGGCGCTGTGGCAACTGCACGTTCATCAATCGGTCGGACGACGCGACCTGCGCCATCTGCGAGCTGGACCTGGCCGGCCAGCGTGGCGTCCCTCGAGGCAAGTGGATCTGCGCCGGTGAGCAGGGCGGCTGCACGTTTTTCAACTCGATGGCTGCGTTCTACTGCGAAGTGTGCAATCGCGCGCGTCCGGACTTGGTCTCCACGCAGTTTTAACCAGTAGGTGAACCGATCTTGTTAGCGTGTCAACTAGGACGAACATTGATTGGTTCGCTCGTGGGCTTGTTTCAGCGAGCGACACGCGAGCTGTGATTCGGTAGAAAGCAGTAGTCGTATTTTAGCGAATCACTCGTCGTCGCCGTAGTGTACAGTGCCAGAAAAATGCTCAGGAGGTATACACCGAAGCCAGCTGCTCTTGCGCTCATTCCCGAAAACGCCGCGAGAAGCTCCTGAGAAATGGACCCACGCTCGATGGGGATGGCGGGCGGCATGTCCATGCCCATGTCCATGGGAATGGCCGGCGGCAACCCGCAGTCTATGGCCATGAACATGTACGGCCAGCCACCGCCGCCGCAGCCACCGCCGCCTCAGCAGCAGCAAATGATGATGAACTCAATGGGCCAGCAGCAGAACCCCATGGCCATGAACCCGATGAACCCCGCGGCTGTCGTGAGTAGCAGCTCAGCGGGCGCTGATTGGCGCATCCAGCTGACCCGAGAACATCGCGCCAATCTCATTGCCAAGATCTACAATGAGATGGTGCGCGTGTCGGCCGATCCTGTGCCAGGGATCAAGCTCTGGATGAACGTGTCGTGGTACGAGCTGTCGCTGTACAAGGAGTCGCCGACGCAGGAGTTTTACATTAACAAGATCTTCACGCGACTCAAGTCGCTGCGGGCGCAGCAGTCGGACATGAACGCTGCCATGGCGGCTCAGGGACTGCCGAATCAGGGCATGCTCTCGAGGCTGGACTTCTCGTACTATAACACACTCAATCTAAGCCATCGAGATGTTAACGGCGGTGCTGTGAGCAGCTACCCCGGTCAAAGTCAGTTCAATACACCTGGTCCTCATCCAGGAGCTCAGCAGCAGCAGCAACAACAGCAGCAACAACAACAACAGCAGCAGCAACAACAACAGCAGCCGCCGCAGGGGCACGACAAACCGATGTCTGCGACGACAAATACACCGGTAAAAACGGACTCGAGTATGACGCCAAGTACAGCGGCTGAGTACTGGCAGCAACATGCGGCGTTACGAGCAAAGCACCAAGGTGATGTGGAGAAGGTGCATAGTGCATTTAAGAAGTACGTGGATCACATGAAGGGTCATGACGAGACCGAGCAGAAGAAGAAACTACGATATCTCTTGAGCTATGTGGAGCTTTGCGCGAGCATCTTGAACGAGAATAAGACGACTCACCCGGCACGAAAGATTGAAGAGCTGGACAAAGTGTTCAAGTATATTGTGAAGATCGTGAACCCGTATCTGAAAAAGCTGCGGACCGAGACGGACAAGCGCACGTACCCAGCAAGTGATAGCAGTGCTGGCCAGGCTATCACATCGTCCGAGCTGAGTGCCAGGACGTCTTCGGGCACAACCATGAGCTCTGGATCTGCCATCCCGGACAGCATTTTGACCAGCTTTGGCAGCGCAATGACACAGCCACCGCCGTCCACTGGTCAGCCGCAGCATCAAAGCACACCAACGCAGCAGTCTGCGATGACGGTTCAGCAGAAGCAGCAACACTACATGATGCAACAGCGCGCCCAGCAGATGCAGCAGCAGCAGCAACAGCATATGCAGGCCCAAGCGCGTCAGCAACAAATGATGCAGCAGCAGCAGCAGCAACAGATGATGCGTCAGCAGCAAATGCAGCAGAAGGGACCGCGTCAGCAAGCACAGTTTTCTGCTCAACAGTCGAACCAAATGAAGCAGCAGCAGCAGCAGCAGACCAGTCAGAACGCTGCTAATCAACAGAGCGGACAGCAGACTCAGCAGCAGCTGGGTCAACACGGACTTTCACGGCTGCAGCCGGGATCCCAGACTCCTGTACAGCAGCAGCAGCAGCAGAAGCCTCCGCAAGCTCAGCCTCCGCCGTCAAACCAGGACGGCTTGTCGTCACGTGGAGAGAGCACGTCGGTGAATTCAGGTCTGACCTTGGGGCTGGACGACTCGCTTTACGGCAGCATGGCCAGCGACTTGTTGCAGATGCCGACGCCGTCAGGGGCTTCGTCAGGTGGTCTGATGGATTTTTCCAACGCGTTATCACCCACGAGCTTTGGCGGCATGGATCTGCTCGATTGGGACGACGGGGCGCCTGGCCAGGGCGCGTCTGGCCAAGGCAACGCCAGTGGAGACAGCGCGGACCTCATGACTTTTGTCGAGACGTTGTAAAGCACGAGGCAGGCAAGTGCGTCTTTTTATTCGCATGGGTCGGTCGAGATGACCACGGACGGGTCTGGTCTGTCCTTTTTGCTCAAGTCGTTCCTTTGGAAATGCATGCGTGTTTTTCCTCAGCTCACTTCGCCGCAGCAAACCTCTCAAAACGCCTGCCCGAATTAAGTCGTCTCTAAAATACCACACAAAGCGCTAAATCGACCTATCTTTTATCCGCACGGACTGACCGGCCATTCGACAATTGCCAGATCGTCCGCCATGACGTCGTCCACTCCGTCCGCGCTGCGCCCGTCGCCGTCCACTGCGTCCGATTTGCACGTCACGGCATCCGACATCAGTCTCTTCAGTCGCTCCGACGGAGAAGGCGACGCGGCGCCACTTGGAGACGAGCAACTGGCCGCGCGGACGCTTGCGAGCGAACAAAACGAGGCTGCGGACCAAGACGCGACGCTGGGGCAGGAGCTCCTGGCGGCGCTGCAGCTGGGCACGAGCAACTTTCTACTGGCGTACAACACGCGCGCGGGTATTGCGACGCTGCTGCGTCTGTTTAAGTTGCTGCAACGGCGCGAGTGGAAGGCGGCGCTGGATCTGCGCCAGTTGCTGGACGAGAGCCAGGTCCGGTTTCGAGTGGACGCGGTGCAGCTCGGACTGTTTCTGGGCTGGTTCACAGGTGGCTACAGAGCTGTTCGGACGCTGCTGGTCGTGGGTTTGCGACGTTATTTGAGCCAGACACAGCGTCAAGGGGATACGATGGTGAACGAGATGGCTGCACTTGGATCTGGTGCTATTGCAGCTCTGGCGCTGGGGTTTGTGGACGCGAAACGACGCCGATCGATGGCGCTGTATGCCTTGACAAGAGCTCTGCAGTGTGGCTACAATTCGGCCAAGAGACTGCAGCGCTGGCACTTTTGGGGAAGTGACTGGCCGTACGGTGACGCACTGCTCTTTGCGCTCTCGAGCGCACAGGTTATGTACGCTTACGTGATGAGACCGAAGACACTGCCGTCGGCTTACTTTTGGTTCATTCAACGGACTGGGCCAGTGGAGATGGAGACGCTGGAGCTTGTACAGCAGGTGAATCGACGAGTTCCAGTCAACACCGCTACGCTCCAGCAGTTTTTGGATCGAAAACCAAACATTTCCAGAGACTTTCCGGTGCCGATGCAGATTGTTCCATGCAGATTTGTGCATTCGGAAGCCAACTCGTGTGTCTTGGGTGCGATGCTGTGCTTCAAACGCGTCCTCCAGAAGACATTCCCGCTTTACCTGTCACTCTTCATCGTGCCCGGTGTCGTCATACACTTTAAACGCTTTCTTCGTGCTCCATTTCGAACGCTTGCCCACTCGACGCTGAATGCCACACGATCCAATTGTTTCCTGGCGTCCTTTGTGACGCTTTATCTGTCCCTGGTGTGCGTGCATCGTCGCGTGTTCAGTACGGATCACCGCTTCGTCTACTATTTGGCCGGGCTGTTGGCTTCAACGACAATTCTTCTGGAACCAAAAAGTCGGCGTTCGGGTGCGTGCAGAAGCCTGCAATTGCTCTCGTGCTGATTTGAGATTGACCCTATGTTTGATCTGGATAGAGCTGGCATTGTATGTTCTGCCACGCGCTCTTGACAGCTTGGCGATGATCTTGCGCGACCGCAGAATCTGCACAGGCTTTAAGTACGGTGAAGTGGCTCTCTTTTCGGTCTCGATGTCGGTGATAATGTACTGCTACGAGGTACGTACGTTATTGCCACGCTCGGTTACGTAGTGAAAGCTAACTGACTTGTTTTTTACTTCTACAGCACGAGAAAGAGTCGTTAAGCCCTTTCTTGTACAATACCATGAACCGTTTCATGCAGACATCGACTGACAAGAAGCGATTGTATGTGGCATCTCTCGAGAAGAAAGAGAGACGCCAATCGCTGTCGTTAGCACGGAATGACACGGCTTCTAACTCCGCCTAAGAAAGATGCGCGCCGTATTTACAGATGTCAAATCGTGCTTGGATACCTCAGCTCCTCACTGCACGATTGACGACTGCATCTGAGTATAAATTACCAAGCCCCACCAACACAGCAAATCGACCCTGGATGAAGCAACATCGACAACTGCGCCCTCAGCTCCTCATTGATTATACCACTTAGCTTGATCCACAGATCCGATCTCAAACTTGTGCGAAACGGACGCTACGTATGTTGGGCAGCTTCTTGAGCGCATACAGCGTTTCATCGGAGGGAACTGAGTCGAGAGCAAGTATACCAAGTGGGAGCTCAACATTGCTCTGACGCGCAAGACCGAAGTTGGCAATGTTAATCTCGGCCTGTGCCAGTTCACTGAGGATGCCGGCAATAGCGCCAGGAACGTCCTCATTGTTGAACACCAGCAGGTTGCCTTGTGGACGAAAAGCGGGAAAGTCTGAGTACTCGTTTACACGCACGACACGCGGATCTTCACCGAAAACGCTGCCTTTGACAAGGAGGCGATCTTTGTTTTTCGTCTGGACCACGACAGCCAAGCAATTCTTGAGGTGGCGACGTACAGCCGCCGGGTCGCTCTGTAAGTCGCCCTGGCGCACGTCAATCCCCTTCGCCATAGCAAGCAGCGATGCATTTAAAAGACATACTTCAGGTTGCCTGCTGTCTTTTACAGCCTTTTCATGTCCGCGCATGCTCTCGAGCATACCTTTAAGGAGCGCATTTTGAAGGAGCTGCCGAGCCTGTGGTGTAGTAATGTCAATCTGAAAGCCGCCCGTGGCTGCCAACGACACATGCGTGATGCGGTCCTTAGGATCAGCCGAGAGAGTAAGCTGGTGCACGAAGCGACCCAACGACTCGCTTAGCTCGAGGAACGGTTTCATCTCCGGTAGCAGCGTCAGCGGCATAAAGACACCATTGGCCACACCACGAAAGTAGCGCTGCGCCAGCGCGTCGCCAACGTTTTCCGCCAAGAGACGGTATTTGCGAGCCTGGAGCACATCTTCAGACGCCGTACCATCCGCGTGCGTATGCGCGATGACGTTTTCGTGCTTCATGAGTTCGAGCCACGTAGGCGACAGATCCAGCGCATCCTCCGCTTCAGCTGGCTGCAGCAGGTCCAGCGCAACGCCACTGATCTTCCCTGACTTAATTCCACGCAGTAGCGTGTTTTCATCCAGTAGACCGTGACACCCCTTGTACTCTGGGACAGACACAATCTTCACTCCATGCTTGCACTTATCAAGTGCATCGTCATCAAACATACCGCGCGTTCGAGCTGTCAAGGGCGCATGGAATGTAATGAAGTCGCACGTCGCATACAACTCGTCCATGGACACGGATTTCACGCCCATGAGCTCGGCTGTCTCGTGGTTCAAGTTCGGATCAAAGCCAAAGACGTGCAAGCCGAGCGCATTCGCCATGTCCGCCACCCGTCGTCCCGCTTGTCCAATGCCCACAACGCCGAGGTTCTTGCCAGCAAGCTCTGTCCCCACAAATTGCTGCCGATCAAATGGTTTCTCCCGTCCCGAGTGCATCGAGGCCATACTACGAGGCAAGTGACGTGCCAACTGAATAAGTAAACTGAGTCCAATCTCGGCCTCCACCGACGAGCGGTCACTCAGTTGTTTATGCTCCAACTGCAGCAGCATCACGCCCTGATTCGTCGCTTCCAAGAGATCCACGTCTTCACTGGGAATCGCAGCCGCAGGCACCGCCACGAGCTTCAGCTTGTGCTTGGCGCCTGCGCGCAGCAACTCGCGCGACAACTTCGTGCCAGGCGTCACCATGAGCGCGTCATAGTCTTGTACGACTGAGAGGAGGAAAGAGTCCGACACAGCGCGTACATGGTCGACGACGTGGCCGCGCTGCACGAGCTCCTGGACGCACGAGACTTCGGCCACGTGCTCGGGCACGTCTACGCACAAGATGCGGCGGCTGCTGTCGGACAATGGAGACAATGACGTTAGTGGACGATAGAGAAGAGGCAAGCGCTTCAACTGACGCTTGTAACGCGGCGTGGGACGCTGCAGCGCCGTCGCTAGACGCGGCGCGAGGACCAGACGCTGCCACATGCGCTGCTATGGTTGGGAATGGGTGAGTGGTTGGTGTCGACGTTTGTGATTGGTTGAAAGGACGAACGAGCGTGTGATTGGTGGAGGATGTACGATAAAGTGCTTTGTTTTGATTTAGAAAAAAGTCGTCGGGGTGTCCCCACGGGTAGAAAGGGGCTGTTTTTCTGATAGAAACGAGCATGTATCGAAGAGGAGGACGGTTTCGTCGCTATGGTCGCGACGAGTGGCAGCGCACGCCGCCGTACATAAAAGCGCTTTTAATCGGCTCAGCTACAATTGGCGGCGGTACGAAACTATAAGTCTATCTATCAGAAAAGTGTATCCATGCAACAGCAAAATCGTCTGATAGAAAGATACTTTTTGAACTGATATGATGATGCGTGCATGTGTACCCATTCCAGTATACGTCGCTAGTCACATTGAGACGATGCCCCACAATGGCCGCCATCGCGTCATGCTGCTCTCCCCCGAATACGAAGAAAAACTAGGCGAACACGCGTACCGTGAGATTCTGAGCAGTTCTCAATTGCTGCCGTCGTCGCATCCGGTTTGTCACGTGACGTTATTTGTTGTTCAAGTGGGTACACCATAATGTAGCCATCTCATGTGTCGTTGGGTACAATACAGATGTCGCGTGCAGTTGCGCGAGTTGGCCGCAAAATCGTGCAGGAGACCAATGTGCCGTTTATGAAGTGGACATTCCATGTCATTGCTGCAACAGAGCCCAACGCGTTTTGCCTTCCTGGAGGAAAAGTGTTTGTGCACTCGGGACTGTTCAAGATCCTACGCAATGAAGACGCGCTGGCCGCGGTCCTGTTCCATGAAGCTGCTCATGGTGTAGCTCGTACGTGACAAGACTTATTTCCATCGTGATTTGGTACAGGAAAGAGGCATCACTTGACGATTGTGTGTCCGATTGTTGGTTGTTGTCTACGATAGGACACGGCGCGGAGAAGATTTCGTTCAGTTTGCTGGTATACGGGCTATTGGCACTCCTTTTCCCGGACTTTGGCCAGATTAGCGACTTGGTGCGCCCTGCGATGACAACGCGAGGGTCATTTTGTCCCATACTGATGACGTTTGTTGACTGTAGCTGGTGAAGCTTGCAGTGGATCTACCGTTCTCACGCAAGCTGGAGTTGGAAGCCGACTCCATTGGACTGCGGCTCATGGCCCAAGCGTGCTACGATCCTCGTGCTAGTATTCAGATGAACACTGCGTTGGGTCAGCTGGACAAGGGCTCGCAGTTCAAGTACTTCTCGACGCACCCGCCCAGTGCAGAGCGAGTGCAGGCACTACGGTACGCGCCTCTTCATGTTGTCAGTGCTGAAGCATGTTTGCATCTAAATCTCTTGTATTGATGCTGCCGCACAGGGAACAATTGAACAGCGCACTCGACATATATGAGACGTCTGACTGTGGGCCACGGAAGCAAGCTTTTGCCAAAGCGATGGAACCAGCTTTTTCGCCTCGTGGCAACGCCGCCGATAACTGGTAGATGCGCATGACTGATCGACGTTGAGAAGCCTACATGACGTACCAGCGGATCGCTGCTCGAGATATTTATTGATGGTACGTCGAGCCACTTCTGTGCAAAGTCAGTCGGAATTGCTTTATTGCGCCATCCAAAAACTAATGCCTCCTACCGCGAGGGCAAACAAGGAGATACGATTCGCATCTTTTTTCGTACACGATAAGCTTTCTTGTGTGTTGACGACGATTTATGCCGAGGTTACACACCGGCGAGCACGCAGCGTCTACCAGCTTGATGTTTTTGCCACTACCACTAAAATCTCGAGTAGGTTGTTCGAAGCGAGCGATGTAAGGCTAATCAGAGTCAAATACCCAAATCTACGTCATGTAGGTAGGTAGGTAGTGCACTTGCATGTTGAGACGCAAAATGTTGCTAGTAAGCAGCGCCCTACTTAGAGCACCAGTATGGACACAGTCACTTTGTTTCAAGGCGAGACACCAGCCTCTGCTCAGTAAGAGCTCGTGAAAATTGCCGCAAACTCGGCACAAAAGCTCTTGTCGGGTACTCTGCCGTGTGAATGATGTAGACACCATTCGCATGTGACTGTGTCGACGAAAGTATCGCAAGCGAAGCTGCAGACGAAAGCCCGTTACAACGTGATCATGTCTACTACTGCACTGGGCAGTAGAACGACTGCAGCTTACCTTGTCTCCGTGTTCCTGATTCTAGTTTCGGTGAAACATCAAGCAGGCACAAATCGACGCTCGCCATGTCGCCAACGCTCATGAAACAACAACACGAGTACTGCTACATCAGAGGCATGCGACAAGAACGAGAAGATCCGAGTCAATGCAAGCGGGACGGCTACTGCAATTAGATCGAGCAAGTGGAACGTACGAGTACGTGGGTGCCTTCTTGGTAAAGTCCTTCAGGCCTTTCAGTTCCGATTGCTCAACTCGAGCTTGATCGATGGCCAGAAACATGTGCGATCTGCATCGACAGTTCTGGATCCGTTCAGTGCTTCTGGACATCACGTTGGGACAATGCAAAGCAGTGATCAACAACAGGCGATCGACCCGAGGTAACTGTCGGAACCGTTTCGCTTACCCGAAAACAGGAGGTAGCCGATCGACGAACTCGAGGTTCTAGCCCGTAGATCGTACTTGCCTCATTGAGACTAGTGGCGAGTGAAGATGCAAAGCCTTTACAGCCGCCTCACTGATATCGCTGGCCTCCATCGTAGTCGTCTTCCTCGCATTCTGAGTTTGCCACTTATACACTCGCCCGATACCTGAAACATGGCGCGATCCCGAATCCAACAGCGAAGCCTGGTGGCTGCACTGTTCGTGCAGCTTTATGCTGGTGATTGCATTGCGGTGCCTTCAACTGGACCAGAACTCAACGTGTGCGAGTACAGCTTGGAAGATCTTTACGTCGTCGACGTAAACGCAACGTTAAAGCTCTTCCCAGCAGGATATCGATCCTGTGCGAACACTTCTGACAGCAACGCAGAACTCTGCGGGATCTGTTCCTGTCGTGAAAAGAAACTCGGTGCTATCGCTGGCTTGTCAGTGGCTGGTGTCGTGTGCGTCGGATCGGGGGATGTCACGACTTGTGCAGGTGAAGGCCAAGAATTCTGCGGTCGCAATGACAGCATTGATAGTGCTGCCAATGCCACCTCGATATTGCAGGGTAGCTCCAGCTTCAATGAAGATACAAGTCCTGGCACCTCGTCGTTACAAGGAAGCTCTAGCGCCAACGAAGATGCCGGTGTTGGCGACGTTGCTATGGCCGGGTCCACTGTCGATCCCGAAGACATTGGTGATCCCAGTGCTGGAAGTAGCTCAGCTTCGAGCGCTACCTCGACATCGAGCTTCATATTCGAGCCTGCAACAGTTCTGCCTTCAGGCATTGGCACCAGTTTGGCCATGGATAGCACTGCTAGTGTTGAAACCATGAGCCCTGACATCGATACCAGCATCCCTGCCTTCGTTCCCGAATCCATCAACACCAACGTTGAGGCTGACACTGGCAGCACCGATGTCAACACCGATACTGACAATCTTGCCAATGCCTCAGGCTCTACTGTTCCCGATTTCGACAACAGCTATGGTACTAGCACCGACTCAAGCAGTACTGGTAATACTTCGCAATCTGCGGCGTTTAACAGCAATCGCATCATTGGCGCCAGCTCAAGCTTGGGTATCAGCACCGACGCATCCGGCAGTACTCTTGAACCTATCGACTCAAGCATTCGCTTCGACTCGTTGGCGAAGAAAGAGTCTGCTCTCGACAAAGAAAACGTGGACAGTAACGGTGTCGGAAAAGTCAAGCCCTCTCCAACCAGCGCTGCTGCACCCCCAACCAACCGGGATGTCATCCGCCCGCAAGAAAATGGATCGACGCTTGGCACCAACAATGGTTCTTCCAGTAGCTCGAGCTGGTCAGGCGAGCGACTAACCGTGCTGCTTTCCACAATTTGTGGCATTGCCGTTGTAGCTGCCATAGCTGCATTCGTTGCAGTCCGCAGACATCGCTCCCAGTCAAAAAAGGAACTCACCACTCCGATTGACGATGACTACAACGATGAGAACTTCGATACAGTGACGCCAATAATTCCCGGCAATCGTGGTGCCAGAAACGTGAGAAGAGGACCTCGTCTTGGCGACGCCTTTGAGAATTCCCCAATGTCCTCGATCGTAGTGCTGGGTCCTGACGATGACTTTGTTCCGCCTCCACGTCGCACCACAAAACGTCACTACCGATCATACCCAAGAAATACTGTGCTGGACACCTATGCACGCAGCGGCAGCACGAAAGCCTCCAAGGACGTATTCACGCAAGACGATCGTCCAAGTACTGTATCCGTTGATACCATTAATGATCTATCACATCAACACCACGTATCCCGCGGCCCACCGACAACCGGCTTGCCAGTGCGTGCACCTTACGAGATTTTCGACACTTCCAACACCCGAGAGAGGTTTTCATCCGGCATGAGCTCGCAGTTCGATAGTCGGACAAGCGGACAGGAGTACGAGTCCGATTTGAGCTTCAACTCGTTTCAGATGGCATCTGAAACATCTAGCGGAGCTGAATTCGACTCGATTACCTCGACAAATTGCAACGATCGTCAAACAGCTTCGGATCTAGAGTCAGGGGAAAGTATAGCCACCTCATATCTTTCTAGCACGGAGAGTGTCCAGTACAACGGCCGTGATACGGAAGCTAGTGAGCGCACGAACGGGTCGGAGATGAACTCCGACTTGAGTCGCGTTGCCATATCATTCGACTTGAGCGCTACGAAGTCCAGAATCTCATGAGCGACATCAGTATCAACGTCGTCTACTTCGGTGACCATGTCATAACTTAATCGCGACTGAGGAGCTATCGGAGAACCCACACGACCTCAATTAAAAGTGAAGCTGCTGTCAAGCCGGACTCGACTGCTAATCCATTTCCATAAGCAACTAGTTCACCATTCATCTCCATAAGCATCCGGTGGACAGCCAACATCTGAAATTTGCGAGATGTCATCCTGTTCTGGGCACTTCCAGTTGATCACTTAAACTTGCCAGACTCGTGCGTCAACTGCACGTCATTCTTGTCATCCATTTCGCAGGAAAAGAATCGACTTCGAATGGCAAAATTGCGAAGCGTTAGCATGAATAATGGTGATGTGTCTGGAGATGATCAGTAGCTGTCAAGATTTGACAAGTTTTGCATCACCTTTTCGAGAAGGGATGTCTTCATTGCACTCATTTCAAGCCCTCATCGTCGCGAAGAACCTTTCAATTATCAACGGTTAGATTTCGAGTTTCGTCTTCTGTGTCCCGCATCCTGTCTGGAAGTCGGAACGTGTATTCAGTACAGACGCCGCGCCTTGCAGGTCAAAGCTCACAACTAACCAGAAAATGTCGTGTTTTCCTGCTGAAGCTGGATGAACTAGCCACTTCACGACCACGTCATTTGAGCCCTTACAGAATTTAATCCATCAGGGAAAGCTCGTTACGAAGCTTGTTCGGAACACTTGCTTTCTTAAAACCTCTTTTCTGCTGGTATTTGTGACACTCGAGCACCTACATCAGAGGGAATTCGTAGTTGTCCACAATGTGCTGACTTCAAAAGCGTCCAGGTGTAACGATAGCCCCTCTCGGTAGGATCAACCGTTGAACATCCGCACTTTTACCTACGTTTCGTTATCCGAAATTCTACCAGCGTCCAATTGAATAGGAACCCGTGTCCTTTATTTCATAAACCGTTGGTACTTCTTCTAATAAAGTTGACAGCACCGCTACTAGCTTGTTCATCCTTCCCTGTCCGTTTTCCATACTCGTTGCAAAGCACCAATGTGTACTATACTAGAAACCGCACTGCCGCGTAACTCCAGCGCTGTAGCATCCACGGATGACAACAACTTACTTTATTTCCCAACTTTCACAATATCCATCAAGCGACGTACTCGCTTGCTGTCAGTCTAGAACTCGAGTTCCTTAGAAACGCTTATTGAATCCGTGAAGTCCGAGTTCACGGAGAAAAAGGAGGCATCCGATGCACTAGTGCTCCGACTGTCATCAGTTGATCGCAGTGTTGAATTGCCCCAGTCACTATACGCGTCCTCACTATGGGCGTCATCGTCATCACGAGGCGCTTCAATCAGTGGAATCCGCGCCATGTTGCTGGGTGCTGCACGGTAGAAGCTTTCGTCACTCAGACCGGAAGCCCCTGACCACGCCATGGAGCTCACTTCGCTCACGAACGACTCGTCGTAGTTGCGCAAAGACTTGAATTTGCTATTGAATCCGCTTTCGTCGTATCTGCTCTCGTCGTATGTGCTTTCATTGTAACTGCTCTCATCACCGTATAGCGCTTCATCGCGAAGATAATGGCAAGGAGCAGGAGCCGCCGCATACTGCGGTCGTCGCCCATGTTGAAGTGGAGTTGGTCGATTGCGGCCAGGAGCAACTATCGTTGTAGCCGATGACGCCACGGACGGCGCCAATGACCTCGCTGATTTAGGAGACAAGATATCATAGTCTGTAGTCATTGGAGCCTCGTCAATGTAAAATCCTGGCGGGGAAGGAGCCGCTGGTCTCGCGTTTGATGCTGTTGTCCTAGCACGTTTCGGAACTGCATTTGTGACAGGTACGGACTGAATCGGCTTGTGAGGCCTCAGAGGCGGAGCAGGCGGTGCCTCAAAGGCTGCAAGCTGCGCGAACTGAACCACTCGTTCGTACGTGTTCCGACCAGCGAGCACCGTACCACCAGAAGGTGCCGCATTTTTCGGTGGTGCTTTCACAGGCTGCTGAGCTCCATACACTCCAGCATTCTCTCGCCTTCCACGTCCAGAACTCGGTTCATGCTGGCCTCTCGGTTCTCGATGGCCACGATGGTCGGGCTCGTAACCAGGTATTTTCCGTCCTGGTGCTGAACCTGGTTCACGATTCCCTGCACGCGCTGGCTTCGATGCAAACGATTCCTCCATATCCAGGTATTGCAGCCCCCGTCCAGACTTCGGTTCGCGATTCATAGGTGGCGCTCCATTCAGCACAAACGCCGTGTCAGGAGTTTTCCGACCACGTCCTGATATCAGTTCATGACCACGATCGGGCATCGGCTCCCGACCCCGTCCCGACTTGACTTCTTGAGCCCGTTCATATGCCGTTGGTGACGGATTCGCCCGTGAGCATTTATCGTAAGCCGGGAACGACGGCGTTGCAGACGACCGCCCTGTTGCATTGGACGGTGACGTGGCGTCAAAGTTCAGACTGCGCATGCTTCGGTTACGTCGAGTAGCAAGTTTCCGCTCAGCTTTGGCCCGCCGCACGCAGTACGAGCGGATAATATACGACACCAAAGCGACAAAGATCACGGCAACGACGATAATGAGCACGAGGACCGTGGAATTCATCGAGTCGTTCGATGACGAAGCAGTCGATGCTTCTGCTGCCCCAGCGGCATCAGGAGCAGCACTGGAGCCACTGGTACCAGTAGTTGCCACGGGAGACAAGTCGCCATTGCTCTCTGCTATCTCCTTGGTCGTCATCGCTTCTGATGACGGGGTTCTACTCTGTGCACCGCGCGACTCGTCCTGTGCTTCGGCTGTAGCAGGAGAGGCGGCAGCTGAATCGATGCTAGACTCGACAGCACACGTGACGTAGTCGTCCCCACTTGTGACGCAATCTGCGCCACTCTGAAGCACGACGCAAGTGCCAAAGTACTTGGTCTCGTTCTTGACTGTCCCTTCCGAAGCCCGGCGACAGCTGCAGCCGTTCTTCTTGCACGTGCTGCCCAGGTCTTCACACAGACTGAACCCTACGGGCTCCTCTTTGTTGCCAGGGTCCTCGAGATACAAGGCCTGCACGCTAACACCGCAGATATCCGACGACATGGCAGTAGTGACCGGGCGACCTGGACTTTGCAAAGAGGGACGAGACTCTCGTGAGCTGTTCAGACCAAAGCAGCAATGACCCGAGGTCTCTTCTCGACAGAGTCGGACAACAGACGGGTACGCACACACGCACATTGACGGTCGGTCCATACTTTATTCAAGACACTTGTCCCAGTTTTCACGTTGTGACTCGCATGGACAGAGCCTGGTCAGCTGCCAATCCCGAAGATTCACATCTGACTCTCCTGGTGCGAGCTGAACGGACGAAAGAGAGCGCGAATGACCACCACTAGTCCATACTGACAAGTAGTGGTAGTAGTAGTAGTACATGGCGAGCATTCCTCAGTCATTTATACTCTACACAAGACCCTTGCCACGATGCCTGCAAGTGTTCTAGTCATCAATACTTCGAGGCTGAAGACTGAAGACTGCTAGCTTAGTTTGTCAAGTCACGTGGACACAGACAGACGCGTCTCGAGATTGTAGCACAATTCCTCTCTGTCGCAGCAAGTGGTGATGGCTGTCAGCTGCATAGCCCATTGCCATCCAAAGTGATGGCCACCCGCAGCACTTCCAAGGACGTGCTTCGTCGGTGCTAGTGTCACGATAACGTCAGATGGTTCACTGGGTTCGTTTGGTCAAAGGACTTTACAGCGTCGACAGCCAACTCCTCTGCCGTCAACGTGTTAATCACCTACATTGTTATAGGATTTCTCGCGTGACTCGCATCGAACCGACAGTATTCTGCCGTGGAGTCGGAGACGCGAGAATGAAGGTATGGGTGGCTTCAGCTTACAACAATCGGACACTTTTGTTTCGCGACCGGCAGTTATTAACATGGAAGTTAGTCGTAGACTGGTATCAGAACTTATTGTCCGGTGCTGTTCGCTTGTAAATCTACTACGTTGATGTTGATGTGGCAATGGACTCGACACGACCGCAGTGGTCGTCGACGGGTTCACTTAATCCAAGCGACATTTGGGCCATCAAGCACGTGATGGTCTAAAAAGAGATGAAACCGCAGCTGATTTGTTGAAATGTGTCGGCGATTGCACGCAGGTTTTGTTTGGAAACAAAAAAGGACGATCCAAAAGTGCGCACATGTCGTAATATTTCTGCTATTCTGTCTTTCACGGTACTCTCGATCTGGGGCGTTTCTCACGGTACTCTCTCGCTCTCCACTCACGATTTCAACCACCGGGGCGAATCACAAGAAAAAAAGTGATTTTTATCGTCTCTTCCAATGGCGTCGTATCTCAAGAGCTACGTGTTCCCGTTGACGCTGACGGACACGTGGAAGGAGGAGATCACGCTCAAGACCCGCGAGAAGCTCACAGAGATGCTGGGCGTGGAGGTGGACAACGTGATGGCGGTACGTCTGTGTGTGTGTAGTGTACAGCAAAGAGATTGAAACACCACAAGGTGGCGTTCCCGATTGTGCTTTTTTCCTCCTCTTGTTTAAAAAACAAAACGAGGACAAGATGCAAATGTCAACAATGGATAAAAGTGGCGGGGAGGAAAGAGAAGAAGGATAGCTGCTGGGGTGAGGAGGCGATCAGAAGTGTGCGGCTAAGAGGGACACGGAAGAGAGAGAGAAGGTGTCGATCGCGTCGATTGTACTTGTTTTTTGTATGGACACGAGAAAACAAACCACCAAGTGTCTGAAAAAAGAGGGTGAAAAAAGTGATTTCTTGCCCCCAAGTAGAAAAAAACGAAAGGGGACGCCACCGTTCCTTGTTAGAGGGACGTCTAGAATGCCTGTGGTGTATACATCTAGAGCTATGCATGTATACCTGTGTATGTACATGGATGTTGCGGCGTATCTGATACTTCCTTCTCCACTCGAACTCCACGACGGGAGGGGCAACTACTGCAGGAATACGTGATCGTGATGGTGGGCAACAAGAAGAACCTGGAACAGATCGCTCATGACCTCGTGGATTTTATCGGAGACGAGTCGGCCGAGCAGTTTGTCACGTGGCTTGGGGAGCTCTTGCCCAAGTTTGAAGCAGCACAAGCTCCAGCTGCTGATAGGACTCAAGCTCAAGCTGCAGCTGGAGACGAAGATGGAGCAGATGACGAGATGCAGTCTTCAGCAGAAGAAAAACCGGTGCAAGCAACAGAAGAGAAGAAGGAGGAGAAGAATGCTCCACCCAAGCGCGTCATCAGCTTGAAGGGGCTCTCGAAGCCGTCTGCGGAGCCAGTACAGACGAAAACGGGTGCAGGTAGCACCTATCGAGGTACAATCAGGTCATTAAACCCGACGAAGACCGACCAGGACGATGTGATTGCTCGACGGGCGCAGCGTTTTGGTACCGTGGAGAAACCAGCAATAAAGAAGTCTTTGTCATCAACGCCAGGAAAAGAACCTTCTCGTCAGCGGGACGAAGCAAGGACGACGGGAAACAAACGGCGGGAAGTGGAGCGCGATAGCAGCAATCGATTGTCAACTCGCCTGGGCCCTCCTGTGAATGTTGACCAAGCGGAACTTGATGCCCGTGACACTTTGGGCTCACACAAGAAGCGACGTGGGGACCGTGAGCGCAGTGAACGCAATGACGAGCATGAGTACAGGGGAGCGCGGAGTAACCGACGAAAAGATCTCGATCGAGACCACGATATGGAGGAAGCGGGACGCAGTGACAAGCGACGAAACAGTCGTTCCCGTGACGTTGCTCCACCTTTGCCACCGTCGGATGGCAAAAATGACAGCAAAGCTCCACAGGGATTCGGACAAGGAATGGGTCCGCCAGTGGGCTTTCAGGGCGGTCCGATGGGATTTGGCGGCTACCCACCGGTACGTTGTGTTTATATGTAGTAACCGTGGATGCTCTTGGTCTAATTATGAATGTGCATGTGCTTGATGAAATTTGCAGCCGTTTGGAGGTCCGATGTTTTATCCTCCGCCAGGCTTCGGACCCATGAACCCGTACGCGATGGGTTTTCCTCCTCAAGGCATGCAACCGTATGGTGGTCCGGGGTATCCTCGACCACTTGCCGCTGAAATGCACAATGGCGGACGAGGGCCGCGGCCGTTCCAGAACCGCAAATGGGTGAACCCGAACGTCGCTAAGGCCGAAGAAGCAAAAGCGGACGAAGACAAGGCAGCAGCAGATGCAGGCGGAGGCGAAGCAAGTGGTGTGCCTCAAAACACTGGTGCGCCCGCTTTTGCGCCACGCAATCCATACTACTCATCGCAGATGCGTCCGCGGTTCCAAAACAAGACGTGGGTGCGACAGGACCCTGCGAAGGACGAGGAGCTGAACTCAAGTCTGCCAAAGACTCCGCCTAAAGAGTTGCTCGAGAGCATGGAGTAGCAGCTCACTGTTGAAGCGACCAGGGTCTGAATTCGGCTGGGATGACAGAGCTGAAGTAAGCAAGCAACTCTGCATGTGGCTGCTAGCAGAACCGTGTTGTCACAGCGAGATAAAGGGGACTGATAAAACCTGTTGTCAGTGCTTTGTTCTTCACACACCTCCTAGCTTCCATTCAGCGACGAGATCGACCCCAGCCTTTGCGAGCAGCCGAAGCTGTAGTCTTAGCACGCGTCGGTTCTTGAGACTGGGACTGCGATGCTGTGGTCATCGATAGCGGTAGCTTGCGACGTGTAGAGGCTCCCCCACGAGCTTGGGACACCTGCGACTCGGATTGCGATGGGCCAGCTTTGCTTTGATTCCAAGCGTCTGTCTTTCGAGCAAGCTGCGCAAACTCATGATCGCTTTCAACATCATCATCTTCTTCCTCATGTTTCTTCGAGTCTTTTTTCGTAAGAAAGTGATCAATCTTGGGCTGCTGAGGTATCTTCGTCGTCGTCTGACGAATTCGCTTTGTAGGTGCTGCTCTTTCCGTCTCAGAATCCGAGCACAAGTTCATTGCCCTGCTTGCTTGCGATCCGTGTCTTGGTGGCGCAGCGTTAGCACGTTTGTGAGAGGAGGGCTTGAAGTCTTCATCGTCATCCTCATCAACGTCGGTGCTCTTGCGAGGACGCTTGCGATGCGCTTGTGGTTTCTTGGCTATTGCCGATCGAGTGGGAGCTCGTCCACGAGGTTTCACTGGCGATGGCATCGTATACTCCTCTTCATCGCCACCGTCTTCCGTTTTGTAGCTCTCATCTCCGTCATCTTCAGCAGCGTCAGACACGCCCTCGTCATCGGAAAGTAACGAGTCGCGTGTCTGCTTCTTGCTTGCTACGCGAGTCGAAGCTTTTCTAGGCGTACGTGCCTTCGCCTTGCGCAGACTATCATCGCTGTCGACCTCAAGGTCGGAAAATACCGACGATTTCTTCGTGCTTCTTCTCTTTGGTGTTACCTGTTTTGTGGTCGGCGTACCAGACCATTCCATTTGCGACCCGGCGAGGCCGCTGTCGCCCTGTGTTGTCCGCTTTGACTGGAATCCGTGCATCGACAAACTGTTTTCTGACACTTCAGCTGCGCCAACTCTCGTCTCGTCTTCTTCTTTATCTGCTTCTTCTTCTTCTTCTTTCTGCAATGCGTGCAAAGCATTAGTGTAGTCCTTCTTTTTACCAACGGCACTAATTATATTTTGCGCTGACTTTGCATCACTCTTCGCGCTTAGCTCACGTTGTGTCTCGTCCAGCACGCCATCTACAAACTCCTGTATCGCAGACGCGTTGTTCTTAAGTGTGAACTTTTCCAAAGCGATTCCAAGTTGAGTCTCTGGTAAAAGCACAAGTTTTCGTTCTGGAGCGCACAATTGCTTGCTTAAGATATCCTCGATGGTCACTGCGGCGAGCGGAGTGGGTCGCACGGGACGTCCCATCAGCGACTTCTCAAGCTCCATACTGGACTTCTTGTCAGAAGCGTTGACACGATCTTTCTTTCGTCGGTAGAACAGCAAAATATCGTTCGGGTTGGCCACCTTGCCAACGAACTTTGCACCAAACCGCTGGTTGACCAGCAAAGGAAAGCCGGTGTGTTCCACGCGCAAACGGATGAGCACTAGCTCCTTTTCCGCTTCCTTACTTGCAGCTTCTGGCAACGGAAACGGACTCAGCTGTTGCCTCCGCTCGCGTTCTTTAGCACGCTCTCTTAGCCTCTCCTGCTGCTCCAGCTCAGCCTCGTGCAGCAATTCAATCACTCTGCTTTCCAGGTACTCGTTAATCCGTTCTGCTACATCCGGATCACTCGCTTCCAGTTCGTCAACCTCATTCAAAATCACTTCATCCATCTTGAAAAGTCGCACCGTATGCAACTCTCGGTTCGACATGCGAAAGCTGTGGCCATTAATCTCCAGCACTGCCACATGTTTCGGCTTTGCCTCGCCTTCCACCAACGACGTCGCGACCGACGACCCTGGCTGCGTAATGAAAAACTCCCCTTTGACACTCTCTTGCACCTGAATCTGGCACTCGTGCTCATGGCCCCACATGACAAAGTCAATAAAATCGGGAATCACGCTCTCCGGGACACAATTTTTGCTCCCGCGTCCTTTATCGTCCCGGTTCTGGTGCACCACAAAGATACTAAACCACGCGTCGGAATGCTCCACCGGTCTTTGAAACACCACGTTTCCCTGCGCGAACATCCGGTTCAGACGCTCGTCCCTCATATTCCCGAGTCCGTAGATCGCCACGCGCGTCTTCCCCTTCATCAACAGCACTGGAAACACCTCGACAGCATCCACTTTCTCACTCTTACCAAAATAATTCACCAAATTGGCCGCACTTAAGAGATCCAGAGCCGCCAGCGACTGCGTCACGTCTCCTCCGCCTTCTCTCGCGGGGTCATCGTGGTTCCCGTGGATGCTAAAAACCGGTAATTCGACGTTGTAATTCGGGTCTTCGAAATTCACGACCCCGAAATTTGGAAAATTCACGCTCTGGTCACTCACGACAGTGAAATTCACCGCGCTATCGCCCATGCAGTAAGTACGCAGTAGACGCATCGTTTCATACATGGTATGGCGACTGGGTTTGTTCTCATGGAACAAATCGCCACCGAGCAGCAAGAGGTCTACGCGCTCGTGCTGCGCTAGCTGTAAGATCTCTCGGAACGTCCGAAACGAGTCGTTGCCGCGCACGGGGTCCTTCTCGGCGTAGCCCAAGTGGTTGTCCGTGGACAAGAGCACACGCAACGTGTCGGTCTCTTGAGGTCCAGTAGCGGCCGGTGCCATCGTGAAAGGCGTGCTGCTAAGTACGCAGCGTAGAACGCGGTACAAAACCGGTAAGCGCCGACAAGAATAAAAGACAACCGAGTGGAAGTTGTTTACTCAAACACGCACTGTGAACGGTAATTTATTACAGACGCTTAAAATGCTTTTTCTCTAGCAACTTTATAAAAAGCTTGTGGATAAACTTCCATATTTGATGAACGTCAAGTGCAAGTTGATCCGCACACTTTACATGCACACATCAACATGTACGACGATCGGATAAGCAAATAATTCGATCAAGTGTATCGATCTATGTATGCAAAGATAAATACAGCGCCTCATCTTTGACGGGTACGTCCAAGGATGAGTCGCGCCGTCCGGGCAATCGTGGGAAACAGCATGCGGTCTAAGTTGATGTTATCACGTCTCTTTTGGTAGATTGTAGATACTCGTATGCAAGAGGCGCCAGCACAATTCGTGGCTCTTTAGACCATGTCATTTTATCGGTGCAAGTAGCGGATAACCAACAGTTCAGCTCGAATAACAGCTCAATTTGCTTGAGCTCACATCAGCAGATCTATCCCACTAAAACGACTCGAATCAGCGTTGCGGACAAGGCCTGTGTACAAACGTGACAGCGGTAGTGTAGCTTATCGACGGATGTTGTCCTGCTGTAAGCGTGCCTATTCTTGTTCAAAAATTTCGCCGGATTCTTCAATGTGCTGTGCGCATTAAAGAAACTGGCGAAGCACGAAGGAATGATGCGCTATCGCAGTGAAAACTTACAGCTTCTTTTGACCGCCTGATAGAATCGAGTTTACATCAAGAAGGCCATATAAAGTGGAACACAACCGAAAGAACTGCGCGACAACTTGAGCTGGCCATGGTCAGCACAATAGTCAGTCACTTGCACCAAAAGCCACGTCAAACTGCTCTACAGCTGCAACATACGTTTTCGATCCCAACACTTTAAGTCACGGGTTGGCAACTGCGACATCATGTCGACATGATCCATTTTGAAGTATGTCAAGCCCCGACATCTAGAAGCGATGGGCGCAAATACGTCTTGATCGGTAAGTGATCGAAAGCATCTGATTGAGCATTATTGGCTCTCACTTCTCAACGTCTTGTTCCTGAAGTAACTACGTAGAATAGATGTTGCCGTGCTGTAAACATCGCGTGATGAGTTGTCGCAGTTGCTTCAGCAACAAGTTACAAACATGCGTACGACATAAAGTTTGTCGGCAAACTATGTGGAAAATCGCGAAAGAAGATCACGCGCAGCAATTGGGGTCAAAGATGGGGATAGAAGCGAATTCAATAGAAGGCAACGACCCACAGCTACCCAGAGTCCTCATGACATGATAGCTCTATCACAAAACAGTTTACTTGCAAATACCCGTATACAGGGTTGGAAGTAACAAACAGCCTACGCACGCATTGTGTATATTGCAGACGTCACCGATACGACAGACAAACTCAAACATCAAGCACTGCGGCAGACACACAGATCGACTCCACAACTACAGCAGCCGCTCTAAATGTTGCGACTAAAACTACGTCCATACGCAGAGCCCCAAGTGACCCCAACGCGCAACTCGCTCCCGCCACCAAACTAAACGCAGCTGTTCGGTGTCATCGGGTACAAACTTCCCCTCTCTCTTTTCATTGGCTAGCTTAGACGACTACGATTGGTCAATTCCCGCAGCGCGTCATCGGATCGCGATCCCTGCAGTCGTCGTCAGTTACTGAGCTCGTGGTCATTTGAGAATTCACCAGCTCCCCGAGAGGTGATGGACGTCGAAACGAGTGACGTCTTGACGCGCGTGGCAGCCAACGGCCTCAGCCTCCGCGACGACCCCTTTCTCCTTACGGCCGTCGTTCTGGTAGTCGTGCTCTCGGTCGTCGTGTTCACGCTCTCGCAGCAGCAGCAGCGAAGCGCCGTCGACGACTCGAAGCAGTGCAGGCGGACGCGCAGACTGAGCAACATTGGCCTGTCTACGCTCGTGACTGAAGTGCCCTCGAACCTGTCGATCCCCGTGTCGGTCCTGACTGTGGAAGGCCGTCTCCAGAAGCAGGACTTTGTCGAGCGACTGCGGCTGCGGCTATTGCACGACCCGTTCTTTCTGCGCTGGCGCAGCGTCGTGCGGGGCGAGTTCCAGACGGGCGTGTTCAAGTTTGTGGAGCTGCTGGACTATGACGTGGTGCAGAACATCGTGGCGCACACGATCCAGGAGGGAGAGGGCGAGACGACCATGTCGTACATTGAGTCGGTGCTCGTGAACACGCCGCTGGACTTTGACAAGCCGCTCTGGGAGATGCACGTCATTTATGACCCTATCAATGAGCCGAATGTCACGACTATTGGCTGGAAAGTGCACCATTGTCTCGGAGACGGGGCGTCGCTGGCGACAGCGATGGCGAAGCTCAGCGACCAGAGTGCAGTGTTTGACGAGATGCTACAGAAGCGCGAGCAGGCGCTGAAGGACACCAGACATAAGAAACGTAGTCGACCGTGGTCCCAGACATTGCAGGGCGTGGTGGTGTTTTCGAAGGTGTGTATTTGGTCGCTGTATGTGTTTTCGTTGCACATGACTGCGCTCATTGCGCGTCCAGAGCCAAGGACAGCGTTTAAACGGCTTGGTGGAAAACACAAACGGCTGTCGTACAATATGCTCTATTCTGTCAGTACGACCAAGGCAGTGGGGAAGCAATTCCGCGCTACAGTGAATGACGTGATGCTGAATGTTGTGGCCGGCGCTATGCGCAAGACTATTTTGGCTATGGGCGAGTCGGTCGCCCCAACGCTTAAAGTGCGTTGCGCGATCCCGGTTGACATGCGTTCTAGTACGGAGATTATCCGTCACACCAGCAATCGCTTTTCGTCGCTTGTGATTGACCTTCCGGTCGGTATTGAAGACCCGGCCGAGCGCTTGCTTAAGATCACAGCTGCAATGAGCGGCGCCAAGAACTCGCTGGAAAAGTACTTTGTGTACTGGTCTAGCCATCTCTTGTCGATGTTGCCGGCACCGATCATGCGATGGATCGTACACTTTACAACGAGTCGTATTTCGGTCGCTGTCACCAACGTGCGTGCCAGTGTGGAGGAAGTTAGTTTATGCAACCGTCAGGTGACTGGATTTTTCGGCTTCGTGCCACCGCCGCCGTATGTAAACCTCGGTGTGGCCATTTTGTCAATGGGCGACAACCTCGGTCTCAACGTGCTAGTCGACGTCAGTGTCGGTATCACAGGCGAGCAGTTCTTGGATTACGCCAACGAAGAATATAATGCGCTCAAGGAATCGGTCATTGCTGAAGAGGCGGATGGTGGTAGCGAATGCAAGAAGACCAAGTAAGTTCCAGCAAATATTGGAAGCCACTTGATGCAGAAAGTTTATGACGCAGTACGGCCGTCATGGGCGGCGGTTGTCAATACTGACGAAAGTGTACGCTAGACGTCGTCGTCGTCGTATCTTCGCTCGTCGCATCGCCTTCTGTACTACCATTATCGGAGCCCGTGCGATTCGCATTTCTGCTGCGCAGTACATGTAAACGTAAATTCGATGCAAATGAGTTTGTGTTGTGGGGCGTTTCCGTAGCAATTTGGCATTTGCCTCACGTGGGAGCCGCGCGGAGACTTCAACAGGATCATTGGCCGTGTGAAGGTATTCCCACATGTAAGAGGAAGCGGTCAGCAACAATGACTTGAGCACGGGCTAAGCTTACATGCAAGTTGGTTGTCACTGGCAGTGCTGCAGGAAATACCAGATCGATTACTGATCAAACACGCTTTGGTCCTGGCTGATCCCGTATTGAACACTCATATTTGTGCCTCTCATTTACAGCGTGGGCTCACATTGCTCTGCGGGTATTATCCGAACAACTTTACCAATCCCTTTCGCTTGTCCATCACGGAACACAAAGCGCATGCCCTTCTTCAGAAACTCTGGAGCGTGCATGAAGCGGAAGCGCACGAGGGCTCGGTCCCCTGTACGTATAACATCCTGGTCCGATTCGAATGAGATGATCTCCGCGGTCTGTCGTATCGTTCGGCAGTTGACCATGGGCTGATAACCAACAGTGACGGTAGTTTGATGATGAAGAATCACGACACGAGCTTCAAACACTCGCGACACGTAGTCGCTCACCTTGATCTCAGGGCTCAGCAGAATCATCCCCTTGCGAAACGTGGACCGAGTAAGCACGAACTTCTTGTTCACTGACCGTACAGCGAGAGCTGCCGTTTGTCCTGGAACGAGCTCCTTCAGCGGCATGTACATCGACTCCATGCTGCGCACGGTAACCTTGTGAAAGGCGCCGCTGTAATCGGGTCCAATCTGCAGGACGTCGTTAATCTTAAAGCTTCCAGTCATTAATGTCCCTGCTAGAATGAGCCCAACGCCCGGTACTTGGTACGTCTCATCGATCGGCATCTCAACCACGTCGTCCACAGATGTTGGCTTCTTCTTCGATTCAGCCGAAGCTACAGGCGTTTCAATCGTAATGCTTTCTTCTTGGTTCATCGACTTGGTCGTAGCAAGAGTCGACGCCGACAGCCCGGCTTTAAACAATGCCAGCGGCGACGTCTCGTACAGTATCCGGCGCAAATTGTCCAAACCGTCTCCCGTGACATTGGAGATCGGCAGGATAGGCGTGATACGATTCGACGGTATGCCTTTGGCTGCCGTCACCGCCTGCTCCGTTGTCTTGACTAGCATAGCCATCTTTCCATCTACCAACCGCACCAGCAAAAGCAGTGGAACACAAATCCACACACAGAGCTGCGTGAGTCACCACAAAAAGCAACCTCCTTGTCCCAACACACGAAACACCATGGCGACATACAGCGTCGTAACGTCTGGCGAACCGTCGTGAGCGTCTGCTTGGCCACGTTCTTCGGCGCAATATCAATCTTCGTCAACGCCACAACAATCGGAATCTCAAGCTAAAAGACACGACAACCAAAGAAAACCACGTCACACGACCCCGTCAGTCTGCAACCTCCGCCAGCAGCATCAGCATCAGCACCAGCCAGCCACACAGGATGAGCAAATAACACACGCACGGCTACGGCAATGGCCAAATGTTCCTGAGTCATCCTCTTGACGCCCATGTTGGCGCCCACGACGACGACCACGACATCTGGCTGCATCCCCGTGAGCCCAAACACAGTCGTCTTGAGGTACTTCTCGTGTCCCGCCAAGTCAATCAACTGGATGCGTTTGTGCGCCACTTTGGCCAGCTCCGCCCACGGCAAGAGCTTCCCTGCGCGCTTGCTCAGAATCTGCTCCCCCGTGTCGTTAAAGCCCAAGTACGCAGTGGCCACGCTGCTCGTCCGCCCCGACTCGATCTCGTGCTTGTGACGAAAAATGGCTTGACGCGACGACCCGCGGCCGTCGTCCAGGTCCCCCTTGATCAACGTCCCGATGAGACTCGACTTGCCGCTGTCCACGTTGCCCACAAAGGCCAAGCGCAACGTGCGCAGCGCCTCCCGCCGCGCGACTTCAGCGTCTGTTTCGAGGTGGAGCGAACAGGCGGCTGTGGTTGTCTCGTCCTGTGAGTGGTGCACATGGTCGTGGTCATTGTCGTTGGTTTCGTGGCTTGACACGGAACTGCTTCGTCGCGCTGGAGGCGTTTCCATGGCAGATGGCAAATTCGAAAGTGATGACGTCGGGTGGGACGAGGAGGGAGGGATGACGTGGGGACCGTTTGCGACTGGTACCAGTCGATAACACAGGCAAGGTCGTTGTCGCCCCGCCCTGCCCTGACGAATCTGCCTGATGCAGAGTCTTTTTTGACGACCGGTTGCAGAAAAAGAGTGAGGTTGTCAATGTCCAGACAGATGATATCTAGGATGGCATGTACCCATTAAGCGCTTTTGTCGAACTCGATCAGTGTGAAGAACGTCAACCCAGCGCTTCACTGACTTTCTTTGTCATAGGAACCGATTGGTATTCAGAATTGCGGCCGATCTGATTGATAAAAGGCGGTCGCATTGACCGGTATGCACGTGTACGAACGGAACGGCTATCCAGAGCACTGACAACTTGTTGCTTACGAGTGCCGTCAGTTCCGTGGATACGAAGAACGAGAGCATGAACTAGGATTTCACTGCACTGACCGTGCTCTTGTGCAAGCATCTTCCTTTGTCATGTCGTTGCAGCAGTACCACTTGCTTCACTTGCTTTGCCTAGCGCGTCGCGGCTGCATTACCGAATTCCACGTGCTCTTCGCCTCTCTATCTGTTTCTAAAAGCCGGCACCATCAGCGCTTTTGGCGACAACTGGCGCTTAACGGTGCGGCGTCGAGCATCGAAGTGCTCTCCAGAGTAGGACAAAGTACAATCTGAACAGCTTGTAGCGCTGACACAGCGATGACGAAGAGGACCATCCCACGTGTGGGCCTTCTACCAAAGCTTTGCTAGCTGTTGGCAGCAATACAATGGAGATATTGCGAAGTCTAGTCCGCCCTATACTTCTGATTCGTGCCTACTCACCACTGAGTACAAACTCAGTTGACGAGGTCGCTCTTGTACCCGTCTCCTCCTACTCGTAAACTTCAGCGACTTTTCGATCCGTCAGGAATATACAGACATAAATTACACAGCTCACGGTAAGTAATTCCACACGCCATGCAGAATCTCCCCAAAAGTAACCGTGAAGTACCCCGCAACGTCCGCCATCAAAACCACTCGAATAGAAGCCGCTCCGATCTTTCCCCCGCCAAAACCGTTTGGTCACTTGCACACGTGGAACGCCCAGCGACGCGCCTCCTGCCGCCCCAATGCAGCAGCCCAACTACCCGCCGCGTGGCTACGCCGGCCACGGTCCACCCCAGCAGCAGCATCCAGCGCCCCGCAGTGCCGGTAGCGGTCACGCACCGCATCCAGCCGGTACGTCGCGCAGGAGAGCTGTACTAAGTACGGAAACAATGTTCGCTGACTGTTATCACGTTGCACAGGTTTTGGCGGCACGATGCCAATGAACCCGCAGCACGTGCAACAGCTGCCGCCGTCTCCATCCGCAGGTACTGCCTAATGTTTGCACCAAGACCACGCTGTCGGCTCGAGTGTCGTTTATTTTTTTATTATTTGTTGTTTATTATTTTTTCGATTTGTTTTATTATTTTATTATTTGTATTTCTTTTAGTTTTGTGTACTGCCATTTATTTTCAACACATGTGTCGGATGCTGGCACTGACTTTATTTTATGCTGCTTTTACTAGGAACATACTCTGGACCTCGAAGCTTTTCCGGTGTCCAGCAGCCTCTAGCTCCGCACTCGGATGTTGGACAGCACCCGAATGTTCTTAATGCATTAGGGACTCAGCAACAAGTTGGAGCTCTACCGCCCCAAGGATCTCAAGCATCTTATCGACCAGGGCAACACTTTGGTGTAGCTGGTTCTGGGGGTCCCTCATCGGCTGGAGCAAACACTGGACTGGTGCGAGGTCCTCCTGGAGGAATACCAGGTCACAGCGGGTTCCCAGGCCAGAGCCCATTGGTACATGGAACAGCTCAAAACACTCTACCATCTGCAGCAGGAGGACCGGTTTCTTTCCAGTCAGGTGGTCGTCCTGGCCCTGCGCCGCAGTTTGGTGGACAGCAGCAAGGTCTGCAACCAGCGCAGTACAATGGGCAACAACAGGGACCGCCGCCCCCGCAATTTAGTGGACAACAACAGGGACTGCCGCCCACGCAGTTTAGTGGACAACAACAGGTACCACCACCCCCGAAGTTTACCGGACAACAGCCGGGTCCACCGCCTCCTCAGGGGGGAGCAGCTCCATACTTACAGCCAAATCGCAATGCTGGACCGTATCCTGCACCTCCTACTCCTGGTATTGCTGCTCCACCATACCGTGCACCGGGAGCCCCAGGAGCGTACGACCAGCCTCAACAAGGAGGGTACGCTCCACAGCAGCAACATTCGCAGGCTTCTCAGGCCTCGAAGCAGCGTATCGATCCGACTCAGATACCACGACCAATAGTCTCGCCAGAGCGCGTGCAATACATTGCCCGCGGACACACAGTGACTATGCCGCCCCCGGCGTCGAGTGACTACGTTTGTGTTGACGAAGGGTGCTGTAGCCCACGCTTCATTCGACCAACGCTTAATCACGTTCCTACTACGTCAGAGTTGCTGAAACAATGTGGTTTACCGCTGGCTGCGGTCATCTGTCCGCTCGCTGATTTACACGAGGACGAGCTACCGATCCCGTTGGTGGACTTTGGTCCAAGTGGCCCGCTGCGATGCACACGTTGTGCTGCTTATGTAAACTCGTTTACGAAGTTTATCCAAGGTGGTCGCAAGTTTGTGTGCAACATCTGTCAGCTGAACAATGAGACTCCTCGTGACTACTATTGCAGCGTGGACCAGTACGGCAACCGACGCGATAATCAAGAGCGCGCAGAACTGTCGCGTGGCTCAGTGGAATATGTCGTGCCTGCCGCCTATACCATTCGTCCGCCACAAGAGCCTATTCTGGTGTTTGTTCTCGACGTATCACTCTTTTCGTTCCAGACGGGTCTCGCTACCAGCGCATTGCAAACGATCCAGTATTTACTTCCGTCGATGGCGCAAAACAGGCGCAAGAAAGTGGGCATTGTCACTTTTGACACGGCTGTGCATTACTACCGTGTCAACAGCAGCTCGTCCTCTATCTCAATGTGCGTTTGCCCGGACATCGATGATCCGGTGGCGCCGCTGCCTCCTAGTAGCTGGCTTGTATCTATGGATGACCCGACCGCTGCGGATAAGATTATGGAGATATCTGATGTCATCACGCGCTCATTCGAAAACGCAACAACGAATCAGGCAGTCTCGGGCTCTGCACTCTGGAGCGTAGCTGACGCGCTGTCGGTATCAGGTGGCCGAGCAGTGCTACTTCATGCCGGTGCGCCTCGCATGGGAATAGGCAGTGTAAAGCGCGAAGAAGTGGGCGGTGCCTACGGTACCACAAAGGAGGTGGATTTGTATACTCCTGAGAAGAACAATGCGTACGAGGCGTTAGCGCGCAAGTGCGCAGAAAGCCATATCTGTGTGGACGTGTTCTCAGTCGCCAACACGTTCGCGTCACTCGCTGATGTTGGTCGCGTGTGTGAATTGACTGGTGGTCGTGTCCAATACATGCCTCACTTTGAAAAAGAGCAATCAAGTAATCATCATCATCTTGCCGGCATGATGCAGCGGCTCGTGGATCGCGACTGCGGCTACGAAGCTGTGCTTAAGGTGCGCTGCAGCGCTGGGCTCCGTGTGGAACATTCTTATGGTAATTTTTTCAATGCGCGTGGCAATGCGTTTACCTCGGATGAGATGGAGTTTGCTGTGATTGACCAAGACCGTTCGATGTGTGTAACTTTCGCGTACGACGAGTCACTGGCTGAGGGCACAGACGCACACATCCAGGCAGCACTACTGTACACACGGGGCGACGGCTTGCGCTGCGTGCGTGTGCACAACCTCGCGCTGCAGGTGGAGCCGTTGCTGTCTAATGTGTTCCGCTTTGCTGACCTGGACGCAACTTGCTCTGTGTGGCAACGCTCGGCAGCACGTCAGTTTGTGGACAAGCAACTTATGCGCACGACGCCGATGGCCGTGAAGGAGTCATTTGTGGACCAGTGTGTGACAGTGTTGTTCAACTATCGCAAGCACTGCGCCTCGTCTTCATCTTCAGGGCAGCTCATTTTACCTGAATCTCTTAAGCTGTTGCCTTTGTACACTCTGGCAACTCTCAAGAGTCGTGCATTGAGAGGTAACCTTGTGGGTAACCCTCCGCGCGGGTTTATCGATGTGCGTGCGGATGAGCGAGTGATGATGATGGGACTACTTAATAGTCTACCGGTGGAGTTCTGCGTATCGGCGGTGTACCCCAAACTATATAGCGTACACGATTTAGCGGATGATTGCTGCACATTGGACGAAGATGGCAAGTTTATTCTTCCCCCGCAACTCCCGCCCACAGCAGAGAAGCTGGTCGAAGAGGGCATATTCCTGTTGCACTCGGCCATGTGCTGCTACATTTACATCGGTCCGAAGGTCTCTCCTGATTTGTTGATCGAACTCTTCGGTGTGGATCATGCTGATACGGCTGAACAGACACTGGATCTGTTCGAGACTGTGGCTGACGGGCCCTTGGAGGGCAACGGCGATGGTACGAGTGCTCGTGAGCGACTGCGCTCGCTGGTAGAGTACTTGAACTCGACCATCCCGATCTCTCAGCCCTTAGAGATCTTGAGCAAGAACGACTGGCGAGCTAATCGCTTCATGAGCACGCTTGTAGAGGATCGCACACGCAACGACGTCTCATACGTTGAGTTTCTGGTCCAAGTGCACAAGAAGATTCAGTACAAGTTTCACTAGGTAGAGTGTCCTGGCTGATTAGGTAACTAACGCGAGCGAGAGGTGCTGCGACAGAAGGGCGTGACGTCAAGCAAGACATGAAGGAAATGGCGCAATTCAGCATCTTTATCGGCAAGACGATACGTTGTACACAACGGGATGCGTTGTGGAGCATGTTAAACTCGCTGTTCATTTCTCCAGTAATGCAAGCGCCGTCTCTTTTTCGAGTGTTCAACGGATGTGTCGTCGTCAGTACTTTGCTAAATCCACGGTGTCCAACCTTCGTACATGACGCAGAGATTGTCGATCTTTGTAGCTTCATCGATTAGCCATGACGCTTGCTGCTCCACTGTCAGCGTGGAAGGAGCATGAGCCATTTCCGTCACCACTCCTGACAGCTTTTCTTCAATCCGCTTGAGGACTTGCAAACCGTGCCGACTTTTTTCCTCAAGGTACGAAGGACTAGCGGTTGGGTGGCCATAATTGCTGCTGCCAAAGTCGCTACCCGCACCTGATACAATGCTGCTTCCTGACTCGATGGCAATATTAGCATGAGCCGAGCTGTCTGTGTCTGCATGCTGTTCGTCCTCATCCTCGCCATATACATGTTGCATGGACATGCCAACGCTTGGTCTTCGACTTTGTTCTTCTGCACCCGTGAGTCGACCAGCCATTTCGATTGCTTCAAAGAATACCTTCACGCATCGACGAACGATATCACGACCTGCTACGAGGAGAGATGTCGTCGGAGCTTCATCCGACGTATCGACTCGAGACTGAAAGTCCTCTGTGAACAGACGAAGTGCCTCAACCAAATCGAGAAGTAACGAAAGCAGTGCACTTGCGTCCGGATGGCCTCCAAGCGCCAAGAGTTGGTCAGCTTGGGTATCAAATGCCGTCAAAGCTTGATCAATCGGACCAATTGCTTCTTGGAAATCAATGCAGACTTCCTCATGTCGCTGCAAAGTACCTCCTAGCATCTGGAGGTGGTTTGCTGATCGGAGACTGCGCTGCAGTTCCTTCACAAGTTGATCATTTTTCATGAAGGAACACGCCGTCGTGGATCTTGAAAAAGAACGACCAGCAGACAGCGGCGTATGCGTTTCCGTCTGTGACTGTAATTGAGATTGTAGACTCTCGGGTCCTGCCGATACAACTTTCTTCTGTGGTGACTCATGCGTGTTCCATCCTTTCATTAATGCACGCATGTCTTTGACATGTTTGTGCACTTCACATGTGGTTTCTACTGCTGCGTCTTCATTTGCACTACACAATTTGCGAAATTCAGCTTCAGCCGCCCGTCGATCGGAAGCTATGGTTTTGTGCACATCCTGTTTGCACACCACCTCATCATGTAGAGTGCGCGCACGAGCCTCCGCCTCACTGACTGCTTTAATGCACGATTGAAGTGCTTTAGTAGCTTCGGACGCTTCCCGAAAAAGGTCTTCGCCAGTACAATTCACTTCAAACTCCTGCTTCTCGACCTGAGATACCTCGCAGGATGATGTCTCAACCATGATAATGCCTTCAACGAGGTCATGTAGAGCTCGACCATTATCAAAAAGCGCAACCGCGTTACTGCGGCATATCTGAACACGGTCGTGCAAGCTCTCGCTGGAACATGACCAGTCATTGGCGGGAGCAGTGCTCAAAGCCAGCACACTGTAGTCCATTTGTTGCACCAACTCGTGCACGTTTGCTTCAACGGTAGCTTGATCTACAAGCAAAGAGTTCAAATGAGAGACTTGTGAAGACAGAAGTGCAAGCAGTTGGACTCTCTTGAGGCCTGGTGCTTGTGCTGCATCGGTTAATACCAAAGGTTCATTCGCGAGCCATGTTGCACATCGAAGCTGTCTTGCTTGCGGTGTCCTAAGGACAGACATCCTTTGCTTCCACCTCTCCGACTGGTTTGTCCCCCACTGCTGGGTCCAGTACCTTTCGCAAACCGTCATGAGATCAGACACTGACTTCTCAAGCGCACTTGCTAGCGACACCACCGACTCATTCGACGACGTAGATAGTATTGCGTCCGAAACTTGAGGACAGGCAAATGCAAGCCATCGTGAACGGATCGGCACCTGGTTTGCCTCAACCGTGGCAACATCGAGCCCTGGAGCTAGTGCATAAAAGTCGATCTTCCACTCGTGTGAAATGGCGTGAGAAAGGACGTACTGGAGAAGCTTCAACAAGCAGTTGGAAACAAACATATCCAAATGACCAGACCAAAGTGCACGTGCTTCTTGGTCGATGTCTTGCTTCGGTTTATCGGTGGATGAAAGCTTGATGAAGCCGAATACCATATCGATCCAACTAGAGCTGGACGACCGCGTGATACGTTCTGCTTCTTCATCAGTTACAATCGATTCTTGCTGTAATGAGTCGACCAAAGCCGAAACCTTTTGCGTGATCGTTGTAACAGCTGCAAATGCATTCTGAATACCAGGATTCTCTTCAAAGAGCACTTGCGCCGAAGAAAAATCACCATGGGCTATAGCTGACACCAGTATGGCATCAAGGATACGTTGCGAGCCATCTGATGTACTCCAATTGCATCTCGATAAGTCTTGACACGCATGGTCACTCCATAGTCGACCGTGAATATTAGAGATAAATTCCTCCTGCAGCACGTCGGCAAACGATGCAACTACCTGGAGAACGTCGATAAATAGGAGCAGCATTTTTCCTGCGCCTTGGTCGTTTAATCGTAAAGCCTTGTCATAGACCTTTCCCAAAAGCTGATCGCCTTTTAGACTCTCCCTTGGATCTTTTGGCATAGTTATAAACTCAAGCAAAGTAGTACATGTGTAAGAAACAGCAACGATCTGCTCGAAGCTCGATGACGAAACTAGTACCGGAGTGAAGGCGCCAGCAGTCTTGAATCGATCAGTGCTGGAGCGATAGCTTAATTGTTCGATAGCATCGACAATCCAGGACGCCCCCGCATATTTCATCCGATCTGACCCTTGATCATTTGACACTTCTATTGCAGAAAGCGCTTTCCACACGTTCTGTAGTAATGAGTCCACCTGTGAGATAAACGCTGCATTCTCTTTCACTTTGTCACTGACATTGGGGAACCTCAGGTCACTATTATCGAGACGGCATAAGATCGATTCTGAGCAATCGATGCTTTCCATCGCAGAAACGCTCGAAGAATTCATCGTTGCCGCAACAACTTCATCTGCATTTATTGTTATTGGCATGAACGGGCCACTTTCAAGTCCATGCAAGCATTCCAGAGAACGAGTCCACCACTCAAGGTATACATCCTTGGCTAGCATTTTGTGCTCTGAATCCAGGTATGCATCCAATTCCTTATGCCATTCACCGTAAGCACAAACGTGAGGTATCAAATGCAAAGCAATCTTTTCAATTTCGCACCGCACACGTTTCACATTTGCATCAAGTGAGCGGCACTTGTGCTCTAATGCGGCTAGGCATTTCTCTTTCTTATCAGAATTCGAAGATTCAGCCAACATACCGCACAGCGTAGCATGTACTTCCTGAAAGGAGGCTGATTCCACCCCTCTTGTCACGGCACTCAGTCCCACCTCAGGATCACTTTCTGCGAAACGTATACTCTTCCGCCTCCATGTCGCAATTTGTCGATGTCTCGCCAAGCAGTCGTTCGCGAAAGACCTAATTTTCGCAATTATCGTCGCTAGCTGAGCCGTAGCAGCCCCCATTTCAAAATTCTCAGTAGTTTTAGTACTTTGACAAGTTGACAGTTCTGTCTCTTTTTCTAAAGACTCCTGCAATGATACTTGCTCTTCGTTCTCCAGGCGATGTAGTCGCTTGCGATACTCAAGTAAACGCACAAGAGGTAACTTCGTTCTTTCAATGACACTACAAGTAATTGCGTCAGCAATTTGCTCATACTGGCGTCCAAAGGAGACAGTATCTTGCTGCCGTTCTTCAGCTCGCGATAGAAACAGCGTGAGGTTTATATCATCTTCGAGTCGAGCCTTCGATTCTCCCGACTGCCTTTGTCGCTTGTCGTCAGAGATCCAATCGACAAGAGGACTGTATACAAACGCTTCAAAGAGCATCATCAATGTTTCCCGAACATCGTCGGAGCGCACAACGCGTAGGGTGGTTTCAAGAGCTATTCGAAACTTCCCGTCTATACCTGTAAACCCAAGTGCATCTTGCAACATTGGCGTCAGTCGAAACGGCACAATTTCTGGCACCTTGAGATTCCGTCCCTTCTCAAAACATACGTTGTGGTCGATGTGGACAATGTCCCCACTATCAATACAGAGCATGATGTTGTCCAGATGCCGGTCGCCCAAGCCAACAATGTATCCCAAAACGGACATTACCGCAAGGGATCTGCTAAACCGCGCGCTCTTGGCCCAAGTTTCTCGTAGATCTTTGCTACGGAGCAACATTTCCTGCGACAGCACATTGCGAGGACGTTGCGCAACCAGCTCCTGAAATACTTGTTTTAACATAGCGATCGGCCAACGAGCCCGATTGTTGGGTGACACGTTTTTGATTCCATGATGTCTTAGCTTCGCGTAAAACTGAGCTGTAGGAGGTGGTGGCTGCTGCAGCTGTGCAGGGGATGCTGTAATACGATCCTGGGATACTTGCTTGTCTACTGATCGGCTTTCAGTTCGAGATGCATACACTTGAAAGAGTGGAACAACGTCTGGGACCATCTGGATCAAGCCAGCATTTCTAGAAAGCGGTACGACACTATAGCTTCGGGCTGACAAATCTCGAGCAGCTGCAGCATCGTCATTACGTAAGAAATCGTTTGTCACTCGCAAAAATTGCATGATTCGCTCGTCCAAACGTAAGTCTTCTCGGGCTTTCAGCAGATATTTGTGCATCTTTCCATCGGATCCAACAAACTCCAAAGATTTCGGCTTTGTCTTCGTTCTAAGCACAGTTACAAATGGATTAATACGATAAATTGTAACGGGGTCGCCATGTCCGGAAGATGCCCCAGGCATATTAACATGCACTAATTCACGAGACGCTGAAGCCAATGCTGGTGATATATCCTGAAGCGGCAGTTGTTCTCTTCGTCCTCCACCATGCATCAGTGCCTTCAATACTTTAGCAAAAGGTTGCCAGATCTCTTGTAGTGTACTGGGACCTTCTGACGGCACTTCACAGGAGCAATGGTCTTGCAAACTTACCATGGCTGCTTTGATCAATGCTCCGTATTCTTTCAGAAATGCGTACTCATGGGGCGATACGCTTTGTTGGTCCGTGGCGCCACCACATGTTTCCTCCCACAACCGTTCAATAGATACCAAGATTAATCTTATAAATGCCACCAGCTTTCGCTGCGCTAGTTGACTCTTCTCGCTAGCACACAATGAGTTCGTTTTATCCCATTGAGTGGCTTCCTTGTCCAAAGCACATGCCCGCCGAGCTACGTCCGCCGTCAGTTTCATCAATGTGCTAATCCACGCTTCATCCCATAAGACCGATATTCGAAGGAGCTCAGATACTAACATCCGTACGCCTTCAACTTGCCTATAAGCTCCATTCTGTAGCGCATTGAAAACAGACGTAAACGAGTTGCTTGCTGCACTTCGCTCCTCTTGGAAAGTCACCGAAGACTCCATTGCGTCCATGACAGTCGGGTATACAACGATATGGGGTGAATGTTGCACCAACCGCTTGAGGACTAAACATACCAAAGACGACACGGCCGCAGCCGGATGACGTGCCCGCGCAATCAACTGAGGAACAACCCGAGTCCAGGGATTCAATGGTCCCTTCGTAAATGCTCCTTCGAGGGCCGAAACTACATCACTTTCGACCCCGTACGTCGTCAGGAGGTTAAGCAGCCGCAGTGCAACCGTCGTCTGCCTCGAAAAATCAGAGTCCAAACTGTTGAGGAGCACCGTCAAGTATTTCTCGTAGCCACGAGCAGCCATTGATAAGAACCGAAAAATCTTGGAGTGGCAGGCTCGTTGCAGCTGGACTAGACGGTGTATTGCATCACTTGTGTGGTTTGGTGGCGCTTTATTCACACAAAGCTGCTGAAAAATCTCCTGTCGTTGGTTGGTGAGCTCACCGTTTTCCATCAAATGACAAAAGGCGCGAGTGATGAGATCATGGTCTAGTTGAGCAACACCGATTTCGTACAAAAGGTCATTCACCTCCGCTTCCTCCGACGGCTCTAGCCGAACATAACCGTTTTGATTTGCAACCAGTGCTATCTCTTCTTTCCCTCTTCCATAGCACCAGTCGCTGTAATGAAGCCAGGCTTTCGCTGATTGTGACGATACAGTAATCGCAGCTACGAGACACGTGTGCACTGCTGCATCATGCGGCCCAAGAACAAAGTCCAGCTTTTTTTGGTCGTTCATCAGCTCCTGATCGCCAATTTCCACCATGGATGCCAGTGTACTGCGGAGAAAGCCAGATACCGATGGTGACAGTAGGCATGCAATATCCACATGAGCATACATTGTCGCGAGGTGCAAGAACGACCGAGTGGCGGCGCTGTCTTGCTTATTGGACATTCGTTCCAAGATAGCCGACCTCAAGCTAGATTTACACTCTGTCTCAAGCAGTTGACGACCGCCATCCTTCAATCCAATGGTCTCTAGTACCAAAGCTTTCTCGTAGCTAGCGGCCATTGAAGACGCTGTGCTTGCAGCCTTCACAGTCGCGGCCTCTTTCAAAAGACCTTGGGCGAAGACAAAATTATGCTGCTTTCGTGCCAACCTGGCTAAACTCACTACGTGCAGATAATCTGCGTCGATGCTTTCAGCTGACCCATTATCGCTTGAGCTATCCCATCTCGGTATATAGAATGGCTGACTCCAAAGGGTAGAGTCGTATATCTTCGCGCTAAGTTTATAATCGCTTGTAAATAGCCTGGTCAGCTGCGCGTCAACCGATTTTGTCTCCTTTGAAATACCCGTCATTCGAAGTAGAGTCTCCTCTGCTCTCTTGCCGATAATGTCACCTGCGTAGCCATTCCACGGAGACGGCTGCAACGCCAATGACATCAATCTACTTCGAAGCTGTCCAGCAGTATCAAGTTGCACAAGTGATGATCCACTGACAGAATCACCAAAAACACTCCACACTTTCAGCACCAACGCCGCTCGTTTCTTTCGATCCTCCTTTATTGCACACCCGCTGTCAGAATACTCTGCTGACGCAATTGCTTCGTGCTCCAGACCACGTATAGTCTCAATCTCGTCGCTCCATGCATCGCGACAGGCACAGATCTCCTGGATTTCCTCTATGGCGTGGGTATGGTTGGCTAGGCTCTGGGCTAAATTTATGAATCGGAAAGCAAATACTCGGAGCTTATCCCATGCACGCAAACACGCGTAGCACTTAGCACACTGCTTGAAACATCCTAGAAGCGCTAGAGGTGACAAACGTAAGTATTTCATAGGACACTCGAATATTTTTGCAGCACTTGTGAATTGAGAAGAACATGGGTCTTTTTGTGCTAAAACGGGTTGCAGCAATGACTCGTACTCTGCGATTGCATCTTCATAACGCATCTCTGCCTCATAACGCATAGCTTCCAACCATCGGAATAGGGGCAGCTTAGGGTGCTCGTCCTCAATATCGATAGCCTCATTTGATTGATACCAGTTGCTAAGAGCAGAAGATATGGAATCACTCCACTTTTGAAATCCAACAATCGAGTCTGCATCTTTTGCATCAACATGGCAACGGCAAAGAGAAAACAATGCAGCGTCCATATCCTTCTCTGCTTGCCGAAGCTCGTTGCAAAGTCCCCCAGGTACCCCACGGGATGTAGAGGACGTCATTGCTCTGCTAAGATGAAGGTAGCAGGTTGTCATCAGATTGTGGCTGTGATACCGACATAGTTCGTAAGAGGCACTATGCTTTGACATCGCGACGAGACAAGGCCGTATCCGGGAGAGCCAATCGTCACACACCATCTTGTTCGTACGAAAGAAGCGTGCTGACCTGTGATTGTCACTTTCTAAATTACTTTGATCTACTTCAGTTGAGCAAATAGCGCGGGTGATCTGCATCTCCAACGCAGCCACGAATTCAAGCATCAACCAACCGGTTAACATCTGTGCATCCTTACCTCGGGACGTACACCCAAACCCATCTTGCATCTTACCTAAACACTCTTGTAGCAAGCGGTCAATGCTCTCAAAACTTTGAGCGGGACCTCCGAAATGGGTGCGAAGTCGATTCTGGACACACCAACCTGCCGCTTGTTGTACTGCGCCCATGAGCACTTCAGCATTGCTGAAAGCTGCGTTTGGAGCAACCCGGTCTCCAATTCGTCGACAAATGCGATTCCAGTCGACTTCATTGCATTCGGAAGCGTGGAATAAGTCCATAATGTTCTCGAAGTCTGCGGCATTGAAAGTAGCGTGTACATCTTGCGGTGGATGACGAGGCGTGTATACTTTTTCTTGACACAAAAGCGCCCATCGAGCGATATCACACAAAGTGGAAGCGAGGGTCTTGTCCCGTACACCATGACAAGGGTCTAATGCCAGATCGAGGGGGATTTCAATCATATCACAAGCAACTGAGCGAGCTTCAGCACGACTAGCAAGTGTTTTGAATACCTGAAGACACTTTTCGCGCACTCTTACACCAGAACAGCGTGTGAGTATGCTTATAACCTTCACAAGTTTTTGGAACACTTGCTGCGGTACAACGGGAACGAGTTCCCTCTTGGATAACACAGGGTTGATCATCTTCAACAGGTCGATCACAAGTCGACGATCCCGAACTACAATCGACCGACTGGGCAGCAAGCTTGCAGCACAGTCCAATATCCGACGTGCTACCCCCTTTGTTCTCTCAGTAGCGTCGCTTTGGCCGGCATCCCACTGAGATGCAAAGCTAACGAATGCGCTTGCCATTTCTAGCACAAGGCACAGCTGACGAGTTGTCAATTTGTGCTGGTACCGTCGATCACTATGCTGTTCCAGCATCGTCAAAAATAATTCAGAAGTCGCGATCACGTGAGGGTCATCGTCACCTCGTGAAAAAGTAATCTTATTCGAATTTCGGGAGACCAAGATAAAGCACGTCGCTGGAAACACGAAGTAGCTTGGGCCCTCCTCGACTCGAAGACCACTTAAAGTTCGGAAGGCTTGCTCCACAAGCACCTAGCAATACATGCAAGCAATATTATAACTTTTGCATGATAGTGAAGATTACGCTTCTAGACGAACCTTTAGAGCGCCGATCCCTCCCAGGTGCACAAACTGCAGGCACAAGTGGGTAATGTGCCTCGCCCCAGTTGCAGAGTCCAATTGATACAAGCATTCCATGGTCGTCACACGCTTCGGTTGACCGCCTTTCTTAACAACTTTGACAGATATCTCATCTTGCAGTGCGCCTATCGCAGTCGACTGCAAGTGGAGTGGGTCCTGGATATGGCAAAAGCTTGCACTTGCTAACTTGCAAGTGTTCTCTATGACCTGCAACAGTTTATCAACCTCGCTATCGTGCATTTGAGATTGTACAGCGCAGTGGTATAGTAGGAACCTTGCCGCGGTAACGGAGAGAGTGGGAAAGCTGCTGTGCTTACAGTCCGACATTTCGGTTAAGTATGCGGAACAGTTTGCCAAACAAAACAGACTACGCGCAAAGTTGCAGCATGAGGATATCAGTTGTACCCACCCGCAGCAGCAGAAGCGAACTCACGAGTATTTTGGTTGAGAGCACAAGGCCACGCAATGAAGCACTCTTGCAAAAGAACTCTCGACCTCATCAGCAGCTAAGGCTAAGTAAAGCGACAAGACATTCAATACAATCAACACCATCAACAAAAGGACAACGAAAAATGGGTCACCCAGTTGCACCTACCGAGGTCTGGAACGCATTGTGCCACCATCACGAAACTTACCAACAAAGCACTGAGACGATCGCCATCATCTTCTTGATAATCATTCCATGACTCACACAAGTTCACGATTTCCTACAAAAGCAGCAAGTTTGCAAGTCATTCATCTCAAACTGCCGTCTCTCATCGTTACCACCACCGCCATAACTCATCATTTACCACTAGAACAACACAAATACAATCAACCAACACACAAAAACATCAAACAAACCTTACATCCGCAAACGAAGTCAGCAGCTGTAGACTAAAGACGCTGTTCTCTGCCCACAACCGGCCGAATGAATGCAGAAGCGAGAGAATCTCTTCCCTACACGCACAAAAACAGACCATTACAAGAAACAAACACATGCTTTGTTACTTGCATCCACATCAACATGAAAACGCCATCATCTTGTGTACAAACAACACAAAAAAGAGCAAGAAGGGTGAATGGACCCCCTTCCAACTCGAGCACGTACCGCAGTTGACTCTGCGGTCCCACACTCATCATCCATCCAATGAACACATCGGCAACGTCGACAAAGTGCGTCTGTAGCTTCTTGAGCACAAACGGCTGCCAGTCGGGACCCATCGCTGTCTCCTGCATCGTCAGCAGAGCGTAGAGACACTTGACCAGCAACTCCACGAGCGCCGCGTCATCCGTATGGTCCAAGAGCGTCCTCCACATGCGCAGCACACGCGTCAGGAGCCGGTCACACTCTTGCCTTGCCGTCGCTGCGTCACGTCCTGGCTTCACGCTCGATTTCACTTGACCCTCTCGCTCTTGTCGGTTTTGTTCAGTCTGTAGCACGAGCTCGTAGCTCCATTGCACGAGCCACTGCGTATTGCCCAATAGCGTGTTGAGAGCCATCCAGTCCCCGAACCCGCTCGGGTTGTGGCTAGAAAGCGCTACGAGCATAGCCAGGACACTGGTCTGTAGCTCTAGGCCATTTTTGCCCCCCGTCCCCATAACCTCGATTAATAGAGGCAAATAGGGCTCATAGGACAGCAAGAGACCTGGCGTCGGGCTCAAGGCTGCGAAGTAGCTCTCCAGCTGCTGGGCCGCCTTGATGCGCTGCTTGAGCGACGCGAGATCGGCTGAGAGCAGCGACTGGAGCGCCAGGAGCGGATTGAACGCGTCCTGGACGTCAGTGGTCGCCATTGCGCGCATGCTCAGGAGACGGCGGCGCGGCGCGGAGATTGGGAGGCGAGGAGCGAGTGCGTGCTGATCTGCTGGGAGCACGAGCGGTGAGGCGCTTGTCCCATTGATTTGGACTCGAAAGATTTGGCGCTCGGGGGTGAAGTGGGCGGGAGGGGGACCTGTGAAACGCGATAAGTGGTCGGGAATATTGCTAATAAGGGGGGGCTTTCACGCACGCAAGTGTGTCACTTGCGATATCGGAACATCGACAGGCCGATTATTTGTCGGCTGTAACCTAATTGAGCTTGCATTGATGAGGGACGAAATCGAAAGTCTTGGCAAAACTTGTTGCTGTATGAGAAGGGAGCAGGCTCTGGAGCTCGCTCGCCCTTTAATGTCAGTGATTCAGTTTGGAGAACTGAATCAAATTGCAAGACACAATACAACAGCAGCAGTCACTGGAGAAGGAGTATGATGGTGTTCATGCCGGTATTAACTCAGTACAGTATACTTGGGCAACGCGATCGGCCTTTGCGCGCCATTCAACCTTGCACATGCTCTAATAGCTTCACCCTTCGGGCTCGCGATCATATCACAAAGCAACGTTGTAATGGCAAATAGTAGATCTTCGGAGGCTGCACCGAACACGTCTGGAGGAATAGCTGCGATGAATCAAGCAGCTAGCATCGAGTCTATGTAGCTCGTGGTATGAAACATCAGACCGAAGTTACGCAATGTGAACTAAGCATTCCAGTGCACGAAAGTGTCGCCTTCCGCAAAGTCGCTGCGGCCCGTGTAGGTAGCCCGTCATATAGTTTGCTTGTCACTTGGCATACCAAACTCCAACATGCAAAAACCTCTACAATTCGAATGGCACAGGGTACAGGCTAAGCATACGTCGGAGGTCACGTTAATGCAACTGCAGCAACTCTTCTCTTTTCAAATTGCGTGGTGGCTCCTAGACGCGAGCAACAAAATCTCTCCTAATCTCATCGCTTTGTCCATCCAGTTAGTGTTGCACTCAATTTGGACCAGTTTTTCGGTCGAAAGTCTCTTGAGGAGGTGTTGATAACAACAAGGACTCCAAGCACGACGAAAAGATGGAGCGTGCGGTATTTTTTACCGTCTGTAGCATTAATTAGATGTCATGGGCAAAGCTCCGGACGTTTTACGGTTCCGGAATACGGTATTGACTAGTCCCAACCGATGTTATCGTACGCTAACATGCATCGCACCAGTGGTGCCGTCCTCTAAATCTCAATATATCGTCTGCATCGGTTATCAAACGACCTATTTTAGCGTCATTTTTGCAATGAGCAAGTGGAATGCCAACAGCTACATCCTGAGTGTTTGTCTCTTGATCTGCGAGTATGTGCGCCAGCAGCAGCAGGATGTCAAGCGAACCGGTTCTGGTGACGACTCGGTGGCTTCTCTGGTCGACGCCTCACCTGTGCAGACTCCAGATCCCGCTCCAGTGGTAAGCAGACAGTCGCTGAATGCCCTGGCGCGTTTCTTGACTCTCGAGATTCAGCATCCCAAGATTATGACGAATAAGAGGTTTACGGCTCTTCATAAGTTGTTGCGACGCTTGGAAATTAATCTGGACAATACCAAGGACTTTGAGCAACTATCGTGGCAGGTTGTGAGTATTTTGACCACAATCGAGAGCCCTGACGACGTGTGGAACACAGTGGAACAGATCTCCGAGTGTGTGGCGCCGTTGCAGATCTCCCAAGAAGACGGAGATGAGGACATGGACGTGGACTCGGCCAGCTCGACCCTCGTCCGCACGAGTCTATTCGGTGTCTTTGTCCGTGGCTTCTTGCTGGCGTTGAACCGCCTTCTGTTTGACGGTCTGTCGAGGCTTTTTGATGATGTACAGCAGTATCTGGAGGAGTTTCGAGCAGAATTACAGACGGAAAAGAAGGTGGCAAAAGAAGAAGACGAAGAGGACATTGCTTTGGAGCTTATCGGGTCACCTGCGTCGCAGCATTTATGGAAGGAAAGTAACATGGCGGACGACGGGCTACTGTTGTCGCCAATCCAATTGGCAAGTGCCACTACTCCATCGATTAATATGCGTCAGAGCACGATGAAAACTCGAGTGAGCATGAACCTCGACTCGCACGTTTTGTCGGAGAAGTCATTGGAAAAGAAAGCTGTTCGAGTAGAGAATGACCCGTCGGTCTGGTCGACAGACCAGCTGCATTATGTGCTGAGTGACATGGTGCGTGAGATGGAGGGAGGACGAAGCTTGCAGCGACATGGCTTGCAGCAAGAGGACGATCTGTTGACAACAGATCAGCGACGCTTGCCTCTCGAAACTATGAACGGATCAAACCCCAATGTGCTTTTTGTTCGGTACTTATCTTTTCTACGCGATCGGGACTATCAGGGCGCCCTCGACAGCTTGCATCACTACCATGATGTGCTTTCCCCACGGCAAGGCCCTTGCTTAAGCGACAACAACGGTGGTGACGGCACTACTTTCGCGCCTGCAGGAGGTGCCAGGTTGCATTACCGAGGAAGTGGCATTCAGTACGCGGCATTGAATCTGGCAGGGCTCCAGATTGTGTTTGATCATCACGCTGCAGCAGCAGAAAGTATACAAGAAGCAATCCGGGTTGCTCAGCATCACGGAGATCACATCTGTGTGGCATTTGCGCTCGCATGGATGATCCGAATCAAGCAGAGAGCCGGGACATCAAAAGGTGAAGTACTGCAGCTTGTTGGCAGCTGTTTGGATCGTGCCAAAGAGTTGCGTCTTCCTACTCTCCATATTCTGGCGACGCTAGCGGAGGTGGAGAGCGATTTGATGCGCTGCGGCTCAGCTAGCAGACCTGAGATAGTCGGATCAGCGTCGCAGTTTGTCCCACACATTTTTGCTGCCCATGCGCCGTCACCTCGACCGCTGCACATATGGTCACGCTTGCGCAAAACATTGCAATCGATAGCGACGGTAGCGACACCGCCTACTAGCTTATTACCAAAAAACGGCCCGCGAGCAATAAATGCGCTGCAAATGCCAAATGGTACAGGATCTCATTTCCGTGACCAACGAAGCGGCAATGGTATGTGCTGGGTCAAGTCTGCCGAGGCCGTTCTTGACACTGTTTGGAATCTGAGTGGAAAAGTGACGCTGGTAACCGCGACTGGGTGGGGTATGTTTGGTCATCGCTCTTTGGAGAAAGTATTTAGCCGCATGCATTCATTGTACTACGGAGACTCAGCTGGCACCGATGTAATTGCGCTACTGGTGAGTAAGATGGCGATATCTGACCTCGCACATACTGAAAAGGGTGTGATTGTGTACGTGCGGGCACTTGAGTTCCTCATGAGTGTTGCTGCAGACGAGAATGGCGGTGGGGATAAACGACACTTGCTGAAGAATGCGACGTATCAGAGAGCACTGCATCATCTATTGTTCTTGTGGGCGCTTGACAGAAGTGAATTTGCGCGCGCGGATGTTCATTTGAGTGCGATGCTCGCGTTGTCTCCTCCAGGTAAAGATTTCCCTGCTTATCTGGAGGCGACTATGTTCCAAGCAAATTTGTTGACTGCGCTTGGTGACTATACTCGAAGCCTGGAACTGCTAGAGAGCCTAGAGGTGACGTGCAGTGAACAAGGTATCGCCTATCTGTATGCCCAGGTTTTAATGGCTATCAGTCGAACCCGCGTACGAGCTGCAGCGCCTCATGCACCATTTGCGCCACTGAATGTGCTGCTCAAGAGCATAGATGTTTGCCGGAGCCACCATTTTGATCTTTTATTAGCGGAAGCCCACGTTATAATGGCCGAAATGTACATCGCGATGGGAAAACTACAAGATGCGTATTCTTTGATGAATGATCAGATGCCTCTTGTGATGGAGAATGGCAGCGTCAGTCTACGTGGCGAGTGCTTACTCGTACTAGCAAAGACAATGGTTGCAAGCATTAAGCAATCCGAGAAGTGTGCAGATGCGCTCGATTCTGCTGCGAATGAAGCCATTGAAACGCTTACTGCAAGCTCAGAACTGTTTTCGCAAGTGCAAAACGTGCGGCGACTGAAGGAAGTATGCTATATGCAATCGTTAGTCTATCATCACATGGCGCTTCAAGCGAAACGACGGGGCAGCGATGCGACCGCATTCTGCACAAGTCGAGAGAGCGCAGCTGCTGCCTTTTTGAAGTTCAGTTCCCAGCTAGATCGAGCCGCTGTTTTTACCATCGAGCCGTTTTTCGACCTGCAAAGTGTTGCTACTATTCGGCAAGTGGTCGCCCATCGTTCGGCTGAGCTCTAGGCCGCGTGTTACGCAACTGCTCCGAATACAGTGCTGTAGTCATCCGTGAGAACGAGTTGGTGTGCCTGGCGCGCGTAATTGATCAGAGTGTTTTCCAGCGAGGCTAAGTCCTCATCAAGCTCATCAACTCGCTTCATCTGCACGTGCGCATTCATCTCGTAGCGCTTTATACCAAAGCAAGAGGTTTCGTTGAACAATTTGTTGCCGTTGAAAGACTGGATTTTGGGAAGTGGGGAGCTGCCGATTTTTGTGAATGCAGGCATCTCTTGAAGCACATGCCAAACAAGCCGATCATCGTCACGGCCGCTCAATTTGATCGTGTTACGGTGCCAGAACATCATGTCTTTCCCGTTCAAGTCATATTGCACCATTGTGACCCCACAGAAGCGTTTGCGACTTTGGTTTGTGACCCCAAGTGTTCCGGGCATGCGGTGGTTGACGAAGTAAAATGGCCTTTTCTGCTGAAGCCACGCTAAGCGGAAGAGATCTTTGTCACCCCAGACAAGCTTTAGCTTCCTAAACAGGCTTGGTGTGTGGGTTGCGTAGTAGAGCAACTGGTCTAGCACTTGCCTGTGCATTTCACGATTCACCAGTACCTGACCGCTTTCCTGTTCCGGCATGTCCACGTAGTCGAGTCCTACCAGTTCCCATACCAAACTTTGCGCATGAAGGTTAAAGATGGAGTTTCCCGGATGCCAGAAATCGGGCCAAAACACAGCGCCATGACTCCTCATTGGCCAAGAATCAAAAAGCTGTGTCGGGTTCTTCACGGCAAAATTGTCGGCATCCAGCAGCAGTACGCTTGTAAACTGCGAGTAGTAGAGCGCGTGAACCTTAACGTTGAAACCGTAAATGCGTTCGTCAAACACCTGGCGCAAATGGACGGGTCCGAATTTCTCCTGCAACAGGATCAACACGGGGTTGTCTGACTTGAGTTCATCGTGCCGGAACCAGAGCTCTACCGGAAGTGTGCACCCGGTATCTCGCAGCCGACGAACGCTAGCAAATGCGCTTGGCAGTACATCTCCATAGACAGCCATGACAATTCCTTTTGTATCGGAAAGTCCAAGCGTCATTGGCGGGTCGTGGCGATACGCTGCAGCGTGCAATCGGAATGTGGAAAACACTTTGGCTAGTTCACACGTGAATCGAGCGTCGTCTTTTAAGGACAAACTTGTCGTCTGCATCACGCGAAATATCTCTCCTGAGGTAGTGTTTAGTACCTCGCAGTACCCAGCGTCCCCCGCTCGAATGCGCTGCCAGCACTCTCTCCGTGTCCCCACTTCATCTCCGTCATCATCTGTGTCCACCCAACCAAGACACTTGAATTCGCCTTTCTTCCATGCCAGACGTGGATATGTGCTGCTCTCAATTTCCCAATCACGATCGTCGTCAGCTCTTCTCAACCCGGTCTCAGTGAACAGCATGGCCGAGTCGGGTCCAGCATTGATCTCCATTCCCTGCCATTTGATCCAAAGAACGACTGTTGTACAGCAGTACAGAAGCAAAAAGACAAGCGATACTTCAGCTACGTGTTGCGGCATGAACTTGTTGATTGGGGACGTCTCGTGGCACTCTTGATTTGATGAATAACCTGGAACAAGCAATGGGTCATCGACAGCGTGGTGATAGCGATCAGTCGTCCATCAACAATCGTCTGCGAGTCGAATTCCTAGAAAAACATTGACGTGGGGGTCAGTGCATTCCCAGGAACTTGCAGAGACGCTCGAGCCGGCGCATAAAAATCTCCTGCCAAAAGTTGCACTGGACGGGTCTCTCTGGGAACATTCCGTCCCTTTGTGATGTTCCTGAGACGGAAGTTCTCGCATGATCCAGACACAAAACAAGCTTGCAACCATCTGCTATGGCTTGGTATCAGTACAAACTTCAACGTGCAGCCATCGAAGCACACGAAGCTTCGGGTTGCTTCCACTCGAGCGCCAGATACATGAGGTCACACGCTATTGTTGATGTATCGATTGAACGGAGAAGACTTCACGTCAAGTGTCTGCAGTCTTTGGAGGTGGAAAAGCTAGGGAAAGCGTAATGCACGTTCATTCGTATGCTGTTTCAATAGCTTAAAGAGGGTCACTAGCAGCTTCTAGCGACCGGACCGAATATCAGTTGCGAGTAATTTATCCGACCTCGATTGCAGCGAACACACGGTTAAGCGGTCGTTCCATCGATCCTAAACAGTGCAAAAGCCATCGCATTCAGCATTGGCACCCAACATTATCACATCTACTGACATCTATGCTGTCATTTCAGTATCATTAAACGGCTTCCACACCGTATGCTCGACATCTCGTGCTTTGCACATTCTTCGCCTCGCTCCCCACAACCGCTTTTTTTACAACCCCGTCTTATAAAACCCTATCGCTCCGATACGATTTCAACATCAAGCACTAATCTAAACCAAGATCCACCTCAAAACACACAGTTCGAGAGCATCTTGACAGCACAATGCGACAACACCTCCTCCTTCTTATACGGCTCTCTCTTTTTATATCAATGCCCTAAAGCTCGCCCATCAAGTCGCCATGGACTGGAGCTCCGTCTACGAGAACAGCGGCGAAGAGCGCGGGAACTGGGAGGACTACGGCGAGACGCGCTCGTCCCGCAACGCGCACCGTCTGCTCCACCGCCAGCCGTCGTCCCTTTCGCTCCTACAGCAGCCGCAGCAGGCCGCCGCCTCGAGCGCGCAGTATTCGCCAGCTGTAGCCTACGCTTTTACAGTGAACTACATCCTCGGCGTCGGCTCCTTGGGCGTTCCCTACGCTTTCTACCGTGCCGGTCTCGTCCTGGGCAACGTCCTGATCGTCCTCGTCACGCTCGTGTCCTACGTGACGGTCATGTGGGTCTGTGAGAGCGTCGCGAGGGCTCAAGACGCGCGTGTCTTGCCGTCACGATGTGACGAAACGTCGCCTCTCAAAAATGATACGCGCTTGTCCGACGCTGATGCTAATTCTAGAAACCCTATTTTCTCGACGTCACAAAAAAAGTGCATCTGTGTGCTCGAAACAGATGCTTTTTTCCCAGAAGTGACGCAGCTCTGTGACAAGGTGTTGGGCTCTTTTGGGTCCAAGCTGTACCAGGTTTCGCTATTGGGCCTCATGTACGGAGGGCTGGTTGGCTACAGTCAAGTGTTTGTCAATACGTTCTTGACGCAAGTGGACCATCTTGGCAACTGGCAGCTCTCGAGTGGCCACGCAGTTGTGGTCTTTGCTTGCATTGTGCTGCCGCTGTCGTGCACGGACCTGACGGAGCAGATTTACGTCCAGTTGACCATGTCCGTCGTCCGCTTCGCAGCGTTGCTCATCATGATTGGCAGTGCAACTTGTGCAATGTATGGAGATCCATACGACGGTGGAGTGGGGCAGGAAGACACGGCAAAAGAGCTGTCTCCACCGTTTATCAGCACCTACTCGCTCGTGGATTGGAGCGGGTTCGGGGTCATGTTTAGCACAGGCGTGTTTTCGCAATTGTTCCAGCATTCGGTGCCTGGATTGTTGGCCCCACTGGGCTCAAAAAAGCAGGACAAGGCAAGCGTCATTTTCGGCAGTACGTTGTTGACTACTATGGTGTTTTATATTGCACTGGGCTCGGTGTGTTCGCTGTATTTTGGCCCGAAGTTGGCGACGAGTGTGAATTTGAATTGGGCAGAGTTTACGTGGGGAAGAAACGAGTCCATGTCGCTTGTGCCAATGTGGCTGAAGCTTTTGTCGATGATTGTCGTAGTATTTCCCGCTCTGGATACTCTGAGCGTATTCCCTCTCATTTCCGTGACGCTCGGTGACAATATGGCTGCTGTGATGCCAAAGCGATGGACTCAACGTGGAAGGAAATCGTCTTGGAAGCTCTTTTGTCGATTTGGCGCAGCTTTGCCGCCGCTACTAATATCGGTGTTTGTGTCAGACTTGTCTGTTACGCTTCAGATAAGTGGACTGATGGGTATCTACGTGGCTTTCTTCGCACCCGCGATGTTGCAATTGTATGCGTGCCGCGCAGGTTCTCACAAGAATGTCTACAGCGGTATGTTTAGTGGAACGGCTTGTGTGGTTGGCGTGTTGGTGTTTGGTATGCTGGCACTGCTTATTCTTCTCTATCAGCTAGTGTATCAAGCTGCTTAAAGAGTGACTGCTAGGTTGATGAGGCTCGGTTGATGTCGGTCTGATGTGAATGAATGGTACTGCCGACAAACTTGGTGCGACGATGACACTGTGCGTACAAATGAAATGCATTACGCTCAAGAGACAAGCGGAGCCACCTTTGCTGTATTGTGAATAGTTTTAACATTGTGGTCATAAGCCTTTTGTTCCCTGACAAACGTCGAAAGAAAGGCGCCGACAATCAAGTATAACCGATAGGTTGATGTGCCTGCAGCAAGTACTGCTTTTTGTGCATACCGACTAAACAACTGCTCGTGGATTAGTGTTCATGCCCCATGGTCTGCATCTGATGTTTGAGATGTCGCTTGAGCGGCACAGCTGAGTTGAAGGTTCAGTAAAGTGTAAAGCCGATACTTTGGATCTGTTGCGATGAAATGGAACGAATGGCTACGGTGGTCGACGTTATTTGCACATGTAGTCAAACGAAACAAACCTAACGTCTTTGCATCGGAGAAAACACGTGTAATATGCCATCGATATATCAAGCAAGTCGATTCGTTGAAGATAAGGTCTGTCAAGGGTGACCACAATTGCGGCTTTACGTATGCAGGTTCGTAATGTATGACTAGCTCAGTAATCTCTGGAATCGACAAAGTCTTTACGAAGAGCGCACATCTGCGAAGGATCACCGATACCAGTTCAAATTTGGGTGCGGGAACGTAGTTCCTTAAACCTGCATACGCTTTCATAGCTCGCATTCTCGGAAGACCAGTCGTATCGGACGAGGTCTCCCAGTTTGTACGAGTGAAAATTGGATTAATGGTTCTCCCATTGCCTGCACCTGATACAAGTTGGGAAATGAGTGAATGAATTTTCGTAAGAAGCGGAGAGGGATTATATGGCTACGCTTTACGTGACGATGTGATGCTCTTAGAAGAGCCGTTTTTTTTTGCGTACCCATCATCACTGAGAGAGCTGAAAGAACGCGCTGATAGTTCAGACTCACGCACACGTTAGTTGAGAATGCACTGAGCGTACACATTGTATCGAACGGCATAGATTGTAGATCAGCTCCTTCCAAAATTTTACATCGACGTTTTGACTCGACTGAGAACTATCCAGCCCACACGCAACGACAAAGCTGGTATAAGCGCAAAGCACTTGTTACATGCACTATCAAGATTTGGGTAACATTAAGGCCTTTTCACCAGGCAATTGTGGCAGAATAAACTCGCTTACCAGGTCTCCCAGAAAGTCCTCGGTTATGGATTATGCTCTTTACACCAAGTGTGTTAGCTTTCTCCGTACGATCCGAAACAAACTTCGACAAGATCGTAGAGCCAGGCGGTTTGAGCAACTGCGCAAATTGCGCATACCTATCAGGATGCCATGCTCCAGTGGTATCCCTGAACAACCATTATCAAATCTGCATCTAGCTTCTACGCTAAGAAGAAGAAGACCTCCTGCTGATGCGTGCCGGTTTCGAAATAATCATTTTGTTGCAATCACACTGCGTCCTCCGATACCTACGCTCCTTGATATGAGGACCCTACCTATCACATACAAGCTCGCGTGTTAATAACTGGCAGGTGGCGAGTCCGTCTTACATAAACTACCGAAACTTGTATCTGTCAGGAAGTGATCAAGCACACACGTGATAACCGTTCTGAAATAAGCACATCGTAAATCACCTGAACAGATCAATAGGGACCTTGAGTTTAGTAGACAAAGTTGGCAAATGTGTTTTTAATACCTGTGCAGTGCGATGCTTGCGAGCTCGATGAATCCTTCAAACACATTCATGTTTTGCAAAGTGCCAGGTGCAATATGGGGTAAATGTAAATGTATACCGTTCGAGAGCACGGCATTCGCGATGTGGCCTGCTGAGCTTCCTATATGTACATCGGGGGGGGGGGGTCTACTCATTTACAGCACCACCGACAGAATCGTTACCAACACAGACGAGAAAGCCATCGCAACACTAGCGGATATTAGTGTGATGATGAAGTCTTCCGGGTACACCACACCTGACGTAGGCGAGATCTCATGACGATCATAACGGAACGCCCACACGTAGCTCGCCCACACACGATTGATCGAAGGCAATGAAAAGCAGATCCAGCGCAGTGACCACCACATCGAGCAGAGAGACGACTTCACAAGCACTGTATCAGCCATTTCTACTGTACTTTCCATGCAGACGCCAGTCGAGATGTCTGTTCCACTCGAGAAGTGCTGGCATGTCATTCATGCTATCGCCAGCCATGGCAACGACGCCACCTGCGTTTGGCAGCTCGCTGATCGTTGCTAACTTCTGCGACGGAATCGCATCGGCTACCACACAAAATTACGGTCCATTCCCAGCTGTTCGGTGACCGCGCATGCCATTCGCGATTAGCACTGGTGTCCATCCACACTTCAACTCCATGTGTTCGAGCTTCTCCAAATGTGGGGCGCCTGCGGTACCGAAAACAGTACTCCACCTTTGTTTGAATCTGTATGTATCAAAGTGCTGCCAGCAGTTTGCGTGCGATCATCACTTGTTCCAGCTCATCGGCATCCAGCCTCTTCAAGTTGTTGTATACCATCCACATCTTGTTACCGAGACGGCGTTGTAATCACCCACAATGCATGGATCGCCTTGTCCAGAGCTGTTGGCTGCTGCAGAGACAGAGACGGAAAATCAATTCAACGTGATCGACCATAGACTTGCGCAAGGTATGGACGGTACGGCCTAGCTGTGCTGAACCAATTTACTATTTAGGGGATGCTCTTGTTAGACACATACCCCTCCGTCAAGATTGGCCTCCCAACCGTTCGTGTCCCTGACGTGCTAAAACTGATCGTAACTATTCCAAAGATGGGCGCTGCACAGAGTGGCTCACCGCTTTTGCTTTCGCATGCCGTGCTCTGCCCTAATTTCCGTTCCGACCTTCGCAGCTGTTGACGTTCTTTGCCAGTCCCAAAGCACAAGGTATACTACAACGAACGTCGCAATGCCAAGATTGACCACATCTTGTCGTTCGAATCCGGACCCTAGCTATCAAGCACGGAACCCGAACTGCACAAGGTATACCATACTGCAAAAGCCAAGACGCAAGCCCGACCTCGGTTGGAACCATGACGGAGGGAATATAGTCGGCATACGCTTGCTTCATAGCCCTGAAGATCGGAGCGGCCTTACGAGATGAACGATCCGCTCGAAGCTGTGTCGCTGTCAACAACTGTTTCATTCATCGCATTGACACCGTCAAATGACAGTAACGATTCGCGACAACTTGGAGAATATCGTCGCGTTGTAACAACTCGATCAACACGAAACTTTCTCCGCAAATGATGTCGTCGTGTCAGCATCGAACATCTCGACAATTAGACTAATTTACTTACAAGTCCATCAACTAGGTCACAGCTGCCGATGTTCCTCCTTATTCAGCCGACTGCAACAGTTTTCCACAGAACTAAACGTAACCGGGGCGCCATCAACATGTCCATGACATTGATGCTCCTCGACTTCAATGAAACGGCTCGAATAGTCGTGCATGAACTTAGAAGTACGCCGTGGTGGTGCACATATATACGAGGAGGCCGTATCCAAACCTCGGTCTTCACACCCTTTAAGCACCGGGATGTAATTCACGACCTAAAGTAAAGCGGACGGGGTCGCGAGGACTGTCCCACAACGAATCCTTCCCGCCAAAAAGACAAGACTATCAACACTGAACAGGTGCTAGACGTGCGATGTTCACGTACGCAAGCACGATCCAAAAAAATTGGAAGCGTGAAAGTATCACACTCACAAAACCTGTGCGATAGCGTCTCACTTCTCTCGCGCACTGATCTGCTAGGGCTTTTTACGTGTCACTTTATGCCACAATCGAAGCTACGCAACCGCTCTTCTCCATCGATTCGACAAGTGCTCGATCCAACAAAAGCCTTTGTTTAAACAGATCACTGCCTTCATGGTCATGAAAGTGACAGCGACGACAACACAAACCCTCAGCCATTTTCACCCCTATCAACACATTTCCAACGGAGATGACGGACACGTTCCGTCAACCTAAACGTCGAGTCACATCGCTGGTTCCTCCCGCCTGCCATCGTTTGACGCAAAAGTGTCTTCACCAATGCGGTCCAAGCTGCTCCAACCGTCTTCTTATCTATTAGGCCCTGGTCATGTTGATCGACAGCATATTCTGTCGCACAACTTACATTGACGGACGTGACACCCTTCACGCGCTTCGACGAAAAAAACTTTAGCCAGAAAGTGCACGAATCGCAGGTTCTGCCACCGCCACCTAGTGTCGCGCATACAATATCTCTCGCGTCATCCACAGTAATTGTAATCGTCACGTCATTGGCGTCCAACGTCTTCCAGCTTTCAGCAGTAATCTGCCGATTTCATTAATCGCATCCGTATGCGGTGTCTGCATGCTTAAAGACACAAGACGAGCCTTATACTTGGATTCTGCCAACCCGCTTGTAGCATGGTATCGTCAGAATAAAATGTCGGAAAAAACCCAACAATAACAATACTTCTGTTCGCAACACAATCGGCTGAGGTCGATATCACGTAGTCCAATTCGCTAAGCGCTCGCTGCACCTTGTCTCCACCATTCGCTGCACGAGTCGCACCCTCGACCTCGAAACTTTTTGAGTTTTCGCGGCCTAATGCTTGTCACGTAGGCCTTGTAGTCCAGTCGGCAGATTGCATCAACTCAACGATGTTATCCTCGGTGGTGCTGCAATCTGCACTCAAATACATCGTTCCTCTCTTCCCCTAAGAAGCCACTATAGCATGGCAACCCACTCTGTCAACTAGCACGTGTCGTACATTTTCTGGGCGCAACTCTTCCACCTCATTCCAAGTAATAGTAAGACGCATAACGTAATGAGACCGCGAACACGAGCTGACCAAAACACTTCCAGTTGTGTGGATTTCTCGCTCTTGCACAGCTCTTGGAGAAATGTTTTCTCGCAGTCTTCAGCTCGGCCATCGCTTCTTGTCCACAGACGCACGCGATGCAATGAGAGCAACTACAAACGTAAAAGTCAGTGACAGCTTGACCCCCGTGATCAGTCCCGCCCAATTGATTGCGACGACACCGTCAAAGACATTCGACAGCAAACTTGACGAAAATTACACTGTACATCCAATACCAAGGCTTTACTTACATAGCGGATTACATACCTTGACCTGCTTGTCGTCGCAGCTTAATCCGACTGTATCCAAGAATACATACCTCCTCACGGTAAACCCGCTTGAACTCAACCAGCAACAAACAATCGCACAAACAGATTTGATGCTTAACTGCCACAAAGACAATACCTACTATGCTTCTGGTATGCTCATAATGACAACCGATCCATGTCGCCTGAGACCCGCCACAACTCCTCCAGCGTCTGAAATTCATCCATCTTTAGGTCTGATAACCGGCCGACATCACCGATCTCGTTCAAAAATACATCCAGACTTCCACGGCCAGCCAAATTACCCCCGCTGCCCGAGTTCCGTATTCGGCGAGCAGCTGAAGCCCGAGCAGCATCGATACTTAGTCTTGGCTTAACCTTTTTAAACGAAGGCTCGTGTGATCTATACCCCGGGCCACTCTCACCGTCGTCATCTTCGTGCGACACGTAATCGCTAGATTTAGCAAAGCTTGGGCGATTGGCACGAGGCGTCTGTTCTTTTTGCTCTACTTGAAATCGCTGCACGAATGCCGCGGCCGGATTGTACGGTCTCTGTACGCCCACCTGAGCGATCTTACCAGCACTGTCAGGCTGTTCCTTGTCCTTCTGGTGGTGCTGCATGCGCAAAAATGCAGCCACTGGATTGCCATCGCCAGCCGCAGGGGACGTCGCAGCTGCTTGGCTGTGAGCAAACATTGCAGCCGGGTTCGACATCGCTTGGCCGGACGACGTAGAAGGAAACCTGGGTGTCGATTCATGTTTCACTCGTCCTTCTCCACTTGTACCCGACTGCTTTACGTGGCTATGATATAACTCAGGGGACTCCTTTTCTACATCTCGCTGGTCTTGATCATGCAGACGAGCATAATGCTGCGCGGGACGGTGGGACTGCTGGCCGTTAGAATGAGGCATCGGCAGCGACGTGTCCGAGTACTGGTGCGATTCGCGCTGTCGATGATGCTGCTGAGTATGTCCAGCTGCAGGGTTGTTCATCCCATTGTTAATCGATAACATTGAGTGGTTTGTAGAAGACTCCGCATGCATACCTTCACTCGCGCCTGGACCGGGTGGCATTCCATAATTGTATGACGGCACTTGCGGGTGTGATAAGTGCATCTGCTGGGGCTGGTGAGATGACACCTGTGTGCCAAATATCGCACCAGGGCGATATGTATCCACTTGCGGTGCACTGCCATATACCTGCCCATTATTCAGGGGCCTCAAGGGTGCCGACGGGTACATGCCGATATTCACGTTAGACGTATACGTCGCAGAAGATCCTACATACCCCTGGTGATACCCGTTTCGAGACTGCGGGGATGCTGCCACATTGATAGAAGGCACGGTAGAACGGCGATCGACCGAGTAATCGATATCAGGTCGGTGCTCGGAATAATCCACGTCCGATCGTCGCTCAGCCGAGTACTCCATATTCGATCGACGCTCAGCCTGGAAATTTTGCGCATGATTGCTTGTGGTAGATCCTGCAGGCGGTAACGCAACGTGTTCATAGCTATTGGCCACATTGTGGTGTTGCATAGGCGGTTTTCGGTAGTGTACCATCGTAGGGTCATATCCACCGCCACCATTGGCACCGGAAGAATACAGCATGCCATTTCCACCCATCATGACCTGGTGATTGTGTTGACCGTGTCGACCACCAGCTTGCATGCTACCTGCCGGCACCATTTGGCCGTTCGAGAGGCGAACCATCTGGACGCCTTGCTGCTGCTGCGAATGCATCGAAAAAGCAGCAACTTCTTCACTTTTGACGATATTCTCGTCAAAGTCCGCGCCACCCTGATGCTGAAGCAACCCCATTGCACCCCTGGGACTGATCTTGTTTTTATCCCCCTGTCCACGACGCCCATGTCTGCAGCATGCAATCACAACGTCACCTGAGATCAGCATCATCATCCTCTGATATCTCATAGTCTTCTTCGTTGCAAGCCAGAAGACTCGAAAGAACGAACACAAACGAAAAGACACAATGGTAAGTCGACACATATACCGCACCCTTTGCGCACACGACAGAGCGATTTCCACCGGATCTTGACCGCATCTTCGGTACGACCAGGCAGCATCGCAGCAATTGCCGACCAGCGATTACCCAGTCGGGCCTGTGCATCCAGTATCATTCGGTCTTCCTCGACCGTATACTCGCCTCGAATAATGCTTGGATCAAGGTGGTTGTACCAGCGCTCGCGACACTGTTTCGACGTCCGGCCTGGAATACGCGTCGCCACTTGTCCCCAATTCTTGCGGCCTTCAGCGACCAATTCCTTCAGCAGCTCGTCTTCATCAGGACGCCAATGACCTTTCACAAGTCCAGGAGCCAGCACTTTGGTCCAGCGCTGGAGACACTGCGTGTGGTTCCGCCCCGGCACTTCCTCGGCAATGGACTTCCAGTTGCGCTCGCCGTGTCGCCCCACTGCATCCCGCAGTTTCTCGTCCTCCTCTTGCGTCCAGCGCTTTGGCACGGCCTTATCTTTTGTCTTCATAATCTGATGATACACGCAGAAAATATACAGGATTCATGAGTTAAATGAATATACAAATAGAGAGATCCATACAATAAGGTGTATGATTACAAAGAAATGCAATGTAACAAGGAGATATAATTAATGAGAAACGCAATGTCATAATACACATAGAGAGAGGGAGCAGAGCACCCCCGACGTACATCGTGCTGCTTCTGACGTGGAATGCCTTTGATCTCAGTAAACACGCGCTTACTGCCTGTCGCAGACGAAGCGGGAGACGCTGCAGCACTGGAAGTCACCCCCTCGCAGGAGTTCCGCCGACTGTTTTTCCGAGTGCTGCCACCATTATTGTTATTGCTCGCCCCATTATTGTTAATGCTCGCCCCACTACTATGGGGATGGCTGTGGCTGATCGTCTGGCCCTCGGTGAAGAGCAACTTGCCAAAGTCCGAAATGGACGAACGACCTTCGGCCTCCATGGGGAACGTGTCCACGAGCTCGCCCATGAGCTTCGAGATGGACTCGCGACTGACGCTGATGCTCATGAGATCTCTCTCAATGGGTCGCACAAGAAGAGAACGGGTGAGACGTGCGGCGTAGACGGCAAGAGAAGAAGAGGGCGAACAGACGAGAGAGAGAGAGCGAGAGAGTGGGGAGATGCCTCGGCAGTCGGTCCGCTTTGCTACGTGATGGCAGCTGCAGCGGGTCAGACGGCGATCGCACGACGATTAGCACCACTCGTCCGAATGTTTGTCTTTTCGTACTTAGTGGAATACACTGGTGTAATGTATGTCAGAGCGCTGTCAGGTGGTCGTTTGCGGGACGTGTGGCGGCAAATAATCGTCTTCCTCCGACACGGAGGGGAGGGCCCTTTTTATACCGTCGCTGGCTCTCCAATGGACAGCGGCTGACAGCGCCGGCCCTAGCCCTCCCCTCCCCCCTCTGTTTACTTCACAAGACTCTGGACGAGATCAAGTGTCTCATGCACGAATGTACCCGCACGTAACCTATCAAGCACCACGCTGTGTACCCCGTTGCCATATCCGGACACGAACTCACTACTATAAGAGGTCGCGTGCCTTCTTGCCCGACTTTTCCATTACCAAACTACCGGCCCTGCAACTACCGGCTCTGTAACTACCGGCCCTGTCTGTATCAATCAAATACTGACCACACTCACTCGCGCAATGACAGGAACTTCCGGTGCACGTGCCACCGCCAAAGCCGCTCCAAAGACCGACCAGCGCGGGCTCACGGCCGAGCAAACGCAGGAGATCCGCGAGGCGTTCGACCTCTTTGACTCAACCGGCAGCGGAAGGATCAATAGCAGTGAACTGAAGGTGGTCATGCGTGCGCTGGGCTTTGAGCCCACGAAGGAGGAGATCCAGACGCTGATTACGGACACTTTGAAGCCGGACAGCAGTGGCACTATTGGCTACCCTGAGTTCCTCGCGATAATGACGTCTAGAATGACCGATCGAGACCCACGCGAGGAGATTCGCAAGGCATTTCGTCTATTTGACAGCCACAAGACGGGAAAAATCTCGTTTGCTGACTTGAAGCGTGTGGCGACGGAGCTGGGGGAGACCATGATGGACGAAGAATTACAAGAGATGATTGACGAGGCGGACTGTGACGGGGACGGCGAGATTAGCGAGGACGAGTTTTTACGTATTATGAGCAAAACCAGTTGTTATTGACCAGCTGTATATAAAAACAGTCGGACCAGAGTGGTCGAGTTGGGGTGTCCATGCACCTATCTTCCTGCAACAGAGACTTGCATCCCTTGTGGTCGTTGTTGTTGTCGTTCACTCTATTGCTTTTACTCTTCGTCCGACGACAAGTTAAAGTCGCCCACTTGATCCGCAGCGTCCACTGCAGCTACCGACTTGTGGAACTCCTTGAGCGACATGTTCTTCACCTTGGCCACAGTGTCCTCGTCCACCACCGTGCCCGTCTTGCTGCCACGCTGTTTTTTCGTCCTCTTCTTCTTCTTCTTCTTCTTGTCGCCATCCTCTCCATTCGACTCCTTGTCCTTCTTCTTGTCCTTTACAACCTCAGCTGACGCGTTTAGCTTGCTCTGCAATTCAGCTGCGTCTTTTTCAAAGAGCTCCTTCACAGCTGCCTCGCGCTCAGCACGCATGAAATCGTGCAGCTGAGCCGTGTCCTTCGGAGACAGCTCCAGCCCGCTACGCTTGGAGCGGATCCATTCAGCACGTCTCTTGACACTGTCGCTGAGACCGCGCGCCTGCGCTTTCCACTTCGGAATGGCACATGCGTGCATGAACTTGTTCAGAGCAAGCTGCAGTGGCACGGCAAGCTCTGGAAACGCCACGCTGAACTTGTAGACATCACACTCTCGCTGCAACAGCTCAAAGAGACGCACGATGATCTGGTCATGCACACGCTTCGCATCCAGTGCCGTCTTGGACAGCTTCACACACAGCGCCAAATCCACGTCAGTCGTGACGCTGCTACCCTTAGCATTCTTGGATCCTTTTTTGCCACCGCCAGTCTTGTACGACGATCGGAACGGCTCTAGCTGTAGAACCGAAAGCAGAGCTGGACTTGTGGGAATAAAAGAGTCGGTGGCCAATGCGAGCTGCTGCAGCAACTTGACGCAGTGGAAACGCAGCGGAACAAAGCGCAGTGTGCTTGACAGTCGCACAATCGCAAGCAATAGCTGACTTAGAGGATACACGAGCGCGCGAAGCTGGTTCTCGGCAGGGTATGCGCACAGCACAGCAGTCCATACGCGCAGCTGGTTGAAGAATTGCCAGTTGAGAACAGCTTTGAACGAATCGGGGCCAGGAGAGGTAATTGTTTTGCGCACGGCAATAGCCAACTCACGGATGTACACGAAAGCGTGCTGGTATGAACTGCTTAGGTCCAGACCAAACAGCTCGACCACACAATTGCCCATCAGTATATGGTGAGCCAGAGTCGCTTCGTTCATGAACTTGGTGTTACGCATATACGTCACATATACGCCTTTCAAACAAAGCTCCAAGAACGGGAAAGGCACTGCCAAAGCCAAGTCACGAATGCGAACGAAAGCCAGCATGCACACGTTGGCGTTCAGCGACTTTGCCCACAGCTTCAGCAAAGCCTTCAGCATCCTTCGCGAGGTCTTCGGACATGGGACTACAAACGGGATATAATGCACCAACTGACGCAGCACAAAAGTCTGGATGTCCTGGTCGGTGGTCTGCTCGAGCAAGTAGCACGCGCAGCTGAAGAATCGACGGATCACGAGGGCATGTTTCTTCCACTTCTTGTCGTCCAACTTCATTCCAGTGCCTTGCTCGGACGTAGACGATGAAGCCTCTAGCGCTACTAACGCAACCAGAGTCTCGTGTGTTTTAGTAAACACGTTCACCATCAGTCGGTTGTACACGGCGCTGCTCTGAACATCAAACAAGATGTCACCGTCCTTGCTCATATCTGCCGCATCACTCGAGCGACAGGCGTCGCTAAACATCTTGATCAAGCGACGGAGCCCCGTCACCGACTTGGTCTCAAAACAGTCGTGCTCGGCCTTTTGCAGCATCTCCAATGTCAACACCACGCGTCCAGCAGCCTGCTCTACCTGTTCATCAGCGTCTCCTTCTTCGACCTCGACTTTCGCGTCTTCCTTTTCCTCCTCCACGTCGTCTCCACCAAACGACGAGCCTGTCATGTAAAGAGGATTCAGAGCGCTCTCGTCCTCCTCTTCACTGCTGCTATCACTGCCATCAGCGTCCACGTCGTCTTCATCCTTCTCCTCGTGACTCTTCTCCACTAAGTGTTTGCTCCCCGACTCACTCCCACTCTCGTCGTTCTCGTCGTCCGACTGGGAAAAGTCAAAATTCAGAAAATCGTCTACGTCCATCTCATTCATCATGTCCGACTCGTCTCCTTTCTGGACGCCGCCAACACTCTCCGCCGCTGGATTCGGCGTCTTCTTCTTCTTGCTGGGCGCGTCGCTGTTGCGTTGAAAGCGTTTGCGCTTCTTGTCCTTCATGGCCTGGAACTTCTTCTTCACATTGCGCTGCTTGATCTTCTGGTTCAGCAGCCCCTTGTTCACAAACTTGATCTTCTTCTTCTGGGCGCCCATAACGGAGAGAGACAGAGACGCTGTGGGAAGCGCGACAAGTTGATGGTCTAGTACTGCTCGTGCTCGTGTGGTTGGCTGGCTGCGCGACAATGGTACAGTTTTGTGGTACAATGCGTGGTGCACACGAAAATAACCAATTCAAGTGTCTAGCAGTGAGAGCACTTTTTTTTGTCGGCCACACTAAATGGCCGTAGGCACTGTTAGAGCACTGGGTGATACGTCTTGCTGCACGGTCATAAATCTGCAGTTACAGGACACGCTCTTTTCTATGGGCCTGCGTTTCATTTTTTCGACTACTGCTAGATGTAGGTAATACAAATGTTGTCTCGCAATAGGCGATCTCAATGCAGCTTACATTCGTCGCCTTTCCTTCTTCCGTGTAGCTTGTGTCTTAGTGCACTGTCGCCCGCATCTTTTTTGATACACGCGTCATTGCGCATCACCACAGTTCGTGGGTTTTATCATGGAGGGGTCACGTAGGCACTGATGTCGCCACACGTAAGGAACAGTTCAACATAACGGCATTGTTTGCGGACATCGCAGTCTGCAGCTGCCGAGTCGCTACGAACATAACGGGCGATGAGTCCGACAGTGGTTGTCGGACTTGCAGCTGCCTCTTGCGTACCGTGGCTTCTTACGCCTACTGTTCTTTTCCAAACCATGGCTTCAATGTCACTCGGTGATTTGTTACCAAAAGAAGATGAGACAGCGGACTCGTGCTCCCTGCAAGGAGATTCGGAATGCGAACGCTGCACTAACGCGTGATAACAGCTGCGCGCTCGTCAAATGTGCTTGTAATTGTGGTAGACGAAGTACGCAGCTAATGCGTTTTTCGTGTCGTGTGAGGCAATCGTTGCACGATACTTTAGCTTCTGCATGTAATATCGGCGCTCATCAAGTACGAGGAAGGTGGAGTTTGGCGTGGTGGACGACAAGGCTCTTTGGATGACAAAGTCTGATCCGGAAGTGTCGCCACTTCATCTCTACTTCTCATCATCCAACTGGTGCAGCACGCCAACCACGACTGCAATAGATGGACGACCGGGTTCCCGGACACCGCTATGAGAAGGGAGTTAGTCGGTTCGAAGTCGTGGGCGAAACAGTACGGTGGAGAGTTAAATCACCTCACGACTACGACGGCGATGTACCGGCGAAGGACCAACTACATGATCATTTTGCTGTTGCACACCTTGAAACGCAAACAACAGCAGCACCTACAGCGTCCACCTGTGGCTGCGTACTTCGCCACGAGTGAATCTCGATGGCCATTGGAGATCTGCTGCAACCTGCAGAGCTAGCCAGTTGAAAGCGAGCCGCTAATATTCAAGCACGCATGTACCATAATCTCGGAAGATTTGCCAGAAAGCGGGACCGACCAACGCGCTATCATTTGCTGATCTCAATCGTGCGGATTCCGCTGCTGTTATCGTTAAGCCTCTTCTTGGGTTTGGGTTGCGGTTGCTGCACAGCAGCAAGATGTATACAGTGTTGACCAAGCCGAGACACGAAATGGGTTTCGGTCCGATGGATGGTCGGACCAGGGGCAGGTTGCCGTGAATCGTCAATAGCATTAGGGTCATGAACGATGGTCGTGCATGGGCCCACTAACGCGAAGAAAGCACATCATCCCTCATCCCTCAAAGATCTAGCGACTTTCTCCTAAAATTTGGAACCCCGAAGGGACATGCTATTAGTGAATGATATTTCCGGCGTATCGATCGGATCGCTAGAAATTCTGCCGATACATTGTATCATTCAAACGTCGATTCAATGACTCAGCGATTACCGGCAATACTAGATCCGTGATCTGCTTCACCTCTTTCTCACGCACACACACGTTTCCACGCAAAATAGAAAAACTGCATTCAATAAATACCTAGCACTGCAGTCCTCCCGTCAGCATCGAAGCCACGGATGGTTTAACGCCTCCGATGCTGTGAGCCGCGCCGACGGATCGAGCACCAGCACGCGCTGCACAAAATCAATGGCCAATGGACTTACGCCGTGCCAGTACCTTTTCGGAAACGTGAGGCGGTGCAGCATCTGAATCGACTGATTTGGTCGGAGCTGAGTCGTGGCAGCAAACGGCAGGCGACCACATAACAGCAAGTACGTCAAGACGCCAAAGGACCACATGTCCACAGAAGCATTGTACGGCTGCCGCAGCAAAATCTCGGGCGCCAAATAGCCTCCAGTTCCCAAAAACGACGACGACGTCGCGCCTTGTTTTAGCACCTTGGCAAATCCAAAGTCAATAATCTTGATGTTCAACGGCACGTCAGACGCCGCCTTCTCTCCCTGACGCGGCGACATGGCCAGCAGCATATTCTCCGGCTTCAAGTCACGATGGACAACCCCTCGCTTGTGCATGTGCTGTATAGCCGAAAGGAGGCTGCGGGCCACGTGCACAGCTTCTGCTTCAGCAAAGCGTCCCTTCTGGACAATGGCGTCAAAGAGCTCGCCACCTTCCAGCAGCTCCATCACAAGAATGAGAAACTCGTCGTCTTCAAATGACTGCACCAACTTGGCAATATGCGGGTGATCTACGCGCTGCAAGACGTTCACTTCCCGTCTCAATTGCGCCGCAACTTCCAGTCGCTTGCGCTTAGACGTTGTTAGACGCTTCTTCTCAATGATCTTGCATGCAAAGCGACGATTGTCCGTCGTGCGCACGCACTTGTAACAAGTCGACGTCGTGCCTTTTCCAGCCACACCTTCCAGGAGGTACTGGGGCGGCAAGAGCGCTCGAAAGCCCGAGAGCGTCGGATGGATGTGGATCACGGGGACGGGACTCACGACGTGAGAGGGCGAGTCCGACACGAATGACGACTCGGACGTGGTCGCGGCCTCCGAAGTCACGGAGCTCGCGGCGCGCGTTGTGTGGCGCGTCACAACGTCCTGTGCAGGCGTCCGCGACGAGCTTTTCTGCACGTTCCGAACGTGGCGGTTCTTCTGCTGGTTGTGGTTGTGGAAGTACAGCTGCTTCTGCTTCTGCCGCGGGTGTGGGACGTCCGTCGTGTATCCGACTAGTAAGCAGCTTTTGAGAATAGCGGCGCCCATGACCGTTGGGGTCTGCAGTTCTTTCTCTGATCCGAGTAATTGAAAAGTGAGGAGCTACGATAGATAGGGCTGCGACGTGAACGGCCTCTTGTCTGTCTTTGTGAGGGATATTGGACTAGAATAGAGTTGACTAGAATAGTATAGACTAGATTAGACTAAGTGAGGAGGAGCGTGCTGAACGATCCTTTGATGGCAAGCGGGTGATTGATCCGAGGGATGAGCGAGATGCCTGGACGTTTTTTTCGAGTCGGGAAAGCTCCTTGTTTACTATAGTATTCGATAGCAGAGGGATGGGGAGCTTCCCGGTTGGGTGAAAGATTCGTTCTTGAAGTACGAGACGGTTGGTGTTACTACTATTGAGAGGGCGTCGAGTCAGCGTGAGCTGGCGTCACAACGACGTCACGACAGGGAACCGAAGCATAGCCATAAACTTCAATCAGAAGCCGATGACGGTGAAGGTGACGATCAACAATGCGTGTAACAGCTTTATCAGCCATAAAGTCGTACCAGACAGCAACTGTGCTGTGCTGCACTTTCGTCAAAAGGTGAGAACGTTTGGGAAGTTTCACCGCGAACGTTCTCATCCTTAGGCGAAAGTACGCTTGCCGTGTAACGTTTGCTGCCCAAGGATGCCTTCTTGGTATCATAAATCGATCGCTGCCAGGCGTAACGATAAGATGATTGATTATGTCAGGTGGTCGAAGGTGTCGACGGCCAAAGTCGCGACAGTCATTGATAAAAACAGATTGTCGAGTGTCTACGGTGGCATCGTGTAACAGCTGGATTGAAGCGCCGGTCTTGTATCCATTGACGTACGGTGCCCCAATCGCTACATTGTTTGCAGATCAGTTGGACAAGATCGGACAGAGACTTGCACTGTCGAGGTATAAGAATATACTTGTGAAAAGGTCAGAGATCTTTTCTAAGGCGGTATTATATCTAAAATACGGGGAGAAGTGATACGATATGCATCGCGAAACGTAATGTTCGAATGAAATGTACCAGCGCTGAGCTGGATCGTGATGAAGGACCATCTAATCGGCGAGTGTCGCCTAAATCTGTAGTATTTCAGTTACATCCGGTTGTCCACTGTTCTCGAAATGTCGCCCAGCAAAGCTACGAAATACATGTCGCATCAATCAATCAACTTATTTACTCAGCAAACTGAGTATTCCACGACCCGATGCAATGTCTCATGCTGTCTGTCAACCTCGATGACCCGCATCATCGATTTTCCGTTTATTGAGTTTGCTCGAAGTAATTACTGTCAGTCTATCATATCGGTGCGACGCTCTGCCCCGGTGCTTTTCTACGGGCGATTCATCAGAAGTCGATGTGGGATCAGAGCTATTGTGTCATCTTGGTACAGGGAAGTGATTCGCCATTGTAACGGGGTAGCCCGTTACATGATATCGACACCAAACGGTGTCAATAGGGAGATTATCTAGCGTGACAATATCCTACCAGTATTATCCGAGATGAATAATATTGAAGGAATATTATCACCTTGTAGGTTAATATCCGTGCGCTGCTCAAAGATTGGCTGTTAAAAACATTTAACCAAGATAACCACACTTGCTGCTAGGCGCGCGCAATGAGTGGTGAGCAGGTTGTCGTCATACGACAATGTAGACTAACATAGTAGATAAAGACTGAAGTTATATTGATAGCTTAACTATATTAAAAACACTTCTCTTTTTACTTAACTTAAACATAGTTGTTGAGTAGATTACCTTCCTCTGCACGCACGAGTGTACGTGAAGTTTCGAGGCACTCCAAACAAAGGTTACCCCGTTACACCTGGTAGCACTTCGTAATCCGTCCAACAACTACTTGGTGTCTTTTCAACATGAACATGTTGGACGTAGAAGATGACAGCTTTCACGTCACACGTGAAGGATACTTCCATCTGAGTGACTCAGAATGGTAGATAGTCGGCCGCATGAGTGTGATCATGGGCGAACCCGTCATCAGTGGCATGTTGGAGTCTCTAAGCGGAGACCAGCAGCATGCTGCTATCAACAAGTTCCTACAAGGGGAACTTGCCGTCGAAAGACAGAAGATAGCCTTGCTACAACAGCAAAGCTTTCATCGGTCGACGGGCGGGCCGACGCACACGCGTCGACCCGAAACCTTGAAGATAGATATTTCAAGGTACAAGGGTACCGGTGAAGATTTCCTTTTGAGATGGTTCGTCGAGCTAGACGACGCCATCAGGGCCCGTCACATCGAGGGTGACGAGATGCAAGTCACCTTCGCCCTGTCGAACTTGACAGGACGAGCAAAGACTTGGGTCTTAAAGCTCAAATTCACGACCCAAACGTGTTTGAGCCGTTGGAGATCTTGAAGTCTAGGCTAAAAAAAACTTTGAGCCACCAAGAGCCGAGTTCAGAGCACGCTCTGCACTCCTGAGGCTTAAGCAAGGTAAGCGTGATTTGCATGATTACGCACAACACCTATGCTACCTCGCGAGTAGCATCACGGAAAACCCTGTTGATGACCACACGCTCATCAACGTGTTCATCTACGGCCTTGTGGATAGGCCGATGAAGACCTACATGTTCCGAGAGGACTTCCATACGCTGGATAAGGCGATAGCGTGTGCGGAACAAGAAGACTTCAGCCTAAGACAGTCTTAGGCTAACTCGTTCAACTATCGTTCGACGATACGGCAGGAAACAGGAGGTCCCGAACCAATGGACCTCTGTTACACCGAGAGCGAGAACCCTCGCTCTCTGAGTCACAAGCAAACGGCAAGATGCCATCGCTGTCAGAAGATTATGCACTACGCTCATGAGTGTAGTGTCTCAAGCACCGCATCACGTCCAAAGACAGGACGTGATGACCGCCGTTGACCGAGGAATGGTCCAAGGCGCGGGTCCGAACATGTCGCAAAACCGCGACAGCAAGTCGGACCGCCAAAAAACGGACAGGGTCAGTAGAGGCGGAGCACCCTGCTGACCCAGCAACGTCAAGAGAATTTGTAGGACTCTTGACGAAGATTGCTCCCAACACACAGTCGCTTTGTGTTACTGCTCCTAGAGATGAGGTGTCGCTCATCACTTTGAAGATCGAAGTGACAAGTGGAATGTCACTTCGCGCCCTAGTTGACTGTGGGGCGTCGAACTGTTTGACTCGACGCCAGTCGCTAGAGGATGGTAGACTCAAGCATGTTGAGCGAGAGTTCCCTCCAACGAGGATGACGGTGTTCCTTGCTACAGGCGCATCCGAAACATTGAGCAAACGTGTAGTGGAATCCACTACACGTTATAGGTAAAGCAGTACGATGATGACTGCCTCGTCTGGATTTGGATGACAAACTTGATGTCATCCTCGTTCTACCATGGCTTAGAAAGTACCAGCCATGGATCAGCTAGCAGCATCGATCCGTGAAGATGCCTGCCGTTTTTCCATCAGATGGCCATCTGATGAACGTCTTGGAGCGTCCACAAGCGTGTGGATGTACTACGAGTGAGTGCGATGGCCTTACTTGTGGTACGGTCTTTAGTATGACTGCACAATATCACAGTGTAGGAGGCCACTACACTGTAGAACCAGCTTCCAGCACTTGTGTAGAGACACAGGCTGCGCCAAAGGTTCAACAATCGAAGAGACCGAGTGGACTGGAACACGGATGCACACCACGAAAGTTGCATCCAAGAAGAGAGGTTAGTGTTGTTCAGGATGAACAACACGATGAATCGAGATCGACTAATAGAGAGTCGATCGTAGAGCAAGCCCGATCGACTAAAATAGTGTCAATCGAAGAGGACGTGACTGTGGTAGTACACCCACAGTCAGTACACGTATTGGAAGAAAGTTCCAGGGTTCCTGAGAGTGATAACTCCCAATAGAGTTATGTTGAGGGTGTGGATCCCCAACCACTTGCGGATGTGTTTTTCCAGGAAATCACCGAGACAGTGAATGTCTCGGTAAATGACGGATCAAGTGTAGGTGCTTATGCACTTGATATGGTTACATCTACGGAGTCAGCTTCGGAGGTAATCAAGTTGTCAATGCTAGATTCTAATAAATTCTTGCGAGATATGCGCAGTGACAAGATCAAGCGGATCTGCGCACTCGCCACAGAGGACGAGTACGTTGCCGATATTCGGTCGGCACAAGTGTATACTGAGAACGAACGGGTTCTCAGTAGCTCATCAATGGACGAGAGTGTCCTCAATGAGAAGACCCGGATTGAGCGATACACGTCTCAATCTTGGTAGTCTTCAAAGACAAATCCTTTGTATGAGGATTTGGTCGAATTCAGAGATGTTTTCCCTGAATTCATGCCATGCGAGCTGCCCAAGGACAAAGGCACTCGACATGAGATCGAGCTGAAACCCGGTTAGAAGTACTGTGTCATGAAGCAGTGGCCACTGCTTCGTGAACAGGTAACAGCGATCGACAAACTCTTTGCCGATCGTTCAGCGGCTTGTCGTGTGAGGGAATCAACACATCACACAGCTCTCCAACCTTCTGTGTGCGAAAGGCCACAGGAGAATGGCGGATTGTGCATGCATTTAACAAACTGAACGCTGCAACAGTACCGGCTCAAACGCCGATCCCAAGAAAGGACGTCATCATAGATGTAATGGCAAAGAAAACCATCTTCTCGTTCATGAATTTGATGGATGGATTCTATCAGATCCTCATGCGTGAACGGGATATCCTTTACACAGCAGTGAGCACCCCAGCGGTATTCTCTGGGAGTGGCTAGTGATTCCACAGGGGCTAAGTAACGCCCCCGCAACTTTTAACAGATTTGTTACAAATCTGTCGCGATCGGTGCGCAATTTTGCACCGAGTTAATTCGACGATGTATTCGTCCATAGTCGGGCTATGGATGGAAAGACGGACGTGGAAGTTCATAGAATCCACGTCCGGAAGGTTCTTGCTCTAATGCGAGAGCATAAGTTGTTCGCGAACCTCAGGAAGTGTATATTAGCAGCGAACTTAATGCCTCTTCCTGGCTACATCGTGGGTAAAAACGGTGTACG